AGGAAATGCATTTTATTGGCCAACATACGCAACTTAATAGGTTGCACACAATTCTTTAGTGAAATTTGTAAAAAAATGTTTTTTGAACGTGGTGGCTTTGGATACCATATTTTGGTAAAGCAATTGATGCGGCCTGTTTGGCCTAAAATTAATCAATAAATAGCCCAATCATTTTTGTTAAAGTTTGCGCAAAATAAATGGTTTGCCAAAGTTTGTTTTCCTCCCAGTCCAGAGTACCGGTAGAGTAGGCGATAAGGCAATGTCATGCAGGAAATGCATTTTATTGGCCAACATACGCAACTTAATAGGTTGCACACAATTCTTTAGTGAAATTTGTAAAAAAATGTTTTTTGAACGTGGGGGCTTTGGATACCATATTTTGGTAAAGCAATTGATGCGGCCTGTTTGGCCTAAAATTAATCAATAAATAGCCCAATCATTTTTGTTAAAGTTTGCGCAAAATAAATGGTTTGCCAAAGCACTTTTGTTTTCCTCCCAGTCCAGAGTACCGGTAGAGTAGGTGATAAGGCAATGTCATGCAGGAAATGCATTTTATTGGCCAACATACGCAACGCACACAATTCTTTAGTGAAATTTGTAAAAAAATGTTTTTTGAACGTGGGGGCTTTGGATACCATATTTTGGTAAAGCAATTGATGCGGCCTGTTTGGCCTAAAATTAATCAATAAATAGCCCAATCATTTTTGTTAAAGTTTGCGCAAAATAAATGGTTTGCCAAAGCACTTTTGTTTTCCTCCCAGTCCAGAGTACCGGTAGAGTAGGCGATAAGGCAATGTCATGCAGGAAATGCATTTTATTAGCCAACATACGCAACTTAATAGGTTGCACACAATTCTTTAGTGAAATTTGTAAAAAAATGTTTTTTGAACGTGGGGGCTTTGGATACCATATTTTGGTAAAGCAATTGATGCGGCCTGTTTGGCCTAAAATTAATCAATAAATAGCCCAATCATTTTTGTTAAAGTTTGCGCAAAATAAATGGTTTGCCAAAGCACTTTTGTTTTCCACCCAGTCCAGAGTACCGGTAGAGTAGGCGATAAGGCAATGTCATGCAGGAAATGCATTTTATTGGCCAACATACGCAACTTAATAGGTTGCACACAATTCTTTAGTGAAATTTGTAAAAAAATGTTTTTTGAACGTGGTGGCTTTGGATACCATATTTTGGTAAAGCAATTGATGCGGCCTGTTTGGCCTAAAATTAATCAATAAATAGCCCAATCATTTTTGTTAAAGTTTGCGCAAAATAAATGGTTTGCCAAAGCACTTGTTTTCCTCCCAGTCCAGAGTACCGGTAGAGTAGGTGATAAGGCAATGTCATGCAGGAAATGCATTTTATTGGCCAACATACGCAACTTAATAGGTTGCACACAATTCTTTAGTGAAATTTGTAAAAAAATGTTTTTTGAACGTGGTGGCTTTGGATACCATATTTTGGTAAAGCAATTGATGCGGCCTGTTTGGCCTAAAATTAATCAATAAATAGCCCAATCATTTTTGTTAAAGTTTGCGCAAAATAAATGGTTTGCCAAAGCACTTGTTTTCCTCCCAATCCAGAGTACCGGTAGAGTAGGTGATAAGGCAATGTCATGCAGGAAATGCATTTTATTGGCCAACATACGCAACTTAATAGGTTGCACACAATTCTTTAGTGAAATTTGTAAAAAAATGTTTTTTGAACGTGGGGGCTTTGGATACCATATTTTGGTAAAGCAATTGATGCGGCCTGTTTGGCCTAAAATTAATCAATAAATAGCCCAATCATTTTTGTTAAAGTTTGCGCAAAATAAATGGTTTGCCAAAGCACTTTTGTTTTCCTCCCAGTCCAGAGTACCGGTAGAGTAGGCGATAAGGCAATGTCATGCAGAAAATGCATTTTATTGGCCAACATACGCAACTTAATAGGTTGCACACAATTCTTTAGTGAAATTAGTAAAAAAATGTTTTTTGAACGTGGTGGCCTTGGGTACCATATTTTGGTAAAGCAATTGATGCGTCCTGTTTGGCCTAAAATTAATTAATACATAGCACGATCATTTTTGATAAGGTTTTCGCGAAATAAATGGTTTACCAAAGCACTTTTGTTCTCCTTCCAGTGCATTGGTACAGGTGGGGTATGATGACAAGGCAATGTTACGCAGGTAATGCATTTTATGGTTAACATACGCAACTTAATAGGTTGCACACAATTCTTTAGTGAGATTCACAAAAAATTGTTTTTTGAACATGGTGGCTTTGGGTACCATATTTAGCTAAAGCAATTGATAGGACCTGTTTAGCCTAAAATTATGTAATTAATGGACCGATCATCTTTGTTAAGGTTTTCGCAAAATAAATGGTTCACCAAAGCAATTTTGTTCTCCTTCCAGAGTAAAGGTACTAACAGGTGGTGTAGATGATAAAACAGTGTTATGCTGGCAATGCATTTTATTGGTCAACATACGCAATTTAATAGGTTGCACACAATTCTCTAATGAAATTTGCAAAAAAATGTTTTTTGAACATGGTGGTTTTGGGTACCATATTTTAAAGCAATTGATGCGTCCTGTTTAGCCTAAAATTATGTAATCAATGGACCAAATAATAAGGTTTACACGTAATAAATAGTACAACAATGTACTTTTGTTCTCCTCCCAGTGCAATGGTACAGGTGGGATAATAAAAACAACGTCATGCAGGCAATGTTTTTATTGGTCAACATACGCAACTAATTTGGTTGAACACAATTTTATAATGAAGTTTATTAAACATGGTGACCTTTGGAACCCAACTCGTAGTCTGGTAAGGCAATGGATGCGACCTTTTTAGCATAAAATCGCCCCCATCATGTTTTGTTAAGATTTGCGAGTGGGTTCGAACGGATAGACAAAAAACGCAATAAGAAGCACATTTTTTTTTAATTCTTAAAAAATGCGCTAAAATGGATTGTGCAAATACAAAAGTTGCAAATGCTCAAATTTTATTTTTTATTCATCTGCATAGTTTCTTGAGGTTTAAGGAATATTTACTTACACAGAAAACCGTGCATTCATATTTTCTTTGCAACAAGACTTAAAAAATGAATCTTTTTTTAATCGGAATTTTGAGATGTTGTCGGGTTATAACTTTGTGCCCTGATAATCTACGTAGCTTAACAACAATAGCTACCTTTCTTATACTTTTAAGGACATGTGTACTATTTTTTTGTTTATAAAGAAAGATATCGTGCACACGGACAGAGAAACAGCAACACAAAATTATAAACAGGCTTGACGGTCGTTGAAAAATTAAGCCATATGTTGATGTTCTTACTTTTTTATTTTTTTTTATTTTTCTTTTGTCCTTTATTTTTAAGTGGGCGGCTAATAGGGTAGCTAATCTTAGAAGGACCACATATAGTCTTTCAGACCTTCTCTTTCTTTCATGTGAGAATATGCCTAAAATATCGTCAAAGTGCACAACACGATGACTATCTTGTAATGTAATACGTATTTGTTTGTATTTACCAATTTGTGTTTCATGCCATTTCATTGTTATAATTGTAATTATTGTAATTCGTAATTATTTAAAAACACAATGGCAGTTCCATGCATCCACTTCAATTTTTATCGTTCAGTACGCGAATGAATTTGAAGAGTGTTTTATAAATAGTCAAATATGAATGTTAATCAACGCAGGCTCCACAAAATCTTTATTGATTCTGATATAGCGTTTAAATTGTTTCCAAATAAATTAGAAACCGCTGTTTTACTGTATCAAACATTTTTCAAAATTCAGTTCACAAATTTAGGGCCAATATTCTTCAAATACATTCAAATGCCCAAACCCCATTAATAAAAAATTCAACTGGTTTAAAATTCGTAACTTATTGAAAGGATTAATTATTAGAATCAAAAATTGCTTCATACTGCGGTTTTTCATTCTTATAATAGAATAGCGCTGTTGCCACGTATACGGGCCTCGGAACCAGCAAGAATTTTGTAAATGTAATGTATGTACGGAGGCCTCGCACTGTTATACAGAATCTTATACAGAACTACTGCAGCGACCCCTACTTCTTATTTCAATTAACTAAAATCCGTATAAGTGGTGATATAAATGGCACATGCGAGTCCCCTGACAAAATCCGTATAGGGGTGTAGGGGGGCAAAGGGATGGAAAATAAGCTGATATACACGCACTTACACTGCGAGGCCCGGAAACGGGCCTCGCATGTGAAAACCGGGCCTCGTTTGGTATAATACACATATTTCGGGCCTCGGATGTACAAGTTACGTATCTACGTATAGGTACCTACTTATGCGCTGTGCCCAAGATGAGAATGTCTATCATGGGAATTTCCAGCGCGTTCTACGAATTCCTCAAACCCTTAGCTTAGACCAACGACGAACGGAATTCACGCAGGTATAAGCTATATTTTTCATTAAAAAATCGCTAAAAGCTTATGAGTAAGTACTCAAAGAAATCGACTTGCGACATGCGAAAAATGCCCCCAGCAGCAAAGTCGTAAAACCAATCTTTGGCAGAAACAAAGCTCTGGTCTACATCTGACAACACTCAAGACGAGTCAGAGGAGGTTTGCTTCCCGCAGGCCCCAGGTGAGGTCGTGAGGTAAAGCTACTTCGGTAGCTGAACTGAAGATACCTACTAATTTGATAACACATTTTATGTGACTGTTGACTATATCGAAATACTCAGTTAATCTGAGCCGAAATTGGTGTTGACGTTTATCTACATCTGTTGTTCTACATTTTAGAATCGTAGCAATATTTACAGGATGTTTTTTATTTATCACGACTATTCACGAACAGTGGGTGATATGACTTTTTTCCCAACTTATTGGAAGAATTCAATCGCCATAACAATATCAATTGGGATGTTCCCTGTTAGCACGTGTGCGGTTGACCTATTGATTGAGCGCGAGCGTCTTAAATAAATGCTGCACCTTTATATATTAAGGTCATTCATGATGATGTGGGCTCATTCTGCTAAAGATAACGTTTGTTGTGCAGTTCGTACATTTGGACTACGGTAGAGGATATATATAAATATAACCTTGTTCGCTGTTATTATTATTAGTAAGTCTACGTAATAGTTCACTTCACATTAAACGCGCGAAGCGTAGGGACCGAAAAAATGACGTATTTATTTATCTTCGCAATTTCGCTAAACTTAATAATAGCGAGTCTTTCTTCCGTATGCGTTCCAGATACAAGACAGAGGTCTGATGATCTGGCTCCAGACGGAAATTCTTACAGTGCTGTGTTTTTTAACAAAAGCTACACTAGTGATTGTGGTTGTGACAGTAAATACACTTGTGTGCGTAAGTGTTGCGATGAAGGCTATTTCATTGACCTAAACGAGGAAACGCTTGAACTTAAGTGTTTACGTAATGACTCAATTAAATTATCTGTTCCGATCTATAAGATGGGAAATGTAATTATCGATAATAATCCGATAATCGATTTCCGTTACTTATCGGGCGTTAACGAATGTCTGCTTGATGACGATGACAAAAATGCCTATACGGCCACAATGGATGAATTTTATATTCAAAAAAATGGAAAATTATGGATGTCGAGTTTGAATACGTACTTTAAGCCGGAGCATTATTGTCTCGAATATGATGAAGATAATGGACCGATTGCGTATTTATGCCTTCTATCCTACGATGTTCAAAGTTTAGAAATATCTAGTCGTATAACTGTGATAGGTAAGCTTTAAAGTATTTAAACAATGATGTAATTTAATAAAAAAAGGAAATGGCTATAAAAAAACTCGCCAGACATTGATGGTTTTCTAAAGCGGTAGTTATAATAAGCGTCGTGTTGTCTTGAACTATGAGTTTTCGAATAAGTCATTAAGTAATTACTGTATTTTACTTTATTTAAATTTCATTATCTAAATTTAATAATATGTGAAAGTAGTAGGTCGTGGTAAGATAAATTACTTACAGTAAATTGTATCAATTTCTTGCAAATTGAGTGACTTATTTTTTTTAGGTATGATGATATCACTACCTTTTTTACTGGTGACCTTCATAGTTTATGGAGTATTACCCCTTCGAAACTTACATGGAAAGGCGCTAATGTGTTATATATTCTCACTATTTACAACATATTTATTGTATATAATTATACAATTGCACCCGGATGCCGAAAGTTTAGATGCAGTTCTATGTAAAACCTTGGGTAAGTCGAATTATGTACTTAATGTGTTTATGGTAATGAATAAACAACCGTTAAAAATAAGTATTTCAAGGATTCAGGCCGCTACTATTTTCGTGTATTTACTCCACCAGAAAAAACAACTTTAAAAGACCAGGACAGGGACCAATAATTACAATTATACTTTTAGGGCAAGGCTATGATTTCACACACTACATTATGATGAAGCGTCCATTGTATATGCAGGTACCGCGCATGTAATTTTAAACGGTGTAGACATAACATGGATAGGTACTCAGCATAGACAAAGTAAAATAAGGTACTCAGTACATACAGAACGGAGTAGGTAAAGTTGCCTATTGTCAATCCCCAAATTTGGCTATTATAATATTAGTTTGTGTTCGATGGTAGAAACATAAACTTAGGGCAATTATAATGCACATTTTCTATCTGTATAAAACAAGCCGCGCGGCGGAAACTATTTTTTCGCGGTCTCGAGGTAAACTTTTAAGTCGTTTTTCCAAGATAATTTCCAAAATTGCTATAAGCGCGTAAAGTTAATATCTAGGCAATAACGCTAGGAAAATTTGTTTCCTTTTTTCTTTTTCAAAATATGGCACCCTAACAGCCCTCTATGTTATACTAAAAAAAAAGATTATTTCAACACATTTTAAGAAATCCCGGCGTTATTGTCTAGCTAAAGCATTCACCTTTCACAGGAATATTCGACCCCTTCTGCATCTTCACTCAAAATTCAGATATCGTGGAACGAAATCAAGCGTTTTCGGGCAACGAAACGGGTGTACTGTTCAGTGTTCAGCCTTAACAAAGATAAGAGTATTATCTTTGGCCTTAATGAGTGGCAGACCGCAGAACTAATAAAAATAAACTTCCAGTACAATGTAGTGGGATTCAACCCCTTCTTTTTCGAAACATGTTTGATAACTCAATTGTTAAAAATTGCGTAAAAGATTTGCGACAAATTTTACTGTCGACAGTGATTCGCACACCATGTATCCAAATGTCTACAAAAAGCTTATTGCGCGTTGAAATTACCTACTTCAGTCAAATGGCAAAGGCATTGCTGTTCATGAATAATCGACCAATCAGAGCGCGAATCTGCGAATTATTTCTGCCGATGATATGTATGTACCTATACAAAATCGCAATCAAAACCCAAATCAAATTAAAACCCGTGAATAAATTCGGCAATGTTATTTAATTGATCCAATTTAATTAAAATTTCAAAGAAATATTTCAATTAATTTAATTTAATCAGAGAATCAATGCGCGAAACCGCGAATCAATTGATTGACCACACGAATTAAATAAAATTAGTTCCACGAATTAAACCACGTGAATAGAATTCAAGATGGTGGAAAAAGGTGTACCGCTTCTTATACTTATGTTGATGCCGAGGTTGATGCGAAGAAGCTAATGCACTTTATTTGTTATAGCGATGATCTTTATGTACTTCTTTGAGGCGTCGTTTGTTTGGATGAACGTCATGTGCATCGATATTTACTTGACGTTCAGGTACGTTTTTAGCGCATTTTCCTGCATGTTGGAGAATGTGATAAATTACTTGAATGAAAGCGTATTTAGCTATCTAATTATCACATTAACTTATTTGATTTCTGGCTATGGCTCACGCGCACGGAGGGGGGGGGGGGACTTGGATCAGTACATTCGTTACATATAAATTTGACGTGTTTGAGCATTGTTTTTTTAATTACCTAATTACCAGGAAGTAATATGAATAGAGGGGGCACATTTTAGTTTTTTTAAACACAGTTGTGAGTAATTTCCGCTGTTATCCTTCCCGATAAATAGTTACTATTTTTGTTTCTCGTTCTCGACACAGGTATGCAATCACCCGACGAACTACTTACTTCGTGAAATGTACCTATTTCCATTTTTAGCGGCATAAAATTGATAATATCCGAAAGAAGAAGGATAGAATCGAGGCGCTTCATCTACTACAGTATATATGCATGGGGCGCACCTCTGCTCTTACTGATCCTGGTCATAGTCATGAGTAACTCCGTAAAACCTAATGCTTGGTATAACCCGGGAATATCTGATCAACAATGCTGGTTAAACGGTTAGTATAGTCTGAAGGTCCAACAAGGTACCGAATTAAAAATTTTTCAGATGGAATACCCACACTGTTGTACCTTTACTTGCCCATGGCTATTCTGATTATTACGAATGTAATACTGTTCGTAATAACTGCACACAAAGTTAGAGTAGCAAGCCGAGCTACAGCGATGTTAAGAACGGGAGATAATCGAAGTTCGAATGATGATACCGTCAGACTTGGGGTTTATGTAAAGCTTTTTTTATGCATGGGCGTAAACTGGGCTTTAGAAATAGTCACATGGGCCATTGATTGGCAAGTTGAGAATGTACCACGGGCCCTTTGGTATGTCGCCGATTTATGTAACGCCCTGTTCGGATTACTTATTTTTATTATCTTTGTGTGTAATAAAAAAGTTTGGAAGTTGATGAAAATCAAGTAAGTTAGTTTTGTTTAAATTTCCATTTCCACCTAACACCATTCTAGGTATTATGAAGTCACCGGTAAAACACCGCCTACTGCAGTGTCTTCAACGGATGAAGTTACGTTGGAAAAATACAAATAAAACGTGATAGCACTAAATAGCATTCCATTCCTATGACTTTTGAGAAGAGAAGAGATTACAGAGTGCCTGTTTGATACAAATGCTTACGTCAATGTCCACTTAATTATTTTGTGAGGGTTCGCGTCAACACTTTTTTCCTGGCTGTGATTGGATATAGCTCCAAAACGAAGATTTTTGGTGGTTACTTGTCATGGCAAACCACCGACAAAATGGAATGTAAATAGCAGAAATTGTTGTTGCAATTCCGATTTAATAATTCTTCCCATAATATGCTTTATTTTTGACGGCCAACGTCCTTGCACTTATTGAATTTTTTTAAAACTACGTTGACCAATTTCCCTTTGATCTAGACCCATTAATAAATTTTTTTACTGACGTACCTACTTTTTTTATCGAAACCGCGGTTCTCAACAAGAAGCTTTAAAGATTTTCTACTCGCCGAACATATTGTTTGTGTTGCGACTTCCAAAGACGTGGAACAGTGACTCTTGTTCTGCCATCTTGGGGATTTATTTGCAGTTTAATTCGCTGGATCAATCAAGGTCAATTAAATCGCTTTGTCAATTAATTAATTAAATAATGTCGCGAAGTCGCTGAATTAATTCGCGGACTCGCAGTCTGATTGGTCAATTATTGTGGCGGTTCAGCGGATTTATTATGATTAGTCAGTCTTTGAAATTAGACCGCGAACCGCGCATCATTTCAGCGAAACCGCGAAATTAATCTATCAATTAGAGCGAGAACTAAATTAATTGGTGAAATAAAAGTTTAAGTCCCCGACAACACTCTTGTCCGCGTGGGCGAAACCGCGAATTAAACCGTGAATAAAATTGAAAAGTGGTTTATTGTTGTTTTTGTTTTACTTCTTGTAAGTATGTATATGTAAGTATATTTGATTAGGTATTAGTTTTACAACTTTCGTCATCATTCTACCACAAAGAAAGGTTCGGCGATTTTGAACAAGGGAAACACAAATGTTCTTGGTACCCAAACAATAAATTTGACCATTCAAAAATTCGATGAACCAGGCGAAGATGTTGCTTTACTTGTCCACAAACTTTTGTTTTTACTAACTTTGACGTTGACAGACATTAAATAGCACTTACCTATGCTTGTAAAGAAACTTTCGTTTAAAGATGGAAAGATATATTGATACCATAAGTAGTAAATAAAATAAATACATAAGTAGTAGATGGTAATGGTATACGAGTATAATGTTCCTGTTGAAAATGAACAAGAACAAGCAATAAGATACGTTAGCTACGAGACCACCCACCAAAAATGAAAACCATGCACTCTCCTGAAATGTTTTTCAGTTTCAAATACTGCGCTCTGGAAACGGTTATTCAAATTAAATGGTATTAATGAAATTTCAAATCAATCTCTCCCTTTCATTGCGTCAGTGTTTTTAATTATGCCGGCGAATCTTTACTGCGCCGTCTCTTTAATCCTCCCGGAGATAATTCAATCCTATTTTTCCACGAGATCTCTAGTTTTGTTTGTCATAGACGAGTTTTATAAATAGCGAACGTTGTAACAGAAATACGATGAATTTAGTACACGCGGCAGTTTATCACCAATAATTATGAAATGCGGCAACATAATTAAGTATTTTTTATTTGGCCATTTATTTATAAATTCGGTGACATATTCTTGTATTACTGACACCAGAAGTGAATCCTTGAAAATATCCAGTGATCATAGTTGGTATTTACCGACCATATTCAATAAAACAAATACACAGGGATGCGGCTGTGATACAAACGAAGTAGTGTGTATAAGAAAATGCTGTGATGTAAATTATGTAGAAATAAATAAAACATGCTCGTTTAATAGCACCCTAACGATGGATTTGCCGATTTTCGAACACCAAAATGTAAAGCTCGAAGGTGAGGATTTGCCCAGAATACATTTCATTTCCGGTATTAATCAGTGTATCATGGACGATGATATGTTTTACGAAGCCCTTCGTGATGAATTTTATATACAAGACGATGGACGAATATGGTTACCGGCAATGAATACATATTTTGGCCAAGAACACTATTGCTTGGATTATAATAATGAAAACATTGTTGCAACAATTTGCATTTTGGATTTTGATATCCAAGGTTTACTTATCTCGGAACGCTTAACTGTTGTAGGTAAGATTTGTAAATTTTAAGAGATTGAAGTAAGAATTTTTTTTCATTTTAAGTATGTAGGTATTCTCATGAAGGGTTTATTGATTTTTAAAATTTAGTTACGTATGTGATCCAAAGTTTAGCAAAGGAACAGGAAATTGCAGTTTAAGATTAAATTCGAACGTTTTGTTAAAATGATCATTATTTACTTAAAACTGTTTAAAATTTTAACCATCAATTTCCTTTGTGTGTACGATGCGCTTAACTTGCCTAAATGTCCGTGCCGTTCGTCCTCTTGCTCTCTACTAGACCTCAAATATATCTAAATCACAGAAGATAGCCTCTAGGAGCCATCACAATGATATAGAATATAGATGATGATAGAAATATCGTCAATCACTTCCGAAAAAAGAATTAATTTCGCATTTCACTTAGGCTACTTCTGTACACGCAATGGTCTGTCTGAACTTTCACAACATTCTAATAAACTGTTAAACCGAGCGTTGCTACAGCAAATGCAAATGGGCGGACCTGGAAAATGCAGTCAATACGATATTTCTTGGTCAGATGTGCTATTTTCTCTTTGTGACCGCACCAACAGATAGGTACTTCTCGTCGATAGCTCCCCTTTTTCCTTTGCAAGTACCTTCTTCTGAGGTTGCGTTCCCGAGATTTTCGCATTTGTCCATATATTGTGATCTGAAAGTTTTTAAATTAAGAGTTATTATACAGGGTGGAAATTTTGGCTGGAACGCTGAGTATATCTTCAAAACTACAATTACTGCAAAGAATTTGTTTACGGTATCCACAATTATAAAAAGTTTGCTACCAATCTATACCATGCGTAAACATGTGTAAATATGTGCCCAGTGGTGTAATTCTGTATGGCCAAGGGGGCATTTTTTTTTAATGGCAACTACTAGTTTTCACAGTCTGTTTGATTTTTAAGTGTCACAGCAGATATCTCGGCTACTGTTAGAGATATGACAAATTGTTACAGAATAAAATTTTTACATTTAATTTTGTATTATCTGTGATAGCAAACAACAATTTTAAAATGAAACGAATGGTGCAGGTCTTGGACTAATTTAATTTTTCACGGAATCATCTTATTTTTTTTTTTTAATGCGCTGCCTGTCGTCTAATAATTTGGTATAAATTTACTGAATGAATTTGACAATAAAGTTATAGCGATTGTTTTCATGGCCTTCTCAAAGCTTGTTTTTTTTAATATAGCAGCATAAAAAAACATAAGTTTACTAGTTTGCGTTGAAAAAGTTAATCTTTTGATAATTTAAACAACGCAATCTTTTGTATCAAAAATGTGTAAATAAAAAAACCATTTTAATATTTTTACAAACAAACACAAAAAATGTGACCGTCTTTTTTAATCCAAAGAAGTGTGGACTTTAAGAATATGTAAAAATAGTCTTTGCTATTAAAAAATATATATCCCCCCTTGACCCTGCAGACGTACGCAAATAACCACAATTTTAAAGTATGTACAATGTACGTTGATAGTAAGCTTTATATAATTTTGGATACGTTCAACAGCTTCTTTAAAAAATGTTCTTTTGAAGAGAGATTCAGTGTTCCAGACAATATTTCTAACCTGTACTTTAGTTGTCAACTTTAATCTAATAAATATAATTGTTGACCAATAGATGTACCTACTATTACGAAGTTTTAACTCTATCGCTTCATGCCTCTTATCCAGATCACACCATTTGTGGGTAGTCGCTTCACGCAGATACTCTCTAAAAGCATTGAAAAAGAAGCCCTAGATGCGTGGTATTTGCGGATTTATTTCTACATCTTATAAATACGTTTATTTTGTTTTTGTTTTGCAATTTTTAGACGTTTTACAGAGACTGGAATATGGAGGATGGTGTGTTTTAAAATGGACATACTGATAGGTGTAAGAAAAAAAAACACCTAAGAAACAAATTATTCTTTTTCAGGGATGATCATATCTTTACCGTTTCTATTTATAACATTCGTTGTATACGCATTGTTGCCTGTGAGAAATCAACATGGACGATGTTTGATGTGCTATGTTTTCGCCCTTTTTCAAACCCAACTTTTAAATGTGATAACGACTTTACATCCTCATCCAGACAACTACAGTGCTTACGTATGTAGAACGATTGGTGAGTATGCCATAAAATATGGACTAGAAAATTGTTCTTATAGAGTTGGATCAAGTCTATCAAATGTGTTAATTTTAACATTTTCAGCTATGCTTTGCCTATTCTTCACACTCGCCTCTGCTTTATGGGCAAATGTAATGTCGATCGACATTTATTTAACATTTAGGTAGGTAGGTAAGTTTCAACAATCCAATAGGTCTTACGCGAAGGGTTTTGAGAATAAAAAGTTATGGTGAGATTACTTAGTCGCTAATTTATCAAAGAAGGCTATAAACCTTTCACCTATGGCTTCATCTATCCATTTATCCATTCGGCCGTTCACATATCCACATTCTATCTCTCTTTACCTTTTCATCTATCTGTGGAATTGTCTATTTGGTGCACACTCTCATTATACTTCCCGCAAGGCCATTACGATATATTAAAAAGTGTTTAACATGTACCTACTAATCCTGACAACTTTTTAGTGGTTCTCGTGGGTTCCAGGGAAGTAAACGGAGAACTGAAAAGAGACGTTTTACGGTGTACAGTATTTACGCCTGGGGTGTGCCGATGTTATTTGTAATCTTGGTAATGGTTCTTAGCTCGTTGGTAAAACCTAACAAGTGGTACAATCCTGGTATTGCTGATCAGGAATGCTGGTTGAACGGTATGGTAACGACTCAACTTTTCTAGTTTAATTTATGTTAATATTAGATGGAATACCTTCGTTGCTGTATCTCTATCTACCAATATCTACAATAGCTATTGCCAATATATCACTATTTACTATAACATCAAGCAAAATACGAAAATCACAAAAAGAGACCGCGGTACTTAGGAAGGGAATTAATTCACGAAGTGATGACAACAAAATAAGGTACAGTTAAAAGAAAGCAAAAGTAAAAAAAATACACCTTGCTCTTACAGATTTTCGGTATATTTGAAGCTGTTCGCAGTGATGGGTATTAACTGGACGATGGACATAATCGCATGGGCGGTAGATTGGCAAGTGGATCGCATACCGCATGCCATTTGGTACGTTACTGAATTCTGTAATGCGGCATTCGGCTTGGTTATCTTTTTAATATTTGTTTGCAAAAAGAACATTTGGAATCTGCTGAAAAGGAGGTGATAGCTGTCTTTTGTTTATTACCAAACTAATTACCATCATTCTTCTTAGGTATTACATGATTATGGGGCTGCCTAACACAACAATTCCAACATTAGAAATTATGTTACCCAACGGATGCGAACCAAAGAGCTGACATACATATGTTTAGTCCATCAATGAACTTTATTGGTTAGTCGTTTGAGTTAGTGAATTGAAAAGTATTATTGTTTTGGTCAAAATGTGAAACGATATGGTCTGTGATATTTGAAAAGAAAATGTGCGTTGATAAAGAGAGTACCCACATATATCTTCCCGTTGTCATGATGCAGCTACATTCACCAGGAAGCAAACTACATTGCGTATTTCATTGAAGTCATTCAATAGTCTTGCAGAGACTATACCTATATTTGAATGCGATTTAAACACAATTCGCATTAACAGCTCATCAACCATGAATATTCCGTTAGAATAATTTTTCTTCATCAGGTTTCCATCTTTTGGGAGATTTGAACTGTAACTGGTGTTCGCAAGTACTTTTATTGTTATACCTACATTGTTGCATGCAGCTGCAATATTTTAATGATTATAGGTTTAAGTAGATAAATTTCTAATAAGTAATATTTACCTATGTTCAATATTAAATTTAAATGTAGGTATCAATTACGACAACTAAAGGATTGTAATGCTAAATAACTAAGTAAGCTCCAACGTGTAATAATCTAAACATACGAGTAAACAAAATTATTCAATCACTTGATAATTACGTGCAAAATGAGATTTCAACCCTTTCCTACTGTCCAATTGCTGACTAGCTTATGCTAATAATCACCATTTCGAAAAGGGCAAACTTGTCCCATGTACTAAAACCACTCGGCTCCTCGGTTTCAAAAATACGCAAAAAATTATGAACGAAATCTAAAAACTGATTTATTTTCATTAATTTAAATCAACATTTTCGTTTGTTTTACAGTGGTGCATTACCTGAATAAATTAAAGTCGTTTTTGCCGATTTTCTTTCACGGCTCGTGGTATCTTGACCATGTGTCCAGCACATATAAAATTGCATTACTGAACGCTAAATTTGAATGTGTCTACATACCTACGAAAAAATAATTAGACATTTGAGAATTCGAGAAAGGTTCTTAAAAACCCTAAATGTGGATTTATTATATATAGGTACGTGCAAGAACGTGTAGGTAAATGGTTTAATTTACTTAAATCGAAATTTATAAAGCTTGATCATTTAATCAAGTAAATACCTTCGAAAGTAGGTAAACTCTAAACCAGATTGCGATATTCATTATGCAAGTTCAAATACACTCGATTTTTTGTGTCTATTATAACACCACCTGTTTAATTTCAATAAATGTGAGTGAAAGTCGTATGTGACCTGTATCACTCAAGCAAATTTTGTCTTAGTCACATTCACTTATCGACAATATCTCAACGTGCAAAGATTATGAGTGCAGTTTTGATCCTGTGTCTTCTTTCATGGTTTGTTAACGCGGTAATTGATTCCATAACTTCCCAAAAGAAATTACCTATACCTACTGTATTTTTTATTGTTATATTATAGGGCGCGGTCTATGAAGAATTTACACATCATGTAGCAGTCCCCTTGAAATTAAGACAAGCTGAAAAGGAACAATTACAGGATTTGAGCAAAATTCCGGGCGTTCCTGGTGTGGATTATCCCATTTACCATAGCGTACCGGAAACTGGCTTCTCTTGCCATAACGTACCTGCTCTACCTGGAATGTACGCAAACGTCGAAACCGGATGCCAGGTTAATTTCAAAAGGACCGACTTATCTGGATTTTAGTTGTTTGAATAATTTAGGCATATCACGTGTGTCACGATGGTCGTGAAGGTCATCAAGGCGCTTCTTTCCTCTGTACAAATGGAACAATTTTTAATCAAGAAGAATTTGCGTGCGATTGGTGGTACAATGTAAATTGTCACAATGCCATCAACTTGTATCGGTAAGATATACGATTTTGCCCATTTTTTTTTTATTTACTTTTGAATTCAGGGTAAACTTGGATCCCCATAAGAATCCTTACTTTCCAAAAGTTAAGACGGAGGAATCATTACCTGTACACCATTAGGGATTACGATTCCGTATATACCATACTTACTTCACTTGTGTATAAAAGTAATGTTATTTAGATAAAGAGAAAACAGTAAAGAAAACAATTACATTTGTGTCGCAACGAGGGTTGACCACTCCTTTATTGGTCTTAAATGATTTGACTTGTTGTGTTGTGAAATTAAATTTTTTTCTGCAAAGAAAATAGTGATCCATGGCTTGCTCTACGTGAATTATTTTAAATATTAGTATTAGCATTGAATAATATATAAATCTGAATATTATTCAATGGTATTAGTATAGGTATATACATATAGTATGCATTACATTTTTTTCTCTATAAGAAACGTATTTAGACTTTTGCTCTAAAATAATTAGGGGAGCTAGTAATTGACTATAAAGAAATTACCATTGAAATCCCTATGCTGCGTCGCGCTAGGCACCACCGTGTATACCGCATGTGACAAGCCTATTGAAAATGGATCAAATTCAATGACCCCGTAGGGTCAAACCGAGGTGCTCTGTCGCTCTTTTAATCCATTTAGGTTTTTTTCTTTGTATAAAAGTGAAAACTGAAAAGTATCTTCAAATATTCTTTTTAATACCTACTTGGTTTGACTATCCAAAACGCGAGACTAGGAAAAATGCACAATGTCATTTGAGATTCATTCGTATTGGTATTGCAATAAGTGATAAGGACCCTAATACAACAAACCAAAAGAACGCAGTGAAAAAAAAAGTAATTAATTGTATTAATATTATTATTAACATACTTATACTGTATCAAGAAGAAACTAAGCTAGGTAGGTATACAAATGAGAGTGATGGGCTGATGACCAATAAAAGTACCTACCTACCTATACACACAACATTGACATTAAAACAAACTGTTGATAGTATTAATGAATTTACGCATTAGTCAATCTTATAACAGTGTATGGTAAACCAACGTTGTTTTCCTAAGCAAAGGAATATGGAGGTAACGCTCTTGTACGTAGATAATATGATCCATACCTAAAAGCAAAACGGCAATAATAATTAAAATATTCCCGTAAGTAACATGTATGATAGGTATAGGTGGAAACTATGTAAACATTAGGAATGTACCTACTTATGTGCAAGCTGTGAATGTGGGAAACGTGCGTGCATTGAAATATTTAGTGCGAAAAACAGTCTGTGAACCTTTATGCGACATAGGTAAGGTTGCAGTATTTAGAAACAAAAACCCTATATGGCGAGAAGCACGTGACGCATGATTGATGGATTTTTACGAACATTCAACCAAGTTGGTAGAAATTAGGTGATAACACTGATCACGATTAGAATCAAACATTAAGTATACCAAGAAATATTAGCCGAAGTACATTTTTTGACGGCCGCCTGCCAGTTGTCGGGTTTAGTAGCAATGTTCGCTTTAATTTTATTCGTAGAACAATCAATTACCCTTGAATTGAAGGAATTAAATTATTTATAGTAATATATTTTTTTAATAGTACACGCACTCGTAAGTTTCTTCTTGTCCCATGTAAACCTCAGTTTGTATAACGCAATAGTCCAAGTTGGACACGTTAACGTGAGCACAACGATAAGATTTAAAGGCTCCCTTGTTTCTTATTGTTTCCGCGAAGTAGTGGTACGCACGGCCATGATTACATTCCAAACTATCAGTGACAGTCCCTGAAATTGATAAGGGCTGTTACTAAATGTTGTGATAACTATAGGTACGAACTTACATATATCTGCCAATTCCGGACAGCCAGGTTGAAATCTTCCTCCATTGGGATAAAAATCTAAATGCCCTTGGGGATGCGAGAGGCTTAGTAAACGCATGTTGGTGTGAATTACATCAACTAAATGTGCATCACTGGGATCAAGGCGATAACTCATCGGAACGTCATTGTAACCTGGGCCGGCAGGATCTAAACCCGTGATGCGATGTATTTTCCCACCTTGTACTTTATCGGCGCCCATCGCAGCAACATGGGCACCAAGACTATGCCCAATAAGGTGAATGTTTTCGTAACCGACTCCTTCCTGAATTAAATACCTCAGAAAGGCTCCAAGATGTGATCCAGCAATTTGGGCTCCACGCATCGCCGTAAAATATTCAAATTCACACAAAACTGACCAATCCATTCCAATCACATTGTAATCCCCAGTTTCCAAATAAGCTAAAATGCTAACCTTTTAGGTCTGCAGTACCTATACATATTAAAGCGATTCTATTATTTACGATTGGACGGTATAGTGTATAAGAATTGACAAAAACCAAAGTTTAAATTAATCGGGAAAATGTTGCTAAGACATATTATATATTAGTTTCGAGAAGACGTCCTGCCAATTGCCATGATACCAACCGTCTTTATTTATTTGAAACACCGTTTCCCTTATGCTGCTAATAAAGCCGTGGATGATAATTTTAGTAGGATTGCTGTAGTTAAAGTTGGATTTTACAAAGTTTTCGTGTGCATCCAATTTTAAATTGTAAGGAAGGCCATCTCTAAAAACAAACCTTCTTATAATCACGCATTTCCAACTAAATCAAGTGCATTACCTTGTAAACAAAATAAATTGAACGTTAGGCCCATAAGGGTCTAAGTAAGTTTCGTTAACGGCAGTGGTTGGTTTTTGAACGGGCGTAGTTTGCGGGTTTCCTCGTCCCACTGCGGCCGCGCGATCAAGAAACATAAAACAAAATGGAAAACGAAAAGAAGAATTAATTACCTTCAAAGTATTCACTCCAGTTAAAATTGGAGATTGTTTCTTTCAATTTATTCAAATCAAGAATGGGTTTGGAAAGAGCAGTTGAAGATTCAAAATTAGTCTCCGGCTTGGCTGAAATTCAAATAGATTTCTTAAGAGATGTTTTTGGTTTCATGTGTGACATTCATTGTTTATACAGAGTGGCACAGCGAAAACGAAACAGACTGAATAACTCGCAAGGGTGGCAACCCTGCTTAGGGGGTTGACAGCAGGGGTGTACATTTTGAAATAAAAGATGTCCTCCTACCAACCCAAATTGACGTGTTTTTGCGTTTGTTTCAAAAACTATTTCCTTACGAGTTATTAAGTCTGTTTCGTTTTTGTTGGGCCACCCTGTATAATGTTTTTGGTAATAAAGATTTTTCAGTTGTTTAATGATAAAGAATAGATTCGGGAAATTTAGAGCGGAGAATTTTTCCCAACTTTTAGCGTCGGAATCGGAAACTAATGCAGCTTGAGTCGGTGAAATGGGGAAACAATTGCAATTTTACACTTAAGGAGCGCGGTACCTTATTTTAAGATTTTGTAAATAAATAAATCACGTAATTAAATGTGCGTTACAATTACCGTTTGAGAATATGTAGAAATTTAGCGCCCCGCCACGCCTACTAACTGTACGCACGAAAATCATAAAAAGTAGAGAAGATAGACTTGTACCTACTCTTCAAAAGGGACAAGCTTTCTGATGAAGATTATAAAAATATTCATCGAAATCGGTTGAGTTAAATCTGAAATATTCGCTGGTAAAAATGACCTTATTTTCTTTCAGGTGTTGGGTCATACGCATCAAAAGAACTAAGAAAATTGTATTTGTGAAAAATTTAGTCATAGCTTTTATTTTTTTACAAAAATCATAGAACGCAGGACTTTCCTCATTTTATCGTCCTTTTGTCTCTGTGTAACATATTTCACTAATTAGTCCATCAAGGGTTAGTACTTACATAAGGTCACGAAAAACATTAAAGTTGCCACCAACAAACCATTTAAAATGATTAGGGATGTAGTTAAAATCCCCATCATTTACCCACCCACAAGTATTTCAAGACTAACACAGCAATATCGACATACGTTTTTAAATGTTTGTCCTTCCGTATTTCCGCAGATCAATCAACATTCATGATACTATCTCGTCTGCTCTTTGTTGTTCTGAATGTAAATCATTTCAATTATTGTTCTAAATTATGGGTTATTCAAAAATATGATTTTCCAGTGTCGCAATTAGTAAATAGGTAGGTAAGTGCCTACGTATAATCCCGTTGACTATACATATGTACCTACTCGTATGTGGCCAGTACCTAATAGATTATTATTTATACGTATGACGAATTGGCTAATTAGAAAGCACGTAGGAAACTACTTTTCTCCAATTTTGTCGCGTTTCAGAAAAAAATATTTCCTGTATTATACCATTGAATTTATACATTGTATAGTTTTGGTGGTGCCATTTTATTAAGACCCTAGCTATAGGTGCAGTAATACGAGTATCTATATATCAGCTAAAAAAAACCGAAAAACGAGTGATCCTCATCTCTGTTTATTGCTAATTGCTATATCATTGCACAATTATTATATAATCATCGGACGGTGCTTATACAGGTATCAATTAAAGTTGTGTACGTGATCATTTCAAATGTTCTCCAAAAACGTAACGTATGAGAATGACACCTTTGCTATCTGAAACAGAAGTATAAGAACGAAAGTACATTTTCCTATAATGCGTTAAATTACCACCACGAGTGTAACTATGCAAAATGGTGCAAATTTTCCAATTGTAAACCGAACAGGTCTCTTCGCCTTTCCGATCATCAACATTAACGCTTTTTGAAACTTTAAATCGGTACCGACAAAATCAACGTCATAACAGGAACTAGCAACTTGATCACTTTCCGTGATTACACGTTGTGTAAACCAGCAATCAGCAACAAACATAAAAGAAGATGCGAACAAGTAGAAGATTATTAACCAAAATTCGGCGCCGTAAAGAGGAATCTAAAAACGTAATTAGAGGATTCCAAACACATGCTTATATGTCCACATTGATGTACACAGCGTTGGTCCTTTCTCTGAATCAATGACGAGTAAAAGGATCAGACATCGGCTGTGAATGTGGTGGGGGTGAATCATATTCATGTTAAGCGATAGAGCCAAATTCGCTATACTTACATGACTCATCCCCAAATATGTGCAGCACAGATACAAAGAGTAATTGATGACTGTTGAGAACACGCAAAGGTTAAAAACGTCTTCAATTTTTGTACAAATATCTTTGAGCGTATCCCAGTAGATATTAACTTTTTTAACTTCATTTTGAAGGTATTCCCATGAATCCACACCATCTTCCGTACAGCATGACAGCAAATTTAGAATGTCCAATCTTAAATTCTTGAAGTGCATTTGAAGTTGTATCAGAATGCCCACTTTTAAACAGTCTATCATTACATATTCGTGAGCAATGAAAGGAAACGTTATCAGTTGAATGATTAGGCAACTAGTAAAACTGTAGTTAAGAGCCCATTTGGGCATAATACCAAATGGAAGGGGAGTTAACCTAGTAAAATACCATGTAATGGTACCAACAACGACGACGCTTAAAGCAAGGCTGCATGTGATCTGAAACTGAAAAGAAAGTGTCTCGTTACAAATTGTAAAGTTTGGACTTACCACCCATTTCATGTACGTTTCGATTACAGCTTTGAATTGTCTTCGACGGTCGGAATTGCAGATATTAACTTCGTCCAACATCCGCAATGTTTTGACTAATTTTAATTTGTGAAATCTAATGATGGCTGTTCGAGGAATTACTAAAATTTGTTTCAAGTTTTATAATGAAACAAAAAAGTACCTAATACGACCATTTAAGTAACCAAGCGTGGGAATAACGTCATTTATGCCATTACTCTCATTCCACCCTTCGTACAATATAGAGCAGATAAGGGAAAAGTTAAAATAGACAAGAGAAAGCAAACCGTACGAGAACATTTTTTCACGTATGGAAACATTTTCTTTTAAAAACAGGCCAGTTCGCTTTGCATACTTTCCTGCAACGGAAAAATACGTATCGCTGGGGTGGCCCGTCATTTTGCACTGCGGTAAAAACAAAGCGAGCTTCACTTTATAAATAAAGAGCGATGCATAATTTAGTCTAAATTAAGCGATCAAAGGTTTAACTTTAAATAATTTATAAACACAGACAGATAACGAAAATCTAATTTTGAGGATGTCGAAATAGAAAAATTAAAGGTTGTTACGTCAAAACTACGTATTTTATTATTTATTAAAGTGTTTTTATTCAATGATACGACATGGGTTTTCGGTTTGACCAAGACCAAGAGATGTCAAAATTTCCCATTTCAACGTAAAAACGTCCAAAAGCATCTAAGTCGGTCAGTGATAACTAAATCTTTTAGTAGAGGCATTTTTTCTAATTACTAACTTTTTTTCGGTGTTTATGTGAGGTCTGGATGTGATTATTCTACTCATATAAACATAGGTCCGCAAACTCTTCTTAACCGATCTATAGGGTGTTAGTACAATTTCACAATTTTTTAAGTTTTTTATTTACCTCCTGCAGTTTTTGAGATATTAGCTGAAACTTGGAATATTATAAGTTGAAGTTGAAGGGCTTACATGATTGTTCATGTCACTGAGAAGCTACAGAATGATGATTTTTCAGGAATCATGTTCTATTTTTTGTCCCTGATTTTTTCGGTGCGGTGCGGTGTACGTCCATTGAACACATATTATTCAAATAGCGAATTGCCTTAATAAAAGCGGGTATTATTCTTAGAACGACCAGCTTTGTAATTTATGTACATTAACTACCTATATAATTTAATGTTAAATTAATAAGTACCTATCTAATTGGTAGGTATGTTGGCTTTTGGATCTTTTATAAAGGCCCCGCAAATATAATTTGAAGTTCCGTGCTCTTGCCATGTTTTTCAGAAAGTAGGTAAATTACTAACTCCATAACCAACCTGTATAGATCAATACATTTTTGAAAAGAATCCATTATAAGTAACGCACTTCATTACTATACAGGGTGAAAATTTAGTCCGGAACACTGAATATATCTGCAAAACAACATTTTTAAATGAAGCTTTTTGTGGTATCCAAAATTATAAAACAAAATCTACGTACTTTAAAGTCATTGGTCATTGGCGTACTTGCGCATGGTCAAGGAGACATATTTTGTTTTAATATGGCAGCTAGGTACCTATACTAGTTATAAAAGAAAAACCCAAATCAAAGAAAATAGATACCTAATTAATTTTATAATTTATTTTTGATTCATAAATCAGAATAAATAAATCCATAAAGAGCGTTTAAAAAAGCGGCAGAGCACATCGGTGTGATCCCACGGATTCATTGGATTTGACCCATTTTCAATTGACTTGTTACATGTGGCATATACCTAGATCAACTGTGCAAAGTTTGAACCAAATCCGTCCAAGCGTTTGACAGTTATCGTGTTCACGGACAGACGCCGGACACCATCGACTCCCCGATAAAGCTTGCATCGCTTTGCTGATACTCACATACCTATCTAATAACCTAAAAACTTTTTTTTTTCAACGCAAAGTAGGTAGTTTACGTACATTCGCAGTAAACTTTTTATAATTTTGTAATTGTACTATAGAAGGCCTTTTTAAAAATATTTTGTTGTGATGATATATTCAGTGTTCCAGACAACATTTTCACCATGTATAATGAAAATTCGACGTTGATACAAAGTCTAGGCCAGGGGAATTATTGTACTTGCACACGGACAAGCGGAAATACCAAAGCATGAGCATCGCCAACGTGAGTTGATCTATCTAGGATCTAACATTCAGTATTATTAACGACCCAATCAGAATCACAAAACAGACAATCTTCCCGAAGCCGGATGCGTAAGGGTCTTAACCATCAAAGTTTAATAATTGTTTCCATGCTATCCTGAAAATTTTCCGAAAAATTCCAATGAAATGTAACTTTGCTACTATAACAAATGAATTTAGGAAGAAAACTCTATCAAAAACAGTATAGAAACCAAATCGTGCCATTTAAAAAATGTACGCCAACTAACTCTCAAAGTATTAATTAACAATCTTAATTATGCCGCTTTTATAGTATTTTTGTAGTTATGAAATATAGTTTTTCATTCGTGCAAATGGGACGCTACAGTTTGCGGCATTATTTCAATCACAGTAGGTAGGTACGTACCGAGTGGTACTTTTCCTCCGAGAAATTAGCAGAGAGAATTACAGTATCATGAGCACATAAGGATGCAGTTTTTGATTTCCGGACCGGAAACAATGCATAGGCTAACTAGATAAAGTGCAAAAAATGTTTTTGGTATTTCGTTTGACAGCTCTGGTACATAGATTTTATAAAAATTTACAAAGGAATAAGTTCCAAGGCCTGTTAATAATCACTATTATATCACTACAGTATCAGGTAGTATTAGTCAAAGAAGCAACAGCTGGCAGGAGGCTACGAGTTGTCTGATCATAAGTGAAGTATCCTTGTTTCTTTGTGTCTATATTGAGGTGAGGTTAACTAAACGAAGTACTCACAAATACATTTGCTTAACTTTTTACTTAATAATTATACATAGATTGTCACGTAGCAGACAATATTACCTATAAGTGTATACCATAAAACAATATAAAAGGAGGTGAGGCGTGTATACAGGTGTTCAAAAACAGGCTACAAACTATAATTCAACTTCAACTATAATAACCAAAGTCAAATTTGCATGTCATATTGCTACCGTCTAAAATAATTTTAGTTAGGTCATGGACAAAGACAGCACAAGTAACCCATGATATACCTAATGAAAACATGTATCATATGCAAGTAACCGATGTACAATTTTCGCCCTACACTGGACCAAATAAAGCAGAAAATTATTGAAGTGTTCATACACAAACACATTTACATAAATGTACAATAATTTTAAACACAAATCCTATTTTTGCTTGGACAGGTTGACGTTAATAGACTGATGGCGATGTTGATGCGATTACCTACTCCACTTTTTTTAATGTTCTGAACAATCAAAAATATATCTTTAGCGTAGTGAGGTCAGGTCAACTTCCTCATAATTACATATACCTAACTATAAGGCCTATCACGTCTTATTGTGTTATGGTATGCACTAAGATTCTTAAAGTTAATAGGTTACTTTACTAATAGGACGAGTTTAATAGCAACAATCCACAAAGAAATCTTTGCAATCGATAGTAGAAATAGTAGATTCTTCTATTTCCAGAATATCTGAGACTCTGTTATTTACAAATACATTCTAATACATTGTAATTAAGCGTTTAAAGTCAAGACTTACAGAACGATGAATATAAAAATATAAATAAGTAAACATTGTAGTGCGCTACAAGGCACTACATTCATCTGATTCATCCGTTATCTTTATTGGCCTAACTCGAACTGCTGTAGCCTTTGATGTAAGTAACAAAAAATAAAACAAAAGCACCCATAATCAATTGGAGTTTTTGTTTTATTTTTTGTAAATTATGGCGAGTTTACGTACTGCAGTTGCAGATACATCGAGTTACTATAAAAGAATCCGAATTGCGTCTTAATTTTTCAATTTCAGTTCTACCAGGTTCTCGAAACTAAAATCTTCCCTCTACACTGGAGGATACTCTACGTGAGGTAGATGACGTATTGACAATGGGTTGATATAATCTTTATTTATACTTTCAGTCATGATTCATCTACATCCAATGAGAAGTAATCTACATATTCAGTCTGTTCAAAATATTTCTTATTTAATTGTATTATTATTTTGCTTTTAAATGTTTACATTATAATTATTATTGTTCACTGCATTCATGCAGAGAAGGTAATTGATGTGGTAACCTATTAATTTTAGTACCTACCTATTCTGAATGTAACTACCTACTACTTATTACTATAGTTGCCTACAATAAGTTTAGATGCATAGTAGTCGATCGGCCATTAACCTGAAGCGATTGCAAAATAAGTGCGCCTTTCTTAAAAAGTCTATACACATCCACTAATCAGGTTAATCCCCAAACGAGAACTATAGACAGATTTGTCAAACATCATCAGTTCAATATTTGTTATCACCAATTCAAAACATTTATCTCTTTCTTATGACAGTGGAAGTAGTGCCTACTTATTCAGGCGCGACATTTTTAAATGCTTTCTAAATATTGACACAGCATTAACATTGACTTATTTTGAAATGCGTTCAAGTAATTTGAGAACCTACATTTAAAAATCGGAAGAATCTTTCCCGTGCGCAGATAAACAACTTATCTTCGATGGATAATCCATCTCATAAATTGCTATACGTTACGCCAAAAAGAAAACCTATATAAAAATACAGACACGGGTCCCCATTGTTTTGGTGTTACGTAAAATTGGTACAGACTTACGAGTACATCTTAAATAATAACTGTGAGGTTTTCAATACGGTAATATCACATTGCTGATAGTAAATTTGTTAAAACCATTATTCCTGGAAAGATGTGTCCAAATCTACAAACTAGTTCAAACTTACAAAAAAGTCTCCAAATTGCATTGTTTGTGCGTTTAAGGAGGTTTCGGAAAAAACATTTAAAAATTTGACGTTTCTCTGCACACGCTTCTTGCTAATTGTACAACTTTTATTAGCGTTATTAATCGTTTTGATTAAGACAGAATGCAGGAATTGCGCTTTCCGTGACGGTCTCGTATTTGCTGCAGATGCTGAAGCTGGACGGCAGATGGAATTGCAGGATGAGGCGAAGATGAAGGTGGAACACCGGCTTGTGATGGCAAGGATTGCCGGCGGCGTCTACGTAACGCTGGACTTAAATTATATTTTACCTTCGCTTGCGCTAAAAGCTCTTTGAACACTTTCGAAACATTAACATTGTCTTTTGCCGAGCATTCGACGAAACCGTTCTCCCAATCGACCGTTACAACCGATTCCGTCATCGCTGTGTCCATCTGTAAATGCCAAAAGCGGTGTTAAATGCATATTTGTCACATTTCGAAAACAAATGCTTTTAGACTTTAACGAACTTTTACGAAAATACACTGGTAGCGAGCGGTTGTACCACTCCCATCACATGAGGGCCCATTCACCCAGTCGGCTGTTGGGTCAGTCCTACAACGATAGTACTCAACGCATCCAACATGCGTAGGGGGTCACTCGGATTTGAAAAGAGATTAAGAAAACACTCACCTGAATCTGGTTACAAGCAATCAAATAACCAGACCCAAAGTTCTATACAGGGTGACAATTTGAAAACTTACCACCCCCCATATCTTAGTAAATAAACGAGATATTTAAAAAAATCAAAATCCGTTTCGGTAATTCGGAGGGGGAATCACAATGACATAGTTGGCGACGCACCCCCTCCAACCCCCTGCGCCCCAGCCACCCCAACTTTTAAATCTTAAATAGTGACCCCCCATGTGTGATACGTCGTTGGAAAGCTCTGAAAAAATGCTTTCCAACCATACCAAATAGCATTACATTTAGGTTAGTAATTATCGTGCAAATCAAAAAATAAACTAATATGATACATTTGAAATCTGTCATTTTTACAACGCAACCGGCGAACATAGACGAACTAAGACAGAGAATAATTCAATAAATGTCGAAATATTGCAAAACCAACATTGGAAAGGTTCGACAAGAGTTTGAGAATAGATTATAACTGGCGATCAAAAAGGAGTTGCTGTCGAGTCGGTTTTGGAAGTTCAAGTTAAATACGATTTTCCATGTTTATTTTTTGATTTGCACGATAATTACTAACCTAAATGTAATGCTATTTGGTATGGTTGGAAAGCATTTTTTCAGAGCTTTCCAACGACGTATCACACGTGGGGGGTCACTATTTAAGATTTAAAGTTGGGGTGGCTGGGGCGCAGGGGGTGTGAGGGGGTGCGTCGCCAACTATGTCATTGTGATTCCCCCTCCGAATTACCGAAACGGATTTTGATTTTTTTAAAATATCTCGTTTATTTACTAAGATATGGGGGGTGGTAAGTTTTCAATTTGTCACCCTGTATATTCCAGCGATAATTTCCATACACACTCTCAACAAATGTAAGTGATTTCTAGATTTCCAAATATAACAGTCAGCCATTGCATAAAACACCTAGTATAAATAATTTCAAAACAATAGAACAAATCCCCTGTGGCTAGCACAGATACCACTGCCACACCTGGGCATGCGCGATTTTGACCTTTTACGACTAAGAATATGTGTACCAAAATTAGTTCCAATCGGTTCAGCCGTTTAGCCGGAAATGAGACAGTGACACATACACACTGGCGCATGCGCGATTCTTCCCAAAAGCTTTTCAGCTCTTCCTTTGGTATCTACAAAGACGATCCTCCGATGTGTACAAAACTTTGTTCCAATCGGCTCATCCGTTTGGCCGGAAACGAGAGTACAGACAAACAGACCGATCGACAGCATCGAGAAAAATACGTTCTGTTTGAAAATTATCTCAAAACGAATGTGTAGATGGGAAATGATCTTACAGGCTAAATTATATTTATAAAACTAGTATCCTACTTGCCGCAAATGTATGCAACATTCATTGCACCTAGATTTAACTACACTAAACTAACCGCTACAACTACGTCTATCCCTATACGCTGTTTTCAATTGCTACAGAGTGCCAAATCGGAGTGGGGGTAGGTACCTCTGTTCTACTCACAACTATGACAATAGCTACGTGCCAGTAGTCAACAACTATTACTTTCCCACCCCTACCCCAATATGACAATGTACTAGGCAAAACTACCTCTTGAAAATTAGGCAACAATCGTAGAAATGTGTCTACTCTACCGGATGTACCTACACTACAATAAATCTGAAAATGCGCTACCAACCTCCCTATTGCCGACTAAATCCGTCTTATTTCCAACAACGACTATGGGCACGGCTGAACTGCACTTTGTTTCGTGTATTAAATCTCTTAATGATCTGACTTCTTCAAACGTCGGGGCGTCGTTAACGTCGTAAACAAGAATAAATGCGTCGGCCGAGGAAATTGATAAAGCTCTCATCGCGGGAAACTCATAAGCTCCGGATGTGTCAAGTATATCCAAAGTTAACTGGACCCCGGAGACGTCAAAATCACCTTGATGCATTTCCTCAACAGTGCGCTTATATTTTGGCGAAAATGTTCCATACAAAAATTGACTAATAAGGGAAGACTTGCCGACTTTCGCTGCTCCGAGAACAACTATTTTGTGACGCACTATCGTTAGTGATCCAATTGTATCATGCTTCTCCTCCAAATCCGACGCGTCCTCACTTCTTTGCGATCTGAAATTTTGTAGTTTATTAAATTAAAATACGATATTGTAAGAAAGTAACATATTTCTGAACATGAACTGCTCAACAAAAAAAAGCACTGTTCGCCAATCTACAAGGGGGCAAATGTGGTAGTTTTTGTATTGTAAGCAAACGGCTGCATGTGTTTTAATTGTATAAAATGTATTTTGAAGGTGGTTGAATTCCGTAACAAGTTTTAGTTCTTCGTATGAGTGAACTTTCACATACTTGCTACTGTGCGCAAAATACAATTTAGCCCATAGTATTCTGTGTTCATCTGACGCTGTCTTCAGTTCTAGAGAATTCGTCTACCGCAGTTTGCTTATGAAACTCCCCGTTTTGTTTAATCCGAACGACAACGATTTCAGAATGCCACTGAATATTAACAGTTACACAATTTGCATATAAATTCAGGTTGTACGGCTTAATCTACATTACAAAATTTGATCTTATTGATACCCATCAAGAGCATAATATGCGATCAACTCATCCCATGCGTTTACTTTTGCTATGGCTACAGCTCGTTTTGCCTCTTCCTTTCTTCTTTTGATCGTCTTCCGCTCTTTAGCCTATTTCTTTCTTTAGCTCCCTTCTTTGACTTGACCTAGACCTCGTTATTCTACCACTATGACTCTTTGCTCCCTTTCACTTGTGATTATTAGTAAACTTTTCAAAACAAGAATTGGTAAAAAGTTATATGTAATGTACAGAGGCTTCGTTGTACCTAAAACGTTTTGCTTTATTCGCACTCATCCATAGAACTAATACTCCCATAAGAATCTTTTTTTTGGCCAACCTGAAATGAATAATTTGTAATTTTTAAGAGTAACGTAGATGTGCAATAAGATATCTCTTTTTTTCTCGCCCGCCACATGTAGCCAAGCAATAACACCATTAATGTTATCCTATATTGGTTTTTAATATGTTTAATTACTTATGCAAAATGACCTAACATTGTCATTTTTATTGTATTATACTGCATATTTAAACGTACAAATTAAAGACTTATATGTTTTACAAATTTATAGTTCTTTAAAGATCTTTAAAACAGTCCTCATCTTAATTCTGTCCTTATATTAATTTCAAAGAAATAATAATTAAAGTCATGAATCAAAGCGCGAAATAAATTAACTCCGCGAATTATTTCCGCCAAAAAGCAAAAACCACAATCAAAACGCGACCTTTATTGAAAACCGCGAATAAATCTGCCAATTAAAGCGCGAAATAAATTAATTGGTCAAATCCAATTAAAATTTCAAATGGATTATTAAATTAATTTAACGAGAGAATCAAAGCGCGAAATCGCAAATCAATTTACCGCGAATCAAATTTAATTGCCCTTGATTGAACCTGTGAATAAAAATGAGTGTGGGTAAAGCGAATCCCTTCTACTCCTGTATGTGTAAGTAGAAAGAAAACAGAAGCGCATACCTGTACCAAAAAAAATGGTACATTCCGGTATCTTAGTTGTCAACACGCATTCAAATTGGGCCCAATGTGTTTGTTATTATCAGGACAAGGTTTGTATGAAACATAATTTCCAAAAAATTGTACGCAAAGATGTAAAAAACAATTTTTCTCTTTTCCGTCATTTTAAATCGGAATATAACTATAGGTAATAATAGATGAAGTCAAAGCGAGATCTACTATACGACTCTAAACCGTCGACTTCGGGCGAGAGGCGAAAAAATAGACTGTCAAACGTATCAATTACGTATGCCCGCGAATCCTGATGTAGTAAAATATACTTTTCGAAACTTCAACGCGAACGAGAACAGTCCTGTTTTACAGTCGACAAGAGGCTTGACATTTAGAATATAAATTTCTTTGAAGGCGTTAAGGTGAACTCCAAAAGAGACTTCCCCAAGTTCCTACGGGAACGAAGTACCTACGGGAAAAAAAAACGGATTTTCCCAAACACGGTACGAAGTTCCCCGGAACTGCTAGTTTGTATTACAAATTTACAAAGTATAGCAGGTTGCCCGATATTCGCGATTTCACTTTTTCATTCTTAAACAACAGCGGCATTATTCTCAATCCAAAAACGCCCTTCCACTGGAAATACCTACCTATCGATATTGCTTCACTAACCTTGTATGATGGTGCCGGTCATTTTCTGGTTCTTCTTTATGAAAAGATGGCTGCAAACTGAATCGTCTGCGAAACTGATGGCGTCCTTTCATTACGTACGAGTACTTACGATGATACTCTAAAAGAATATCTGAAACGAAAGCAACAATAAGACATATTAATACCTAATAGTACCTAACGTGAACACTGTACTAATTGGTATTATATCGAAAATGGGTACTCTTATGTTTTCTGAATATTCTCATCAAAAATGCAATTCTAAATGCCTAGATATAGGTACTCGAAAAAGTTCAATGTCAATTTTTATAAGAATTAAATATAATAAAGCCACATGTTCAATTCGAAGATGATTGACAATGGAGGTTTTCGGTTTTAAAATTCTTCTTCTACAGCCATATCTCGGGGCGGACTGGCCCGGGGGGGCGGGGGGGGGGGGGGTAGCGATTGCCACCTGGCCTATACGTCATAATGGCCCGTTGGAAATTTATAAGTATGTGCTGTATTTAGTTTCTTGCACTATTAATAAATTATTAACACGTTTCTCTAATTGGAGTTGATGTGAGGTTGTTAAAAAATTAAAAAATTCTGTTTTAATTGAAGTGTTTTACAATGAATTTATCATTTTTTGGCGTAGCATGAAAGTGCTGAAATACAATGATAGGCGACGCGCCTCGTTTGGATTGTATATTTTGTATACTTTTAATTATCAGCTGCAATTTAAAAAAAAAACTTCATGACTACACTAATACTTTAATGGCCCGTAACCTGTGCAATTCCACCTGGCCCGCCCCTTTCGAAAGAAAATTCAAAGGGCTGTAACTTTTGAACTAGTAGCCCAATCTTGGAACTGTTTGAAATTATGGATTCTACAGGCCACATTCTATAAGAAAATTTTTTTCCGGGTCGATCTGAGATAATTTTTTTTTCGGGGCTCAAAAAAAGGCAGTGTATAACCTTCCTTTTTTACCAAAAATTGACTGCACCAAAATTTCTCGGGAAAACACTTTTTCTTATTAATTTTGGTGCGTAGAATCTAAAACAATTCGTACTTTTTCGATTAGACTGCTCAATCAAAAGTTATGGACTAGAATTATATCTCATTAAAGTCTAAGCGAGAAGTGCACAGCAAGTCCGCAACACGAAAAGATTCTGTTTTGATAACTAATAACTAATAAGATATAATAATTTGATGAAGGAAGGGACAGATTCTGCACGGACAAACTGTAACTGGGATTTACATACGAGTAATATAATGAAAACTAATTTATCGAGTTCTTTTTCTTAGTTTTTTTGTAAATTAAGTTCTTTATCAAGTTCAATGGATACAGGATAAGTAGCACGACTCAACAAGATTTTGGCGTGTTCTTTGTCGTTTTACGAAAAAAGGAAACATTAAAAGGATCTAGGCTTTACAGGAATACATAAATATCTATTTTTAGAAACCGTAAGATGCAACTCTGGGAATTACTGAACCGAAAATCCAGTAAGCTAAAACAGTATTGATCCTCTGGATGATGTTTTTTATATGAATTTGTATCTTCGCAATCTAACGTGAAGCTAGGTGGGCTATTTCCCAAGAAATTTGAATTTCTGTACAAGCATTTATTTCAACAGTCGACTGCGACCTATAGAGATTGAGAAAATCTGTAATTCAAATAAAATAGGCACGTTAAGGGTGTCAGGAAGGGGGTGATTTGTTTATCTTTGCAGAACTAGTGCATTCTTGGGTGATCGATGAGAATTCGTGTTTATAGGTACCTATATAGAAAGTGTAATAATGTTGCTTAAATGCAAGATTTTCATGCTGATTATAATTTTCAACATTAAAGCATTCATTTCAGTTTTAACACAGACAATTTCGGAGCTACCCTAAAAACATACCCTGAATGGGAATCCTGTAAATTTTTATTTCTGAAAAACAATGTTGGCATTTACTTTCGCAGGTATTATCAGTATACGCATATATTCGATTTACTGAAAAATACGCTACGTTTTCATTGAAGTAAGTACGTACTTGGGAAAAGTTATAATTAGTAACATGTTAAACTTTCGTTTTTCTAATATTTAGATCTTCGGAGTAATGTGCAAGAACCTTAAATAATCCTCAACCCCTTTATTTTGCATCACAAAGCCCTCAAAGTGTATCTGCTTATTGTTTGATATAATTAGCAATTAAAGGTTATCTGGGAGAAACATGCTATTCGCGTTGATTGACAAACATATCTACTAAATAAAACCGAGGGATAAAAGATTTATAATGGTAAATCCGCAACGCTTAATTATAGACTTCCTAACTGGACGTGAATAATGGAGATTCATTCTCCATTTCTTTATAGTGTTTTCTCTTTGCAACGCTATTAGGTGCAGATAAATTTTCTTCTAATTGCGACGTTGGAAACAAATACATAAAATGATATTACCGATTTCGTATTATAAATTTCCACGCCCTACAGAGGGTTTCATTACGAACAAACTTCTTCCTTATTGCCCACTCTATGTGTTAACGCCTATTAAAAATCTTCTATGGATTCCGTTTGCAAAGATTTCAAACCGTGAAAGCGACTGACGCAGAGGGAATGGAAGACTGGTATAGACTCATCTTGTTCTCAAACGTCGAGACTTCTTGGCGTTGTGGTTGTATCATCTCGATACATCAAGATGAGACAAATCTCTACGGCTTTTTTGCACTTTATTCGTTTTTGGTATGAATTTGAATTTGGCAAGTCAACATCCTTTAAACGTTTACTTGGCTGCCCAAAAAAAGTTTCTTATAGAAAATCATAAATTTTTATGTTACATTTAGTAATGAAAATCTTTTTCCATTGGTCCGTTCTCGTTTAGATTGCTCTGCGTTTGGCAAATTTCCAGCACCTACAACTCTGAAAAAGCGAATTTCTAGTTGTCAGCTGTATACGCAATCGTAATATTGTTTATCCAATATGGTAAACGCCTAATTGAAGAATAAATTAAGTTAATTTTAAGGAATCACTGACGCTCGAATACGTCGCAGGGTGCAGTGAAAATTCGCACAATGCCGTATGCTCAGTCCAAACCGAGTGGGCCGTTATTTTATGGAAACAAAATAATAAAATAAAATTGTTCAGACATTTCGTAGTAAACACGTTAGGAAAAATTAAAAGAAAAATAGTATACTATTTTGTATGTCGAACAAACTTATTACTAGCAGACCCTAAAAACGATCCGATTTAAGGCTAGGAAGAAATGACCTTTCGTTCAACACCGGCACGATCCTATCCCGGAGGTCGCTCACATCTTTAGAAAAACACAGATTGTAGACCGGGATCAGGTCTTCTGTGACCGGCAATCTTTCCTGGCGAGAGGTTTACTAGCACTATATTTAATCTGTGCTACTAGAAACGTTAAATAAACCTATGCGAACCTATAATGAAGTAGCGCGAGCATGCGTTTTGTGCCCTAGAAGTACATGTACCTAAGATCCCATGTGCAGATAACATCAGGTACCTACATACTTTTTCGAGTGCTCTTGATAAGACATAACATAACATACTGACGAAAACAAAATATATTTGATCCTTGACCCCCCAAACCTAAAATTGGTCACTATCCTCTCTCTATGTGTGCCAAATTACAGCTCAAAGCCTTTTTGATTTATCATACGAATGGGCAGCAGGTCGAACTTTTTTACGTGTTTGATAAAGTAAATAGGTATGTATAAAACGATGGCATTCCTGCACTATTCGGGAGCCGCAACTGACCAGAACATTAGTAAAATAAAACTCACCACGCTACCTACACATTTCAACGTTCAACATTCCCTAAAGTGACGACCAAAATCTTGAGAAAGAAGTAATCCTATTTTTTTTTGTTGCAATGAAATGTTTTACGTGGCGGTTAAAATTATATCGCAACTTTTACCCAATCATGTGAGGTCTTCACATTTGCACCATTTACACATACCTACCGAGTGTCTTAACCCCCGCAAAATATTTTGTTTACGTTTCGAATTATAAGTACCTACCCACACCACATGCATTAACAACTAATAGCCATTTTTCAAAATTATTCATTGGGAAAATTTATCATCATTTCTACTCAAATTAACTTTTATGTGCAACCTTTTAGTCGCAGTATGAAGTGGAGTATTAAGATAGTGTTCGCTCTACTTAACACACGCTCCAATGGCTTGGAACACAAAGGGAGAAAAAAAGAAGGAAGCGTCGCCAAAAAATGTACTTACGGATACTTGTCGCGCTGCAGCCTTATAAACTTGATCAGAGTTCAATGCTGAACACTGGACAAAACACTGAGACCAACAGGTTGTAAGAGCTGGCTACGGATATTTGACTGCTCCCGGAGCGGCTCCGGACGGGCTCCGGGCTCGCTCATGCGCTGATCTTACGTTCAACATGTGCTAGATTAGAAGAAAAATTCTGAATGATTTTATTTTCTCCCTTAACATAAAACTTCACCTTTCAAATTATTTATTTAGGTCTCTCGCGGAATACTACCCCATACATTTTCGGTTCGACGCGCTTTCTAATTAAAATCCAATATTTCGCGCTCGATTTAAGAGTAACGTAAGCTTACGCCGGAACAAAAATTAGGCTTATTCGATCTCAGTGTAAAACCCAATTTAGTTTAGGTTTTCACTCTAAACATTCCGTTCATAGTTCAAAACTCGGTATAGAAAATCTTCGAAGGAGAGTAGTATAATTGACTTGACACAATTTATAAGGTCCACGTTAGACTTTACTTGCAGTGCCTAGGATTCAAAATTCCATTCCCTTCATTTCCCCTATATGTGGTGCTAATTTATGTCGACAAGCGATATATGTACTTTATTTGTATGTGCACACACTGCATATGAATAGGTACCGCATTTATATGAGGTTGGGGGAAGATAAAATGTAAAAATGTAATCGATATGCCTACATTATTTTAATGAGATTCGGGGGAAATTCTATTATCAGTTGCGCTACATTAAATGCCATTTCAGATTCTAAGAGCGGAAGTTTGAACACAGAATATCCATCACGTAACTAACTATTCATGTTCATACACTCGGAAAAGTGAAACTATTAATAGTAACTACCTTGTGGAACTATAGTTTTAATTCAAAAGGCAGAGGAGGCAACCACCTGCACAATAAACAACAACAAAATAACGTAGGTATAAAATGCGAAAAAGGTGGTGGGACTGGGACTCGTCGTTCCTGCAGTCCTTCGATCGCCTTTTATGGCCTCTACACGACAAAAATTGGCGAAGCGTGACTGATTGCATCACCAAGTGACGGCCGATGGGGTCGTCACATCCCGACGCCATATAATTATGATTATTACTAATATATTATAATTATTAGCACGCCTACTGATCTTGAAAAATTGACAAAGCCCATTTTCCTTAGTCCCCTTTATTGATCCGTCAGAAATATAGGTAATAAACCTAATCTCAACATGATATTTCAGTAGCGTACCGAAAAACATGGACAAATAAATAAGATACAGAAATAAATCGAGTAGGTCTAGATACATGTTTTAAACAAAAGTTTAATTGAAACAAATTGCATTGTAGGAATACATTTTCAAAATGATAGTTCACCGAGTAAAAATAGGCCGGGAAAGGTATTGTTAAACTGTATAGCATCATTAACTGTTTATAATGACATGAATACAATCTTGACCTAATCAACTTCTTCCCCATGTGAGTAAGAAATTTGATTAGGATATTTAAATTGTGGGTTTCAAATTGCCTTCTTAATTTTTTTTAAAAGCAAATTACACAAAACAACAAAATTTACACAAAATGCCCATGCCCACGTTAATGTAGTTACTAATTCGTAAAATTTGTGCTACAATTGTATAGCTTATCACGATTTCGATAATTTTTGAATGCACTACCAATAAAATAGTAAATATAGTAGGTAACACCTGAACATTTTTGAAATCAGAGAATATTTTTGTTAGGTACATAATTACCAAACCTTCATTAAAGTTTCCCAAAATTTGTTTGTTAGTCATAGTAGTCCATGGTAAGAAGTTAATGAATGTAGTTTTAATTTTAACGCGATTTGGTATTAATTGCTCTTATTCTTTTCGGTTCACTAAAGGAAAAGATCAAACATATTTTTTTAACTTTGTCGGTAGGTATTCCAATATTTTTGCAGTGATTGGGTAAACATGGGAAAAAGATCGTTGGTCCCCATGTTAACTTTAGCGGGTTTATAATGACATCAATTGAAAGAAAATTTTTGTTTCTCATTTATTGATGTGCGAATTAGTTAACTTTCAGTTGTAGGTACTTCTCATTATTTTATCAAAAATTCAGCAATAAATCGAATTCGCAAAACATGTTCAGGCATGATCCAATAATGGAAATTTTCTAAAATCTAAAGAATTGAAAAAGCCGCAATAATATTTTTGTAAATGTCCCGGCAAAGATCATAAGTCCCGGTGCCTTCGTTCTTTATAGTCGCCATCCCGCGTAAATTCACGAAACATACTTTGCATTGCAACTTGACCTCATAGTAGAAAACTGTAATAATTATTAACGAATATCAAAATCAATCAAACCACAAAAAAAAAACAATCATAACCACAACGTGGTCTCCGGTCTGTTGATATGATATTTTTATGGTCTGTGACCAGTGACCATAACCATTGTTTAAATACATTAATAACATAATAATAAAATTACCAAGTACAAAATTATCTGTTGTAGTCAGAAACAATGAACCAGGTTAATTAGTAAACCACAGTCTGCGATAGATTTTTAACTTATTGTCCTGTTGTCCCTCCACCTAAAAATTGTTCAATGTATCGTGGAGGTATAGATGGAGATTCTCCAGCTGAATTGGAGTCGCAATTCATATTACGTCTACCTGAAGTAGCATACCGTTGTTCATCTTTGGGGATTTGCGATAATTCAACCGGTTTCACCCGGTTGAATTATCGTAAATCGCCTTTGGTGTCAATTTAACGTCACATTTTATTTACAGGAACCAGCCCGATTACTTCGCGATGCAATACACAATAGTAACACTTTGAAAGATAGGTTTGCAATCAAAATCGATGACGATTTGCGACACGGAGAAGTGCGAGTCGACCACTATTTGATGAATGCTAAAGTTGTCGATTTACCCACAATTGTAGAATCTCTGAAGACGATAGACTCGAAGGGGTTTTATAAAACGGCAGATATTTGTCAAATGTTAATATGTAAAGAAGAAGACGATCCGACAGTTGACGAAGATTCGCCACAGAAAAAGAAGAAAGATCCTAACAAAGTGGATAAAAAGTACCTGTGGCCGCACGGCATAACACCGCCAGCAAAAAATGTTCGCAAGCGAAGGTTTAGAAAAACATTGAAAAAAAAGTACGTCGAAGCACCCGAGATTGAGAAGGAAGTTAAACGACTAATTCGTAGCGACAATGACGCTGTATGTGGTTATTTCCAATATAAATTTCGTAATAGAACTTTTGTTTTTGTAGTTAGGTATTAAGTGGGAAGTAATTAATGAAGATGATGAAAATCGTATAAATCGTGGCACCGTCGTTATTAAAAAGGAACCAATTGAGTCTAACAGTCAAAATGTTGCCGAGGATGATATATTTGGTGGTGCTGTTAGTGATTCGGAAGAGGAGGATACGCACGTTAATGTTTTAGAATTAGACGAAACTAGTCAAAATTCCGCCGAAGATAGTCACTTAACCGATTCAAATTCCGTTATGAACACTTCTATGAACAGCAAAATTTATACTGAATTTTCGAGCGAAATGTTTGGAGAAATCGCAAATTCACCGCTTATGGATTATTATCATCCTCCTCCGCCTTCCAATATACAGTACAGCACTCAAAATTTATCCAAGTGTAAGTAAATTTAGGTATTGTTCATAATACACCTTTACATTTCGTTTAGCGTCCATCGAATCTCGATTGGAGGAGTTAGATATGGAGTTGGCGGATCTAAAAAATCGTAGATTACAGCAGGAGATTGAAATCGAAAACTTGGAAAATTTGGCACTCCGCCAACGGTTCCAAGATATATTAGACAGACTATTGCAGGAACAACTTGATAAGGAGCAGGAACAGTATGAATTGCAACAAATTTTAAAGCAAGGACATTTATAGAGCGCTATATATTTTTATATTTACATTTTTATGAAATTATATTACGTATGCAATTCCATAGGATCCTTTGAAAAAATCTAGTTTTGGGCACAGAAGATATTGTTATTCACTTGTGTGGCACATAAATTGAAATTTCTAGTATAAACTGTTTTGACAAATTGAGTATGTGATATATGCAATTAAATTTGCTATTTTACATGATTTAAAGTTTTATTTAAGTAGGTAGCAGCACTATAAGTACTTTTGTCGCAATTTTTATAATGTACCTAGCTATTCTGTGATAGATCGCTCTGTAAAAATGCAAACGTAAATATGTTTGCAAGATTATTGTACCCTTTACATGTAAAATTCTTGTAATTTTGTTTGCATTTGTTCATTGAAAAGACGTGAAATGAACTTTCGACGTGATGGTGGTTGATGCGACATCTAGGTATACAAATATAGCTCCACTAACTAATCTATAAAGTGGATGTCTATTATGACATAATGAATATTTGACTTTTTTGTTGTAAATTTTGGGCCTACGATAACGAAATTTTGATATCTTTTAACATTGTTAATTACTATGTACAAAGAAATTATAATTTGAATTGGGAATGGTTTTAATTAATCGCTATATTCACATGTCTTGTTTTTATTTATAATTTTATCTAGTTTTCATAAAAATTACGATGAAAATTGGGCATAGTGCTGCCACCTACTAGATTAAAAATTTAAATCGCCTCCCTTTAAGTCTACATTTGCAACATTGTCCAGTCGCGAACCGCGCCGCGCCAGTGCGGACAGCGCAAAAAACCACCCATCAGTAACCCGATGAGGGTTGCAGATAGAGGTTCACCGCGATCCATAAAAATTATAGTATCCATATGGTGCTAGTCAAAATTAAATTCCGAAACTTAGTAAGATGACCTGTTATTCGCATTATAAAAGGTAACTCATTTATTCAAATCGAAAGAAATGTAACAAATAAAAATATAAAAATACATCAGTCTTCAATCGTCAGTCAAACTCTTCAGAGTCTGAACCGCTAGAATATTCAGATCCAGTATATACAACCATTTCCTCTTCGTCATCAGGAATCTCATCTGGGTGGTCACCACCCAGATCGAGAAACGTTCTCTGTTTTTCGTCATCATACTTCGTATAATCATAGCTAATATTCCGTGATTTTTCTCCGAGAACTAATTTGGGCCAAGCTACCGGTATCTTCTTTGTTAAACTAACCTTGCAATCTTGACCAGTTAATTTGTACTCAAATTCCTTTAAAACATGGTCATGCAGGAATATCTTTAAAGTATAAGATTTTCCGCTAGTGGTTATCCTAAAAGCAATAAAGGCACTAATTAAGCATTAAGCATAAAATATATACCCTTCAAAAATGAATGCGTTCTTTCGAATCACATTAATTTCACACTTTTCTAGGCAGGGTATTGCAATCTTAAGTTTAATGTGAGTATCTGTCTGATACCAAATAACATGTGGAGTAAAATGATCTTGTAAGGAACTGCTTCTTGGTGCCGGTAGTGCCGGTAAAGTAGATGTTGAAGTCGTAGGTGGGCAGGTATCTTTTATCTAAAGTGGCGATATATTTTTACGGAAAAGATAAAATGAAACTACTTACGTTAAGAAGCTCTTTAAAAAATCCTTCGGATCGATTTATTACGATGTCCCATACTGGTTCATCTGAAACCCCTTCAATCGCTTCAATGGATGAGTCATCACTCACATTTTGCACATGGCGCTTCTGTTCTCGATTAATTTCTTCAAATGTCATTTCTCGTTCTAAAAAAAAAAATATGAGCACGCAGTGAATATGATCATAATACCAATTTCCGGAAGGGAATCATTGTCTTCTTCTTCATCTAAAATTTGCTTCCGATAAGAAAATTCACCGATATCTTCACCATGCAAAGTGGTTGCTATTCCCACGTCAATTAACACCTGGTTGATTACCAGAAGATTCCCGTTAAAATCATCGGCAATTACAACTGCGTATTTCAGTCCGCCTGTGCTTGCAGCCTCTTCTTTTTTATAAACATTTGCGTGTAAAATTCGAAAATAACTTTCGTTTGGTTCAAACATTAAATCTTTCAGCCTTTCAATGGCATGGATGTCCCAGATGTCCCAATCTGGTTCAATGCCCCACAGACGACATTCAATAGCCTGCAGAAAGTAACTAAATTTTATCCTTCTGCTTTTGGCTCACGTTTAAAGGATTTCATATCTAATTCTTTAATTCGTGAAGATGAACAAATTTCGTTTAGTTTTCGTTCTCTTCAAGTACAGATAGAAATGAAAGTGGGGTGAAATAATAACAATGACTAATCAAACAAAACACAATATAAGAAACGGTTGTGAATGAAAAAGACCGATGCTATTGATCAAGTCAATTCTGGAAAAACCGATAATGAAATTTAGTTTAAGAGCTACATGACTGACCAGGAAAAAATCAAATAAGATCAATTTATAGTTCAAAGGCTGTTCCACAAATTATCTACATAACACATGCATTACGTTAATTACCATAACTTCAATCTATGTACTTATACAGGGCCTTCAAATTACAAGGTCGGTAAAGTTAGACCTCGAGTTAGACTTATGCCGATTACAATGGTGAAAACAGGAAAACCACTGACAGTCTCAGTTAGGAATAGTGCCGACTTAAGTTTGAAGACCCTGTATCAAACACTTTTACCTGGAATGGAAGTTTTGTAATATATTTGTCAGGTAAATGTTTTAATTCTGACTTCATAACAGTTTCACAATTGCCATAATCTACCAAAAATACTTTCACAACCTCATCTTTCACTTCGGTTACGATACAACGAGCAAAATCGCCACCGATTGCATCTTTCACCAAGCAACATTTATTGGTAAATATTTCCCCAACTTCTGGATAGAAGGGTTTTTGTAGATTCTTTTGTATCTCTTCCTGGAAATCCTCAAACCTGCAAGCAGTGAATTATCTCGACGCCAATAACCTGATTTTATGCTTACACATCGTAAAATCTCACAATTCTTAAATAGAACAAGGAAGGGGATTCAACGTAGCTAATAAAAACCTGAATACAGTCAGAATCGTCCAAATGCGCCCATTGAGGTTGTGGCTGTCTGTTAATGGTTTTTTGTTCAACATTTAGTGCGTAGCTTGGTAACACAATGTCAGACTTTTTACATAAGTTGTACAGCAGATGTAATGAATTTTCATTAACGTTAGCAATACCTTGTTGTAAAAGAACCTTGCGTAAATTTAATTTAATTACTTCTAGATCACTTGTTTCTAGGGTTTGATAAACTATCATATTCTCAAGCCAGAGATTATTTGTCAACTGTAATAATATTCGGCCCATTAAAAATGCATCATCTTCGTCATAATTTGCGTCGGTTAATAAACTTTCCACTTTTGATTTGCAATAATGGCTCCAGGTATCGTCAGAATCTGTTGGTACAACATTAGCCAAATAGACATCGATCACTACAAAAAGGAGAATGAATACAATCTAACAGACTGTGAAATTACGTACCTTGAGGAGGAATGTTATTAAATTGTGGCGGCAATTTGTATAGAAATGTGGACGAAACATCAAACTTGGCACCAGTATCTAAGCAATGTATTGACACGGTCATTGCTCGCTTAGTTATTTGCTCAAAATGTGTAATTTTAAGCACAGAGCATCGAAGGTAAACATTATCTTTGAGCGCATGATAGGCGTACCAAGCACCTACGTCTACATCAAATACGCACTGCTTTTTCTTGGCCAAAGTGTCATTAAGTTCCTCCTGTAAATTGTCATACAACTGCCATTGGCACAAATTTCCGTCAACGTCTTTAACTTCGAGTATTTTTATACCGAAACTATTGACACTGTAGATCTGAGCAACTCGAAATTTGATTGTACCATTTTTTGGCAAGTTGCTACAGTAGTCGACCTTCTTGGACAAGATGTGGCGCATTTCACATGATGACAATTCGCATTTACCAAACAATTTTAGCTTTGTACACACACTTATTCCGAGTGCCAACTTTTTTGCTTCAACATCTTCAAGCGTTTTCTAAAACAGAAAATGTATCAAGAGACACAGAAAATTACAAACATGTTTGTATCTTCTTGTAATTATAAACTAATTTGAATTCTTCTGTAGTCTACACTACTTAAACAATGCAACATAAACAAACGGAAAGTGATATGTTATGAGAAACGCTGAAAGAGGGCCTTTTTGGTAAAGTCCTACCCAATTACGATTTCTATTCAAAAAAACACGAGTTTGCGTCCTAACTCAAAAACTAGAGCTTAAATAAAAAATTGAGCCCATAATTATCTGCAACTTTTTCCTTTACACATATTTTCTAATGTTAATAATAAGAGAACTATTAATAGGCACGACAAAAAAAAACGAAAAAATAATCTTTTTGATATATCTAGTTAACCATGCATTTTTTTTTTCAAAAAACTAAAAGCTCATTAAATTGAGCTGGTAAAATTGCAATTCTGTCCCCCATTTAATCGTCTCTGCTCTCTCTCTCTCTCTCAATCTCTGCTAGTTTCACAGATCCCCACAAACATCGGAAAATTCACCTTGTATAGTTTATACATTTTGTTTATTCACAATCGTATACGTAATATCTCAATTGCCAACTGTTTTGAAGTTTGGATGTGAGCAATTGTTTAACATCTTTTGCGAACCTCGTCATGGTCGGCAAAGTACTTTCCGACTTGCACGCCAATGCTGACTAGATTTCAATGTTACTCTGACACTAGTGGAATTTTTTATATATTACCTATTTAATACGGATTGTGAATAAAATAGTATACAAACCTCGCTGGTCAGTGGTTCATAACCAACGCGCCTCGCGCATATACCTCACCTCCACGCTTCACACGTCAGTGACGTACCTTAAGACCTTAGTGTAGGTAATGAACCACTTCATTACTATTACATTCTATTTGGCTTATAAAAATGTGGTTGAAAATAAAGATATATGATAGACTCTAGTAGCCTTGTAAGTGATGATAAAGCACACCGGCCTTGATATTTCTGCACATACTTTAACCACCTTGCGACGATCTTGCTAACGTAATATTACATAAAGAACCAGAAAAATGTGACTATCGCGAATTGATCGAAATGATGTGAATGGTAATGAACCTAGAATTTTTCTGGTTTGTGTAATACCTGTCAAAAAAAGAAATTGCCAAATTACCTTGATTATGACAGGGTAGTAATTTAAACAAAGTTGCATATGACTCGTCACATTACACCCCTTTACTACAACTTAATTTCCTGAACTTTTAACAAAAAAAGTGACAATTTTGTTTTGCAGGGAACCAAATTTACCTCGTAATAATTAAGAAACTCTTGTGGTAATTTTCCTCCTAAACGCTTCATCAACTGGACAACTTTCGGAAATTGTCTTACACATGTTTCATCCATAAAACTGTATGCGGTACATCGAGTCCAATTAACCTAAAAATGCAATATCAAACAAGTTGTTTAGGTCACATTTATCTGTCACAAGGAGACAATAGACTTTCTAAAAGAGTACAATGTCAAGTTAACATACGTTTGCCTCAGAAACCAAAGGGCTAGTGTAGTTCTCTATCATACACCTGAATCGATTAATAAATTCGGACCAGGTGTCGGGTAATGAATAATTAATAAGCATCACAGCACTGGTAATAGTGATGTTACAACTGAACACATTTTCCGTACAAAAAAGAGCTAAAAATTGAAAATACTTAAGATAGTTCTTCTATACAGAAAGACATTACCCAAATGTTTTCCCCCAATTGTTTTTTGCCACGCAGATTCGATGTTATTGATTTCCACCATCTCCATATCTTCAGTGATATACAAACAATTAATTCCCGCTATTAGCAAATACTGTTTAACTTCTTTAATTTCATCATCCGTATTACATATAACAATGGAACGACAGATATCAGATTTGCCTTTTAAGATTTCTACAACCGATTTACAAGCGACGTGATCATACAGACCTTATCTTACTTATAAGAGCTCCAATTTTCGCTTTGCCTTCTAAAAACTGCACATTGATATCCACTCGTCCATACATTGCCGCTTCTAAGTACGAACTAATACAAACTATTGGTGTAATATGCAAGGACTTTGATAAATTTTCAATGGAATATGTCCATTTTTCAGATGTGAGAATCATCTGAACTGTGTAGTTACAGTTACGATGGGACAGCATACTTTGTACTACATTAAGTACCTCTTCAGTTTCCTTCTTAAATCTTTCTAAGACAACGTTTGCCTTTTCAATAACTAAATGACATAAACGTTTTAGAGTAATAATTCTAGATGAAAGCAACGATAACAACGTTACAGGGGTTGCCACCAATATGTCAACCCTCTTCTCAAATTGATTCTAAAATTGGGGGATTAGGAAAGTTCATACATATGCATACTTACCAAGCTATATTTATCAACAGGTGGGACTGCAAGAGCAACATAAGATTTTTGCGACGCATCCTTTAATAGTTTTAATACTAAATGGTAAACTTTTTCGGCCACTTCGATGCCGGGACATAAAAGTAGACTAATCGGACTTACAGTGCGTTTGGGTAAATCGGAATAACGCTCCTGCCTTTCTAATTCAAATGAGCAAATCCCGGGCAGATACGCCAAAGTTTTCCCCGAATTTCTCTTCCCTATTATACAAATATTCAGATGCCTCATTACGGCAGGCCAAACGTATCCTTGAATGCTATAAACGTGTTCATACGATCGCAACGCTTTATGTATATCTTTGTGGAAAGGTGCGGCAGTAATTGAAGTTGCAGGTGTTAATACGGTGGTACTAAAAAAATTATGAGCACTTTTAACTATCGGACGATAGCTTAGTTTCTGAAAGTAAGATGTCCGCACCTCCCACAATGAACAATACAGAGAGTACGATCATTGGAGTGGGAATGTAGCAACAACTTATCAGTGGAATGCTTACCTATGCACAAGAACCGTTGGTTTAACAGAACGTTCAATTTTTCCACAATGTGAACTGTAAGAAGATTTAATTTTTACAGGTACTCCACTTGTTTCTTCCGTTTTAAGTAATAATTCAGGTTTCACAGGTCTATGATTCTTCATTTTCACTTCATTAATCTTCTTTCTGGCATTATAGTAGAAATTGCCCTCGCTCCATCCAAGGCACTGCTCACAGGAGCAGTTGTTTAGTAGATGCTTTCTCATAAGTTCGCGGGATTCGTGGTTTTCCTGTGAGGAAGTTGTCTCCTCCAATTCATTATTTAGACCTGACACTTCGCCATTACCTAGAGAATTAGTTTCAACTTCTGCCGACTTATTAGCGAGAAATTCCTCTAATTTTTTCTTAATAGTCAATCTTTTAGGATTATTATCACTTAAATGTGTATTATTAGATAATTGTGATGATGAAGAAATCAAATCAGAATCTGAATAAGGAGAATCCTTAACGTTATCATCAATTTCACTTGATGATAACACCGATCGATTTGGGCTTAAAGTATGTTGAGAAGTACGAGAACAACCCCGTCCCACACCCAAAAAAGGTTCGTTATCAAAATGGTCATGCGACATCTTGGGATTGCACGGTGATGTCTTCAACAATGCAAACTCTTTTGCGTCACCATTCATTTTGAAAGCTGAAATAACTGTGAATAAAATTATAATTATCAACAACGGATAAAAACCTTTTGAAAACATAATTGGGTCCCGTATTAGCACTTGTTCCTTAATTAATATTTCCGATAATTCGAGAGAAATCTTTGAAGTAATAATCGTAATTTCTCCTACATGAGTGTTTCCAATCTCTTTAACACATGTAAATAATACTTTTTCGGCAGTTCCCAAGTAGTCATTCGTTCGTTTCTTGCTACCAGGACTAAAAGTGATCTCGCCAACATTCTGTACACCTGTTGGTGTGCAATCCCGATGCAAGCCCACTACATCATTCAAAGATGCTTTTTTTGTTAACGGTGGTGTACAAGCAAATTCTGGAAGTATTTCATACACCGAATCCGCAGTGTGATCTACCCCGTAATCCACTAACCAACAGCTAAATGGAGCGGTTTCAGATAAGACCAAGGCTCTGTGCCACTTGGTTTCCTTGTAAACTAAGGCAAGCTGGGAGGAATACGAAAATTCAGAGAAGTCTTTTATTGTATTTCTTACCTGTCCAAGACTGGGCGCAGAAATACGCGGGAAATCACCGTGAGCTAATCTCCTTTCCAACCGATTCCGTTGGTTTAAGTTATTTACTTCAAACACCCAGAATTTGTGCGGGTTAAGGAATGTCGTTACAATCACTTCCATATTTTATAACATTACTTCACTTCTATCTAAATGTTTGTAGCTTGTGGAAAACTCCTTTCTGAAGACACAACTCGTAATGAAAACCAAAGCAAAAGTCCTGCACGAGCACGCGTACCATAAAATATATAAACATAAAAGTCATAAAACAATACACAATTGCGCAAGTGCACAAGTATATAGGCAAAATATAGTATACATGGTGTTACATGACCATGTAAAAAAAATTGGGTGATAAGAGGATATCGAGACATGCACTTTTTCCAAATAAACCGAGGGTCCAACGTGTTTCGTTTGGGAGCCACCCATAAATTTCGTAGAAATCAGAATTTTTTTCGCACCCCCAAATAGTGTGCGCCCTTTTGTGATAGAAATTTCAATTTTTTTTTCAAAATCGCATGGGGCATACCCGAAAACCTATTCAAAGACGTGCCACCCATCCTTGTAACAGTTGCTGAGAAAAAATTAAAGAAGAAATCCAATATTTTACCACTTCTTTGGGGGTGGCTCCCAAACGAAACACGTTGGAGCATCGGTTTATTTGAAAAAAGTGCCTGTCTCGATATCCTCTTATCACCCAATTAATATATAATTATATGTAACACCCTATATATAAATTTATATATGACTCGAGGATTGAAACATAACGGTGGCTAAAAAGACGCCCCCGGGCCTCGATCACAAAACACCGACATGACTATTTCTTTACAGTGAGGTTAAGCTAATCCTTAGTAACACAACAGTATCGCGATTATCAATCGTTTTGAAATAGTGAAGTTATTTAATTGATTCTGAAATGGATTTGTTAGCTCATCATCTTAATGAAATAAAAATACCTGCACAAGGGGATAAAATATATAAAGACGAATGTATGTTCTCCTTTGATAACCCTGTAAGTGCGTTTCATAAAATCGAAAACAATTTTTTTCATCTTTTATGTAGGAATCGGAAACGGGATTATATGTCAGTCTTACAAGTTTCTTGGGATTTGGCCGATGTCATGTTGAAAGATACTTCCGTAAAACAGGACATAGTGTGTTCTTACACATTCGTAGAGAACGGCGAGAGGTTATTCCCAATCCTAAACAGTTGACGTCTATTTAACTTGCCAGTTTTAGGTGCAATCGCCTACATTAGGTGATGGTCCCGAGAAAAAAATTACACGATTAGCAATTGGAGTTGAAGGTGGTTTTGATCCCAATAGTCAAAAAAAGCTGTTTGAATTTGAAGATATTTATAATTTAGTGATTTTGCCCGATTTTGCGACAATTTCGTGGCCCAATTCCGATTTACCAGATATCGTTCGGAAATCTGTACAAGCGATTCTAGATATAGATTCCGCTACGAAATTAGCAGAATTAGAAAGCTTGAGTAATACGTGGGACGGTGAAACAAGAAGTGTTAGTAAATTTGCCGCAAACTTAACTCAATTAGACAATGGTATTAAAATTCCGCCATCTGGCTGGAAATGCGAGAAATGTGATAAAATTGAAAATCTTTGGTTAAATCTCACCGACGGTTCAATATTATGTGGACGTCGCTTTTACGATGGTACCGGAGGAAATAACCACGCAATTGAACATTACACAATCACAAATTATCCTTTAGCGGTTAAATTAGGGACAATAACTAAAGAAGGAAAGGCAGATGTCTTTAGCTATGCCGAGGATGATATGGTAGAGGATCCGCTATTAATTAAACATCTTGCACACTGGGGTAGGTTTCCCTTCTTACTTAAATTGAAAAAGGTTGTCAAAACCACTTTCTTTTGTGCCACAGACATCTGTGATGTGTTCCTTTATTATCATTGGCAAAGAGTTTTTTGAAGATATACCTACAGTCTGCTTTAAATATTAAAGTTGACTGCACTATTGTTAACTTCTTAGTTGTCATGGAAAACACATTCTTGCTGTTACACGTTGGTAATAATCAAGAACATTTTGAAAATTATTGTATAGGACAAATGATTGAACAAACAAACATCATTTATCGTTTGTATGGACAACTAGATTCATATTTTGATGGTTCACTACTTAGATTAGGAAAGAGTATGGATACCGCATATGCCGTACAGCCCATGTATGAATCGTGTTACCTTTTTAAACAAGTCCGCCATTTTATATGTGGCACATATGTCATTAAAGTAACATCGTTTTTTATAAGTTTTTGCGCTTAAATTGAGAGGAAATACACAAACAACAACTTAAAATCATGGTGAAATGTGCATATTGTGGATGCAAAAGCCAGAGTGAGAAGGAGGAACCGGGAATTTCATTTCAAACGTAAATATTGAAAATGTGCCTAATGCCGTTACCACGTATTTTCCTATTTTTCCTCATAAAGCTTTTTCTTTGAATATTCTTCTTTTAATATGTTAAAATTCATAGCTTAATGAGCGACTTGACTTAATTTCTTACAACAGAACCAATCCCATGCATTCAAAATTTGATAACAAACGTCTTCAAGGATGGAATTATTCAATAAACTCCATAGGCGTAGTCATTATCACTCCGCGTTTTTCAAAGAGAAAATTGGTACGGAAACGGCTTTACGTGAAAAATCAAACAGAAAGCAATGAAGATTCTTATTTTATCACAATCTTTAGCTGGAGGGAGTGGAGGGACAGTTAGTTTTGAAGGCATTTCCGAAAAAAGATGAGAGGAAGTTTCGTTTATACCCGTGTCTGATTAATAAATAGCGCAACGCACGAATTTCATTCGTATGTTCAACTTCAACGTGATTTATTAGCTATAATAGGTGCTTCTGCCACTATTCGCATTTACGGATGCTACGACACTGGCCAATGTCAATATGTGGCAGCTGGTAACACTACCGCTAGTGAATTATGCGTCCATATTCTTTCCTTGTCTAAGGTTCACTATGACTGTTATTAGCAGTAACAACAAAATTTGGAAGTAGGCCTACCTTGATTGAGGCCCACATCCTTAAACTGGTATCTTTCCTTGAACCATGATTAATGGCCGTTTGAACCAACAAATTTAAGTGTAGCTTAGCTTAAGCGTAGCTTAAAATCAATGGCAACGATTATTGCGACAATTTTTGCTTAAATTTTTCGGTGCAAGCGGACATAAATCAAATAGGAGTAAATGCGTATTTTGCACGCTCACCAGGGCATGGCAAGCTTAAGATATTAAATGTAAAATCTGTATATATCGAACAGTGTTTAAGTAAAAAATGTTGATGTGTAGGTATTAACATCGCAAATATGGAAAAGACGGAAAAATCAATGATTGAAATGGAGTTGGAACTTAATCAAAAGTCCAATGAATGGATGGCATTACAGGAAAGTGCCGGTCAGCTTAAACCAATGTACGGACCTGGCTATACTGGAATGGTCAATTTGGGCAATTCGTGTTACTTGAATAGTATAATGCAGATGATTTTTAATATACCAGACTTCGTAAAGAAGTACGTGGACTGCGCTTCTACAATCTTTGATAATGCAAACATGATGAATGCTGCAGATGATTTGGCTGTGCAAATGTGAGCTTGTTTTATTCTCGTTGAAATTTTCACATTCTATCTTTAGGGCAAAGTTGGGTGTAGGATTAGTATCTGGCACATACTCAATACCACCCCCGAAAGGCTCACCTCCCGATGCCGATTCGCCCGGTATTTCTCCGATAATGTTTAAAACTTTAGTGGGTCGTGGTCATGCGGATTTTTCGACCAAAAAGCAGCAGGATGCGCAAGAATTCTTTTTATATTTGCTTACATTATTGGAACGTGTTAACAAAAACGATTTCAACCCAGGAAATTGTTTTAAGTTTCAAATTGAAGATCGTGTGCAATGCGCAGCTACCAAAAAAGTGAAATATACATGCAGGGATGAATGTGTCCTCTCTCTGAACATACCTCTGGAAGCTGCCGTGAACAAAGACGAAGTTGCGGCTTACGAATTACGCAAATCGGAGCTAGAGACGAATGGTAAAAAAATTGATCCGAATGCCTTGGTGAGACCACGTATAAAGTTCTTTTCGTGTCTGGAAGTTTTCACTCAAACCGAAAACATAGATCAGTTTTACAGCACAGCGTTAAAGGCCAAAACTACTGCGAGAAAGTAACATACTTTCCGTAGTATTAAAATTTTATTCGAATCGTTTTTTAGGTCTACGCGCTTTGCATCATTTCCCGATTATATTGTGATTCAGTTAAAGAAATTTACTTTAAGAGAAGATTGGGTACCGATCAAACTGGATGTCGCTGTAGAGATGCCAGATTTGCTTGATCTCAATTCATTCAGAGGGCACGGACAACAGCCAGGAGAAGAGTTACTGCCGGAACTTGTTACATCAGTACCCGCCCCAGATTTTGATGAGGCAGTTTTATCACAGCTTCAGGAAATGGGTTGGTAGTATTCTTATTCTAACAGATCTTGTTGCACATACGAAGTTTTTTAGGATTCCCCATGGAAGCGTGTAAACGAGCAATTTTTTTTACACGTAATACCGGTTTAGAAACTGCATCTTCCTGGATAATGGAACACATTACGGATGCCGATTTTTCGGATCCATTTATTCCACCAGGTACAGAAAGTTCGGCGTTTGTTCCTGATCCACAAGCACTTCCCTTAATAACGTCAATGGGATTTACCCAGGAACAGGCAACAAAAGCACTAAAAGCAACTGATAATAATGTCGAACGAGCGGTCGATTGGATTTTCTCCCATCCCGACGAATTAGAAAGTACTACCGCACCTGCCGCGCCACCATTTAAAGATGGCAATGGACGTAAGTAGTGTGTTGGTACGTAGTGCTGAATAACCGTTTCGTAATTTCAGAATACAAACTAGTCGCTTTTGTCTCTCATATGGGACCGTCGAGCATGGTTGGGCATTATGTCGTGCACATTTTAAAAGATGAACATTGGGTCATATTTAATGATAACAAAGTGGCACTCTCAGAAAATCCACCAAAGGAGTTAGGTTATTTGTATTTGTATCAAAGGCTGTAATTGAATCTTAGTACGTCACATTTGCCTCATTTATAATTTTGTACATTTGTGTGTGGAAAACTAACGTATAACTGTAAATGAATAAAATTTTTCATACTTGTATTTTTTTCTCAAAGATGTACGAAGACTACTAATAATAAACACTCATTTTGTATACACAGTTGTACCTGCTTTACCACGATCGCAATAATAATTTCCAACATTAACGGCTGGTATTATAAAGCCTACTTAACTACATTGTCAGGCTAACTAACGAAATTATACGTTCCCAGTTCCCAACATTCTGGGTTGCTGTGAAACAAAGGATACAATACAAATTTGAACATGAAAAAGAGGGAATGAATTAATTATATAATTTTTCTTAAAATGTAAATGGAATTTTTATAGTAGTTATTGCTATTAATTTAAACAATTTTGATGGTAATCCAAAAGTGTGGGAAAATTCTTTAAAAAAAGTGGTAATTGTTCCGCGAGCACCAACAAGTAGTCCAATTATATCGATTTTTTTTAATCCATAAGATGCTCTGAAGAAGGTTGTTGTTGGACCATAAATCTTTTGTTTTTCTAAATTTACATTAATTGCTTGGTGTTCTTCAAGTTCGAATCTAATAGTGGCATATTGCAACATTAACTGCTTGACTTTATAATTCAAGTATAGGTATGTTGTTTTGATAAGACAGATAAGCTTTCAATTGGCGTTTTGTGCTCACCCATATTGTTACTCGCACCTAAGGACTCCGGAACTTGCACTTGCATACAAAATTTAATAAAAAACCAATTATGCTCCGTCCTCCAAGCAGAAAAACACTAATCAAGTTAAATATTTTATAATTCATCATAAAAAAAGACCCATTTATATCTAATCTAACAAATAAATCGTGAATATTTGGCCCTTTAACACTGACAACCTGTAAAAGATCATATATGAATAAATAACATCGAATATACGTTAGGTATATCGAAGTAATTGTATTTGTATTGCTATTTGGTTATAGGTTGTCTGGACAATTATTCATAATAAAGTCCAGAATATATAATAATCCAAGTCACCTAAAAGAAAGAACAGTTAGACTTGCTTAGACAGTTATTCATAGAGCATTATTTACTAGAAATCCAGCAAATGACGTCATAAATCCTTCTTTCGTTAGCTCCCAAGCACCACCGTATTCGTCTTCATCAACGCTTTGAAAATTACTGAAGTATACATACACAACTCCAGCATTTACGAGTGCAAAACTAAAAAATACCCTTAGCGTTTGTTTAAAACTGTTTCGACTTACAATAATAAACCTACAAAGCCTTTTAAAGGAATTAGGGCCCATATTACTCCCAATATAATACCTAATGCTTGTCTGGCCCAATAAATGACATCTAGAAATTCGTCCTGTAAGAATTTGATTAATGGAGTGAGAACATGTTCTCTTAAGGCTCAGTTTGTGTTTAACCTTATCCAGCCATTCAGAATTGGAAGTGATAGCCTTTGTCCATACCGATAAATTACCTGTATTTTTTAAAACGCCATTACGTTCAACAATTTTCGTTTTTGTAGCCATGGCTCTAAAGAATAGAAGACCAGATGCTGAAACTACTGAAGATTAAAGGTTAAACATTCAAACTGCCACTTTACTTACAGCATGGCGAATTGACAACTGTCAATTTCACATTCAGATAAAACCTTAAAGGTCCCATACACGGTACGATCGATCTGTCCGATCCGTCGTTTCATACCGATCGAAACGACGAATCGATAGTGTATGGCTCATTGCGATCCACGATTCTACAGGGCATGTATGACTTTTTAAATTAAATAAATTAAAAAAATTGTCTCAGATCGACCCGGAAAAATTTTCTTATAGAATGTGGCCTGTAGAATCCATAATTTCAAACAGTTTCAGGATTGGGCAACTAGTTCAAAAGTTACAGCCCTTTGAATTTTTTTCTAGTCTATACTCTATAACTTTTGATTGAGAAGTCTGATCGAAAAAGTACAACCTGATTTGGATTCTACGCACCCAAATTAATAAGAAAAAGTGTTTTCCCGAGAATTTTTGGTGTAGTCGATTTTTGGTAAAAAAGGAAGGTATTACACTGCATTTTTTTGAACGTCGAAAAAAAATTGTCTCAGATCGATCCGGAAAATAAATTTTCTTATAGAATGTGGCCTGTAGAATCCATAATTTCAAACAGTTCCAGGATTGGGCTACTACTTCAAAAGTTACAGCCCTTTGAATTTTCTTCTAGTCTATAACTTTTGATTGAGAAGTCTGAATAAATGGCAGTTCAAAATGTACGGAGTCTTGCAAGATTTGTAGAGCAATTGTAGTTTAAAGGCCCGGTTTTTGAATAGATAGATTAAATACAATATAAAGTCACTAGATATATCTATATTTAGTGACTTTAATAAAATAAGTACTAGTGCGCCATCTCTATGGCAATCGATACACTTTCTATCAATTATAGTTTTAGAAGTCTAGTTGAGATGTCGCCACGTACGCATCTTCTTTTAAAATTTTATTTGAATTTAAGCGATTAATAGCAACGTTGCACGTATTATTCCTTAAATGCAGTGCCGTTTTTAAGTTTTTCGGGGCCCTGGGCCATTCCTTCGTGGAGGCCCTCCTTACCCTCAATAAAAACGGCAGATTGGGGAGATTCAAGCAAATCCCTAATTTGAATATGGGCACTCGATATTTGTGTAGCCTGGTTTGTAGGCAACACATCATGCTCAATGAACAGAAAACATTTATTTTTGCAATTTGTAACTTCTTTTATGCATACGAGTTTATTTAAAGCCCTTGGAAGAACAATTTCAATAACAGGTATATTAAACTGAACCGTTTTACAACAACTTTCACACGAAGATCGCACAAACAACACATTTTTTCGTGATTGCAAACTGCGTAACACTTCTGCCTTATTTCGCTGCCAATTTCACTACCGTTTCTATAACCGTAGTTCTATCAAATAAACTCTAGGCTCAATTCTTTAAAGAATAGCTTCGCACCATCGCCAGCTGCTGCAATCATGTAATCGTTCCGATTTTAACCTTGAGAAGTTTGAATTGCATTAGAATGGGCACTTTGAATTTTTTTTCGAAATTGGTTTCTAATCTATAACTTTTGATTGAGTCGTAGTTAGGTTAGGTCAGATTAGTTTGGGCGTTTTAAATTTTTACAAATTATCTTGCAAGTCAGTGGGACAGATTCGCCCACTCAAGAATGTAAACAAAAAATTACTTTTTCATCACCATACTCTTCACCTTTGTTTATTTAAATAATTAAACAATGATAGTACTTAGACTGCCATAATTCAATTTTAACGGTCATGTTTTCATTACATCCACAGAAATAAAATCAATGATTATGCAAAAAAATATCTCTATAGAGACATAAGCCATTGATTTAATTACATTGTCAAACATGGAACTGCAATACGTGTATCAAAAAAAGAGGGCCGAATTTGGTCGCCAATGCATATTTTCTGATAAAGGTCCAGATCTGATAGACAACTATGCAGCCAATAAAGAATTGGGGCAGAATTATATTTTACAGTACACATCTGTAGCTTATGTGGTAAACACTCAGCACTAATATTTTAGAGATCCGGTTTCGCAAGGATCACAGTGTGGCCCTATACTTGCTGAACACGAACTCAACACAACACGAGCAAACTTTGTGAATTGTGGTATAAACCATATCGAAGGTGGATGGCCTAAAGATGTAAATAAAGACGACGAAGAACAAACGAAACGGTACCGAAGGAAAATTGAAAAAGATGACGCATACAATCCGATTATCATGCAATTGTGCAAAGTAAGAATGATACAAACATAAGACAGACAAACAAGAGCTCACCCACCGTGACCTAAAAGTGATTATTATAATTTTAGAGTATGGAAAACTGCGTATTACAAAATAATTCCATTAACATTTATCAACAATATTTTTCCGACATTGAAGCAACTCCATTAGTGGAAAAAAGTTCGGCACGTACTGTGAACGTATACCAAGACCAGTGTCATACAAAACGACCGATTAATCGTATTTCTTGGTCTCCCGATGGTGGTACCAAACTAGCCGTGACCCACTGTGATTTAACATTTCAAAAACCGACAAACATAGATGGATGCCACTCCTATCTTTGGGAAGTTGGTAGGTTGTAGTTTTCCATCTTCTTTTTATTTTACTCAATTGCAGAGAACCCAAATCGGCCTCTACTCATTTTTACACCCAGGGCCACGCCGATGGTATGTCTGGAATACCATACGAAAGATGTCAATACACTTGTGAGCGGACATCTAAGTGGTAGAATTGCGGTGTGGGACGCCCGAAAGGGATGCGAACCTGTTCAAAGGAGCGTAACGGACATTAGTCACCGAGAGCCGGTAAACTGTGTTTTATGGATAAATGCAAAGTCTGGGTTGGAGTTCTTTAGTACATCCACAGATGGGCAAGTAAAATGGTAACTAAATGGTTGATTATTTTTGGCAATTAAGGAACGGAAACATTCACAACAGTAGGTTATACGCCTTGCAGGTGGGATGCCAGAAAATTATCAGAACCCTTGGAAACATTGGAATTAATGTCTCCTAGCGAAACAACACAACGGCCCATGAGTGCGTGTTCTTTAGAATATGAGCCGACTATTCCGACCAGATTTATGGTGGGTACGGAGAAAGGGGTAATCATTTCGTGTAATCGAAAAGGAAAATCGCCAAGTGAAAAGATGGCAACTCGGTATATGGCGCATTTGGGTCCGGTTTTAGCCATACAGCGTAATGCGGCATATGTAAAAAATTTTCTTACCATTGGAGATTGGACGGCGCGAATATGGTCGGAGGATTGCAAAGAAAGTTCAATTATATGGACATGTTACCATAGAGATCAGCTTATTGACGGAGGTTGGAGCCCTACCAGGTAGAAATGCGTGTATTACATTCTACATCCTGTATGGTCTCATTCTAGAGTATCCGTATTTTTTACGGCACGAAGCGATGGTACTCTCGATGTATGGGATATACTTCAACAACAGAAGCAGGCTTGCCTTGGCATTAAAGTAAGCGATGAGTCGCTTAGTTGCTTACGTGTTCATGATCAGGGGCGATTAGTTGCCGTTGGCAATGTGAAAGGTACCACAAATTTAGTCCAATTAAGTGAAAATCTTTCAACCAGTAGTAAAGTAGACAGAACATTACTAACGGCGGTAAGTGCACGAAACATATAATTGCAAAATGACGAGTGTGCCAAATTTAAGATGTTTGAAAGGGAAAATAAACGTGAAAAAATTTTAGAAGCGCGTAATAGAGAAATAAGATTAAAAATGAAAACTAAAAGCACTCAAGTTATTGGGGTGGAGAGTGTCTGCCATTTGGATAATTTGCAACCTTTTGCGGTCAATATTGCAAAAGACCCCGGTGTCAGAACAACTGAAGATGAATTCTTTAACACAATTGCTAAAGGTGAAGATAAGGGTATGATATTAATACATTATGTTAGTTTATTTCTCTCCACATTGTCGATTTTTTAGAATCAATCAAGGAATAGGAACATTTATAGAAACTAAACATTATTTATAATACAATGGAATTGTAAAAAGTTCACCTGACTTAAATAAACATTAAACGTAAAATCGTCTCTCTAATTTTTACGTCATCATACCCACACGCGATTTATACCCACCAAATTGGGTGGAATAGTATTGTATCATTGGCGTTTACACAGGAAATTGTAAAATCCATACCATTGAAGTACTCTGTGGCATTTTAATGAAAAATATTATTTTTAAACTTTATATTTGAACTCTGTTCAAATAATATTTCTACATACTAATACCCTAATGGATGCATTCATATCTTAAATTAAAAAAAAAATACATCAGATATGTGTAGTGGGGAAAATAAGGTACACTACTTTACAAAAAGGAACTCAATTCGTGGAACTAAAAGCATTAAATAACCAGCGTCTTTCAATATTCGCACCGATACCCATTAACTCTTGCTTGAATACAGTAGGGAAACGAGTCATCAACACCTCAATATCCGAAGGCTTTAGATTTGATTCCAACTTACTGACATAAGACCATATGTAATCTAACCCTGCGCCGAAAGGATGCACATTCAAAAACGTGGAAATGATACCGACTAGTCTAGCATCACGTTCATTCAACGGCGGCACAGACACGACAACGATATCACTAGCCGCATCACAAACACTCGCTTCCGATTGCTCCGGCTCGCTGTCGTCTAAATTGACGATGTCCCTTTCCGAGCTTGTCTTTGTTTTTGCTTCGGACAGTTGCTGAATCTTCGTTTGGAGATCTTTCGCTTTGCACTCCTCTTCGGATTGCTTACGTTTAGCATCAATCAACTGCTGCTGCATTCCCTGCAACGTATGTTGTAGCATTTTAAATTGTTTATCTTTTTCTTCGAGTTCTCTCTTTAAGTCCACTTTAATTACTTCGACCTTAAAATAAACAGAAATCATTATTCAAAACGGTACAATTTGAGTGAAGAACACCCCTAGTCATCCTCCTGACAAAGGGTTTTAAAATGAAATTTAATTTTAAATAAAGTCAACTAGTCAATCTTAAAGAAAAGGAGAGCTAGGCTCATAAGTTATTAATATCCCCAATCTCCAATATAACACACCTCATTTTTGTACGCTTCCATTTGACAGCGCAAATTATCATTTTCCTCTCGTAGTGAATTTCTTTCCTCATAATGTGTATCAACACGGGGGCGTTTACGAGAGCTTTCTTCTCCATCTGATACCTCCATTTCATCATCGGCCCTTTCAAATTGTGGTTCATCGTCCAACTGTATATTCTTGAGTTCCTATAAATCGTTTGAACATTAGCAAGAAATTTATACACGTATACTAGCGAAAAATGTGACCAAAACATGTTATTATCACTACCACAAAAAGTTATTGTCAATAAAATGTTCGGTGCATAATATAGGAATAAAGGTAGATTTTGATGAAAATTGAACAAATTCTCTCTTTCATACAAAAGACTACAATGTGTGATATGTTTTTACAAACTGGGCCTTCACTAATACATGAATTAAAGCTGCAGCTTCCCACATTTTGTCATATAAGCAAAAAATAATGCGTTGTATTAAAGCCCATGATTGATTAGAATGTTAAATGATTCAGCACGAAAAGAAAAATCAAGACAGTTTGTCAAGCCACCCAGGACATACTTACAAATATCTGTTGATCCGATCGACTAATGTTTATAGTCAAAAAAGGTAAAATCTAAACATGCATATGAAATATGATGTGAATCAAAATTAGTTTATTTCAACCTTTCTATGCAAAGATTTTATTTTACGAAATGTTATCCTACCTCCTACCAACAAGGGAGTCGAACGCTTTAGTTCTTCCAAACTGACAATATTGCAAAACTTTTTGCTTTTAAAATCCCTATGTATTACAAAAGATTTTAAAATGTATTGATATACATAGGACAAAACGTACCCATATGATGGAAAATAGATTTCTACTGATTGGAAAATTAACTTTCTAATTCAATGCCAACCTGTCTCCGGGACAGAATGAGATTTGCACCTGGTAAACCAACAATTACGTCCATGTTGTACCCAATTCTGTACCTACCTTGGTTACTGCTGATGCACTATCATAAACCCTGTGCTGAAATAAAACCATCCTCTTAAAGGCGAGATGTTAATTCAAGGTAAGAATAAAATACACCACAAACCACAATTAAAGGTGTGCCCTTTCTTTGGTCAAGAAATTCTTTGCATTAAAATCTATCAGCTTTTTGAAATCCTAGGACCCAGATGGTAAAATAAATGCATTTCGTAATACACTGTGGGAATAAGGGAGTGTAGATTGTTGACCACTCGTATCTTTACAAACAATGCATCTTCTAATTTGTCAGAAATCTACTAAAGTGAAGTGATGTATATCACGAGTCTCTAACTTGGAATAAATGAAGTAAATCAAAGTACATTTTTTTTTTGGAAATATGCTCGGACACATTGGTTAGGGTTTTATCCAGTGCCCCAAATTTGAGATATGACGTCATCGATTGTGATGCTGGATACACCAGGATGGCGGTGCACCTGCACATAATTCTAGACCCATCCTTCAATGAGATTTCCAGAACAAGGGGTTCATTAAGAATCGTGTTTATCAGTGAAGATTAGCAACAGAATAAAAACTGAGGGGTTAGTTCTGGAAGTATTTGCTACCATCGCTCTACAAATGCCGACTAGGGTATATTCGAACATATAGTCTCCAAAATTTAGTTGTTTTATTCAAATTCGTTTCTTGTTGTATTTTAATTTTTACATGTTCTGTTAATTCAATTTAAACCGAAATGAAACCATAAAGTGGTATACATCATTAAATTCAGAATAAAAAGGGCTATAAGAAATGATATCGGAGTATCAGGGCCACATTTCAAGAATGAAGTTGATCCGAAAAGACAAGACGTCAGATTAAAAAATTAACAACGCCATCCTAAAGAGCATTAAAAACTGCTGTGGAGAAAAGTCATTGGATTTGGGTTCCCCCAAGAGGATTCCAAGGAGGCAGTAGGGGCGCTCATGAGTAAGTGGGGGCCGTTGATTATGTACTGTGTGACCTATTTTGGTTGAGACATAAGTGTATCTGACCTTTTACTGTTTTTAAATAGTAGGCCATGGATTATACCAATCAATAAAAATGGCTGATATAATACATAAGTATGTATACAAAACAAATTGTAAATTAGCATATACATGATGAAAGCGCATTTATGGTAATACAGATCAGTATTTTATTAGTAAAATTATACGAGTAATCTAACTCAAAATATCTACACTACAGCAGAAAGATTTTAATAAAAATTTGAAGTGTCTAGCTATGTAATTGCCGAGATCTCAGCCAGCCAGCCATTACGAATATAATAGCGTATTTTTTTTTCAAAAAAGCTCTAAAAAATATAGGTTGTGACACATCAATGTAAACAGGAAAACGAATGCAAATAATTGAAGTTAAGATATATACATATAGTCCTTATAAAATACCTTTTTTTTGTGTTTATTTCTGGAGATGAGCGTGTTTTAAAATGCCATAGCTGATTAAATAAATGTGACCATTTTGTATTACTGGTACTCAACGTTCACCCCACTATACCAAATTAATGCCGATTCAAATCTTTCACACAAAATCTACCACCATTCCATAACAATAAATGAGATACTGACTCAACGTTGAATTTTTAGAAATGGCCTGTCCGCCGTAACACTTACCTTCTCTATAACCACTGCTCTTATCATACACATACAAAAATAGATTTTATAAATAAAAGTAAATGGTTACCAACATTATCAAAAAATGTAGACATTCATTAGAATTACTTTACTAATCATTTCAGGAGCTAGAATCCTCCACTGATAATACAATTAATTCTGACAACATACTACTACACATGCAGAATTTCGGACTTTACAAAAGATTTTTTTATTCAACCTAAGCATTCATTTCGTAAGGTCCGAAATGTACGTACCATTGATTGTTTTTTCCATAATTCGATGTTTTTTCGCTGGGCTTTCGTGAAATGGTCCCAAACCTTCTTGTGACAGGCAGCGAGGAACACACGCTCGATCTGACTGACTGATAGGCACACGCAAATATACGATTAAATGACAGAACTATTTTAAGAGATTTTTACAAACTACTAATTCACTTAGAGGTTACGAGATGTTGTGCCAAAAAAGAAGTGCTTTTAAATTCTGTGACATCGGGTTGTTTCCTGATCGTGTACTCACCTGTATAAATTGGTTGGAGCTATACTAACTACGGTTCATTGTAATTTATCATCGACCCACGGCAGAATTTAAATCTTTCAATGTGCTGGAAAACCAAGTATAAAAAGACGACTTTTACAAGCCCTCTTGACGCAGATGACCCAGTAGAAAACCCATTCAGGAACTTTACAGTTTGTGACTTTGTGATTTATGATCTCTTTTTATTATTATTTCACAAAGATTGGAAATGGCACACCCCACTGGACCTATCGCCCAAATCTTGCGAATCAATTTAAGAATTGTATTCAATTTAGGAGCTTTTCATGATTAAATTCCAGACCAGAAAAAGTATCTAAAAAAAACTCTGTGATAGTTCAAGTGAGACCGCAGTATCAAGACCCATCCAGTCAAAATTGCTGTTAATTGCAAGTCCTTTGTGCGTGTGGAGCAAACATTTATGCAAACTGTGGAAACCCTATTGGATTAAGAATGGAAAAGACGCCAAAGAGCAGAACAATTAACTCACACTTAAAGGGAGATAAGCCGAGAGAGACAAGGCGATTTTACTACTTCCAGATAAACGAGAATGCGCACTTCACAATATTTCAATATGAAAATCCCAAAGTAAAAAATTTGCTGTGGTTAGCGCAGATACCACCCGCACACCTAAAGTCACTAGATATAGAAAGTACCGCAATTATCCGCCATTTTTGGGCAAATTTGCTGCCAACTTAAAAAAATTGACAATTAAAATCTGAATAGCTGTAATTTTTTATAACCAAAGTCATAGTACTGTTATGTTTTATAATAGTTATTTATGTATTAAGGGCATAATAGTGATGTTTATATTCTCAAGGGCGACGAGTTAAAAAGCTCGAGGGCCTATGGCCCGAGAGCTTTTTAGTCGCCCGAGAGTATAAACATCAGTTTATGCCCGTGGTACATACACAATTTTATGTTTTACAAATAGTTTTCTTCGTCAAAATTCGTTTACAAAATAATTCATTATGTTTGATCGAGTATGCGTGGTTCGAATTTGTTAATGTGATTGAAACCATCCAAACGTCAAACGTAATTTTAAATAATTCAATTCATCATGAATGAGAAAGAAGTTCCAGAAACTATACGAAATAAGGCCAATCTTGTGATTTAGTAGCTATTGACAATTAATAATTGACGTTTCTAATTTTCAATGACCTGCAAATATTTGTTTGTTTTGTCATTAAGTATTAATGAGTTACTATGGTGATACTTAATGCCCTAGGGCATAAAGTGGTACTTTATTATATAGGGCATAAAGTTAGGGCATAAAGTGGTACTTTATGCCCGCGTATCACAGATATAAAGTGTGCTATTATAGGTTAGTAAGACATAAAAATATATACAGATATCTCCAAACAGGTGGAACAATCCCTAACATTAAAGTTACTAGAATCTGGTAACTTCCGTCATTTTTGGGCAAAAATCACACGAGCCCCAATGGATTGCGGTACTTTCTATATTTAGTGACTTTATGCACACCTGCGCATGCGCGATTACGTCTGAGAATATGTGTACCAATCAGACAGACTGACATCATCGAGAATTGGTTTCATTTGGATTCCTGGTGCTTCAAAACGTGTATTTCCGTAAAAAAATTTTACCCCCTTGCTAAAGTGCGGGTGGTAAAAGATTGGTAAGTGTCCAGCTTTTAAACACAATATTTACATGTAGGATACATCGGCTTGTCTGGTCTATTAACTATCTACCTACAGAACATCGATGAAGTTAATCATAATGGCAGGTTTAAAAGCACTCCAATACGGCACACGTATACACTGATGGTAATGTAATATACAGACTTAACATTCTCGCAAATTCAAAACTGAAGCTTTGCTCTAAATTTACATCTCACTAGTGAAACAAGTTTTGTGTTTGGAAAAAAATAGGCAAAAACATGTAGAGCAGTAATTTGAAATTAGATAAAGTTGTTTATTTATCCGAATTCTGATATTATTAGTTTGATCTTACAATAAAAATTAGTTTTTTGCACGCAAAAGACTAAAGTGGTAATTTTAAAGCCAGATCTAGCTTGATAATTGATGCCTGTCACCCAGAACAGCATTCCTAAGATTAAAATACACACTTCAGTCTCTTGGTTATATATCAAAGCCATCAAATGATGTAGGATAGGTAGTGGGTCTGTACATTACATTATATTGGCTTAAAAGTAAAAATACAAGGAGCTTTTACAATTATTTCTAATTGTAACCAAGGAAGCGAATAAAAAAATGCCGCCAGCATTTTATAATGTACACTTCTTACAAATTGTGCAAGGTTTCCCTATACAATTATGTAGTTCGAGCAAATGGTACAATAAGCAATTTAAAATATCCTGCCACGTTCCATATGGCGCCTGTAAAACATAATTTAATACCTTTCTATACCACTAGTGCATTTTCTATTACTGCGCGCGATTTGTTTTTGTATGCTTCGATAATGCACAAGTTTGTTTTGACCGAGCGACTTACTGACCCACAAAATAAAACAGGAAAAGGCGAGGTACTTACATTGCAGGAGAATGCCTTGCATCCGACCCTTCATTATTTCCTTCGCCTTTTGCAACTCGTCTTCGTACTGCGTTTTTTCAGTCAAAAGTCGTCTTACATGCGAGTTGGTCGATTGAATCATTGAATAGAAAGTGTTTGAATTACGTTTGCTGCAATCCCCTCTTTCCAACCATGTGAGCAATATCTGGTGAAATTTAAACGTGAGAATTCTAGATAGCTATTAAAACTCCACGTACTTGTACCGCCTTTGTGAAAGTTTCATCAAGTTTAAGCTTTTCAGCTACAGAAGCCGCTTCATGATCGGTATAGTGCACAACTGGGGGAGGTGACGGAGGTCTCAAACGTTCCTCCTCCATGCGTTCTCTATGTCGTTGTTCCCTTTGCAACTGTCTTTGACGACATTCCCACTCGTATTGATCGTCTCGAGCCTATATATACAATATTCTTTACATGTGGGTGTACATATACATTATATATTATATATATACAGTGTGTAAAGCGATAGAGTATACAAGAGGGATTTTTTTTTTTAAATATTGATTTATGAAAAAAATTTATTCTTCATGATATTTTTTGCTTGCTTTGAAAGAACCAATAACGTTTCGATTGTTTGTGGTTTGATAGCAATATGCTATTTTGATTATAATGTAGAATGATAACTTTCAATAAAAAAAAAATTAATTTTATTATTTTTCCAGATTTCTATAAATAAATTTTAGATTATCGAAACGTTATTGGTACTTTCAAAGCAAGCAAAAAATATATTACCTGTGCATAATCCACATGCAGCCGTCCTGTATTAGGCGCATCCGTATTAGAACCAATCCGAATTCTGTATCCTGACAAAAAAATTGCTGCATCAACCGACTCTTCAAATAAAAATCGTATATGACAAAAATTCTTTTTACTTAAACGTAACGTCGTTATTTCGCCGCACCGCTCGAACACCTCTCTTATGATATCTTCGGTAATATTTTCGGGTAGGCCCCCGACAAAAATTGTGCGACAGCCCGGTGGTCGCTCTCTAGTTGTAGGCGGAGGCGCATTCGGATTGGGAGGAAACAGTGTACAAGATTTACAATGTATAATTTCCTTAACGGGACTCATGATCATGTTAGGATCCGACGTCAAAATATTAGGATCGGGTGTAATCATTGGAGGAATCATACCGTAATTATTCATCGACATCATATTAGGATCAACAATCATATTCATTCCCACCATTGGGTACCCCATGTTCATCATTCCACTCCACATATTTGGTCCGAGCGTCGGTCCATTTTGTAAAGTCACAACATCTTGGGAGTTGGACAAGTTTGAATCGGAGTCGTCTTTTCCCTTGTCCGCATCACGATGTTCTCTCTCACGTCGCGATCGTCTTTCGCGTTTGTCGGATGGGCTTCCACTGGAATCATCTTTATCGTCCGATCTAGAAGCGGATTTGTTCTTATTTAAATTAAATTCTAGCGGATTGTCATTTATTCCAATTAACGTAAAGTCATTTGGGTCCGAAGAACTTAAAAATGAAGCGGAACTTCCAGACAAAATTGATGTGGGATCTATAAAAAATATTCAACAAAGATTCAAGTAGTATAGTCTCTTACTTATCCCTTGATTATTAAATTGAAACGCCATTTGAAAACTTCTGTGAAATCGCTTACTACATGCCTAATGTTTTTGTGCAGTCTAGACTTTAACTGTAATAAAAACCTGGATTAATCAAAGGATAAAAACCGCAAATCCATAAATAAATCATCTGCCTGTCACATCGCAAACAAGAGACACTTCCAAAAAACAGTGTGCTGTGCATCACGTTACGCACACTTTCCTACATCTTTTTTAATATACATATACGTTCGAATATTTACATTTTTACAAGGCCTTCCTTTGGAAAAGACCTAGAACATCAGCTCTGTGATAGCGGTAAGAAGTTCTAGAAAGCCAATGAAGGATTTGGAAAGCCCTTAAAATTTGATTTGGAGGAAAGCTAAAATATCGCATTTAACATTTGTTCATAATAAACTTTCTGATAGTACAGAGAGTACAATATTTGAGTTGTCATGTAACGATTTTAAAAAATCAGTCAATTTGCCATAGAACAAATAGCTGACGAGCTTCTATCCCAGCTGATACCTAAAACTCTGAATAAGGCTTTACTGTCATGGTTTTACCTAGCATATTTGCAATACAGAACAGACATTAAAAGACCTCTTTTAATTCAAAACATTTCGATATCAAATTACAAAAGAAAAAATAAAATTAATGAAGTTGCTTCTTTCTCTTCTCGTGCGATTTGTTTTTATTCTTACTGTCACCTTTTCGCTTGGACGGCACATTCAACGGAGGTAAGCTAAACCCTTCAATGTAGGGATGGACCAACTTCAAGACAAACTTCTCGTGTTGTACATTACTCGAATCTAATGATAAGCGGACTGTGACCGGATCAAATGCGTGAAGTGTAATGTCTCCACATTTTTGTGTTTGCTCTTCAACATCGTATTGAAAATATGCGGAAGATTGTCCTTTTTCGGCTAAATAAAGAGTACACTCTAGACCATACCGGGGTATTAAAATCTGAACTGCGTTTTTCCTTATGCATAATATATAACCTTCTTCATCTTGCACCTTATTTCGAAAAAATAACTGCAAACAATTAGAATTACAATTAGTTTTGGCTAATCTTGATAAAGAAATACTAATAAGTAAATTATTGTTTGTCGTACAAAGATGTTGAAAGCATTTGGGAATGAACCAAGTGTGACATTTTAACTCTGAAACAACAAATCTGCTATGTTATAACGGGTGTTTCAATAAGAGCACAAGATTTTAATTGAGCGCCATGTTTGACAGTCATATCAGATGATTATGACGTGACAGATCGAAAGTTGACAGATGGTAGTAACATTTTTTTTAAGGGTGCCACATGTCATACTGCCCGTGAAACATTATATGTTATAGTGTTTTTTCACATAGACCTGTGTGGAATTTCAAATTCTCTAGCTAAATTAAGAACAATCATGAGTATGTTAAAGCTTCATTTTTACAATTAGAACACGGCAAATTCTTTTTCTAGTGTAATCTTCATTAACAATACAAACAACAGCATGAAACTGTATAATGCTGTTGTGAATTGGGCAATTGACGAAATTTGCTTATCGGAATATTTAGCAACAAATAAATCCTGTGATACATTTGCAATATTTCCATTTTTCTTAATTTTCTATACATTATAGTAAGAATATAATTATTAATAAATAATCAGATTAACGTTTATTAAAAAACATCTGAAAAGGATGAAAGTAAGATTAGTTGCATATCTTAAGGGGTATTCGACTCATACATGGGAGATTTATATGTTCAGAATTAAAATTTATGCACTGTATATCTGGGTGCATCGAATGTGAAACAGACGTGTTTAAAGGAAATTTACAACATAAGTACAACTTTCAATTCGTAGCGGACAACGTTTGTCCTTTCACAGTGTCAGCACTTTATATTACACTGTGGGGCAAATAATGCATGGAAAGGCCTTTATTCGCTGAACAGTGTTTTTGCAAGCTTGATCGTTTGGTTTCCAACATATTCCACATTGAAGCTGCAAACCCGTTTTTGGTTATTGATAGAAAAATTATATGAGCATTAAATCAGATTATCACAAATTAAAAACATAGATTGCTGTCGATTGCAACCCTTCAGTGCGAATACTACATAATGAAATCTAAAAACATTAAAAGCCTTTCCAAAAGTATGTTTTTTTAGTAGCTACATATTTCCTTTGAACCTAAAATTGACATCTTTGCGAGTTTTTCAAATTAACTACCCAGAAATACAATGCTAGAACATTCCTATGAATTTCTAGTAGGTCATCATGAATGTGGGGCACTATACTTACATGAGTGTTAAATGCAACTGACGCTCTCCCCGCATATTGCGCCATTCGATTTCGATAGTTGAGATTATTACACAATAGTTTGCTTTTCTGCTTATCTAATAAATCGGGATAGGTCGCATCCGAACCGACCGTAACAGCGAGGAGCCTATGAACTATAATATCGGCATATCGTCGGATAGGCGATGTAAAATGGGTGTACAAAGGGACAGCCAGGCCATAATGAAAAAAGTTACTTTTTTCATATATGCCGCTGGGGAAGTAGACGGCTTGCATCATGCAACGAGTGGCCAGTATCCTCAGCATTGTATTAATATAAGGATTGTTTGCGTTAACGGCTTCATCTAGTGACTCTGCCAAATGCTTTCCTGTATCCACTTTGATATCGAATCCCTACACGTTCGATGAATAAAAAAGTCAAACAATTGCTGTATACGAACCAAGTTTTTTCCAACTTTAATCAATGGATCAAAATTGCTGACCGGAGGCTCAGGATGTCGTCGCAACATTGCACAATCTGGAAAAGCCTCCAGTATAATTTCCGCGACACTTATGTTGGCAAGCAGCATAAATTCCTCCACCATTGAATTTGTTTCAAACAACTTTTTCACCTCGACATCTAAGGGTTCCATAGTTTCAGAGTCCATATGAATTTTAACTTCGGGAGATGCCAACACCAGTGCTCTGCAACGTAAATATTTCTATACCTCAACGTGAAAAGTACAAACACGAACCCATTCTCTAAGCGTTTTCTTTTCAATATTTTCGCAAGCATATTTAAGTTCCTCAGTGAAATGGCGATTGAATCGTTTTTAGTTTTGTCGTCAATTGTGATCTGAGCTTCTTCGTAAGTCATTGCCTTGCGAGATCGAATAATACTTTTGTGACACCGCACGTTGAGAATTTTAGCATTCTTGTCTATCTCCCAAATGCAGGAGAATGCAAACCGTTCCTCGCCTCCTCTCAACGAACACAGATTTGAACTAAGTAACTCGGGAACCTAAATGAATGAGATGCAGTCGAGCATTCACAATTTCAACCGATACCATATCAATCCTTTTATTCACCAAGTAAACTGTCGTCGCACGATTTGCGGCTTCTACATCGAGGGCAGTACCGGGTCGAATAAAATGAGAAACATCCGCAATATGAACGCCTACCTCGAACGTATCTTTGGTTAAAGGTCGACAGTGTAAAGCATCGTCAATATCGGTACAGCCCGGTGGATCCACAGAACAAATGTCAATGTCTCGTAAGTCAACTCGGGCTTCGACGTCCTTCAAATATACAATAAGTTAACTTATCGACGGCAGTCTGCAATTAATTACCGCATCTGTAATAATCCAAGGTAGCTTCGGTAAACACTTCAGCACTTGCTCCGAAAATTGATTGTGAGGTACCTCATGTTCTAAAAGAACTACCTCGTTTTCGGTCGCCTGATCGCCAATTGCTCCAAGAGCACGTACAAAGTGTCCCTAAAATGTTGATCTGACTGTATATTTATGCAGAGTCAAATTTTCGCTAATGTCTGAGTATAAGATCCCACATAAGGTCAACCTTCGCTCATCTGTTTACCGAGTTAAACACATAGCAATCTTAATATAATTATTAATAATTAATATGTAAACAAACACATTGCAAATCCAAAATTATAAAAAGTTTGCTACCAATCTATGTCTGCGAGTCAAGGAGGAAATGCACATTTTTTAATGGTAACCACTATTTTTTATTACACATACACAGGGGCGGACTGGGTACTTACGGGCCAGATGGAATTGCATAGGGTACGGGCCATTAAAGTATTAGTGTAGTACTGAAGGTGGCGGGGGGGTTAGCTCTGAGGTGCACCACAAAAACATTTTAAAGTACTCCTTTCTCGAAAATAAATTACCATACAGTTTTTTTTTAAATTGCAGCTGATAATTAAAAGTAACAAAATATACAATCCACACGAGGTGCATCGCCTATCATTGTATTTCAAAAATGATAAATTCATTGTAAAACACTTCAATTAAAACCGAATTTTTTAACAACCTAACATCAACCCCAATTAGAGAAACATGTTAATAATTTATTAATAGTGCAAGAAACTAAATACAGCACATACTTATAAATTTCCACCGGGCCATTATGATTTACAGGCCAGGTGGCAATCGCCACCCGCCCCCCCGGGCCGGTCCGCCCGTGCACATACACCTTTAGAAATATAGAAACAAAGAATTTATTATACAAAATTAGTAGTTACAATTTGAAAAATCGCAGCAGCCCTGAAAATTGTTTCAAGACGGTCACAAAAAATTCCTTTGACTTTAAGGATTCGATTATAAAAGAGCGACCTTGCACGGTTTAAGAGATAGTTTTTGAATGAACCCTTTCATCTCCAAATTTTTAGCGAAAAATTCACATACAGGGTGCTGCCTAGCGCGACGCAGCATAGGGATTTCAATGTTAATTTCTTTCTAGTCAATCACTAGCTCCCCTAATTATTTTAGAGCAAAAGTCTAAATACGTTTTTTTTAGAGAAAAAAATACCGCATCTGTTCATACTATTACTCATAATTTTCCGTTTTTCAAAACCGTAGAAATCGACAAAATAGAAAAAGTTCATTTTACAATAAATCAGATATGCCTTGGAATTACCTAAAAAAAACAGCGATCACGTTTCATTATTTGCCTTTGACGTTTATTAAATTTAAATTTATACTTGTTTACAAATTAGTTAAGTAACTGCAAGTGCAATAACCTTCAAAATGTCTGTCAAAACCTTCAGGAAAACGACGATACATTCAACGGTTTGGCTGCAGTAGCGGAAAATCCGAATATAAGTTTAAGAACAATTCTTTCTCAAATCAGTTTTTTCTATTTCGGTGTCACAATGATGATTTTGTACAACTGTTTTCGGCCGAAAACAGTTGTACAAAGACAGTGATTATAGTAGGTTTTTTTTGGTAACTCATCTCTTAAGTTGGCAGTTACTAGTTAGTACAAGTAGGTACTTCGTTGTGTACTTCCATGTTTGAACTTCAAAATGTCAGTCTTACTACGCTGCCAACCTAAAACTTAAAGGCATAAAAAGTGTTCCCAACATAAAACATGTTAGTTCTAATGTTCCCTATAGTTTCTGATAATGGTTTTTTAAATTAAATTAAAGCACCGAAATAGAAAAAATAGTATGAAAAACGCGTGTTACAATGCTTTATTGTAATACTCCTATCTTGCGGACACTCGTGGCTACGCTTCGCGTCGCCACTCGTGCCACAAGATAGTCGTATTACAATAGGTCGCATTGTAACACTTGTCTTTCAATATACTATTTTTTTCTTCGATTATGTAGGTACTGTGTAAAAAAACAGTGATAAACAAATAGTATCTGATGCAGATGCAGCATACATTCTTTAAAAAAACATTACCCTAAGATGCCTTTTCGATGTCAAACAACGATAACTTAATAGATGCGATGCGTTAGTAGTTTGTTAAAAGATTCCAAAGCATCACTTATTTATAAAAATGTAATTTTTTATTTTGTCGATTTCTACGGTTTTGAAAAATGGAAAATTATAACTAAAAGTATGAACAGATGCAGTATTTTTTTCTCTAAAAAAACGTATTTAGATTTTTGCTCGAAAATAATTAGGGGAGCTAGTAATTGACTACAAAGAAATTAACATTGAAATCCCTATGCTGCGTTGTGCTAGGCACCACCCCGTATATGTCCAGAGCCATGACATGAAGTAGACAAATTTTAAATGCGTTGAATTCAGAGTAAAATGGCGCATTAAAAAAAAGAAAATAGTATGTTTCTATTTACAGATGTGGCAGCACTTATCAGTCACTTAGGTGGAACAACTATAATTCAATATGCAAAGATACTACTATGCTTACTTCTGGGTAACGAGAATGTCGAGGCCACAAATCAATTGTCACAACAATCTTTTGAGTTCTCAAAAATACACCTTGTCTCGTTTGAATGCGAATTTTGGGCACCCTTTTCTCTGCCGGTACAAACAATTGATAAAGACCGGAAGCGTCGCCATCCTGCTGTAAAATTCCGCAATACTGCCGCCACTTTCTACGAATCACACCAACAACTCGGCCCGTTGGCTTGCGGTCTTCCGCCTCTTTTTTACCTTTACCGACGTTCAGCTCTGCCTCTTTCCGCAAAACCTCGTCAACACCGGACTCGACGAGCCCCTCATCCTCGAACACTAAATCGCTTGGCGCCGTCCATTCTTTAACGTTAAACAGTTCGACGGCAACGACATCGCCTTGCACTGCACGATTTTGACCCACTCTGCCCTGTACGATAATCTGCATCGGCTACAATGATTTTGAATTAACACACCAACAAAGCATCATCGAATACTTACAGTTCCATCAGACTCTTCGACAACTACATACCCTTCAAGGAAATTATCGCGTGAAGCGTGGTACACCCCTTGATACAGTTTATTCTCCTTAATTCCTTTGTGGATCTCAAGAGTAGTTAAATGTGGTGGAAAAATATCGTCACTTTTACTAATAGAGTGACCATCATGATGCGCTAATTTATCCTGAAGACTCCCGCAATTCTCCAAATGAGCAACATAATTCTCTACAGAACAACAATAAATATTCTCTTCTGCGGCAAGTTGCCTATTAGCAACGTCGTCAGTTAATAAAACAAATTTGGCGTCCGGCACATGTTGCATATACCATGTGCACGCTCTACGAATGCAACGATCATTGTAATCGTTAATCACTTCCAATTTGTCCTGAGCTATGTAACACTCTCTAAAATAAATCCTCCGAGCCAAACGAAAATATTCACGCTAACTTACATATGAAAATTGTTCGGAAATAAATAAAAATTTCTGTCCGTATTCTCCATAATGTTATTTAAACGCTTATAAATGGGTAAATTACGATGTTTCACCTCTTCGAGTACAGTGTTTAAAATAATTACATTGCACATAGCATCCTCCTCGAGGAGATCCATCTACAAAACCGGCAATAAGAAAGACTGCATTCATTTCTTGCAACTCACTTGATGCAAAATTACGTTCGTATCTAATACTAGATAGTGATTAAAGTTGTACAGCGAACATTTATTTTCATGAGTTGCAGGTGAGATGTTGGAGTTCGGTGGGCAATCATGGCAATTGCTGATTCCGCAGTGAATATCATCTCGTAAATAATGCTCACGAATGTTCTAAAAAATATCTACTTACAATTTACACTTTTAAATCAGTATACGATACCTTCAGGAAGTTACCAGCTCTATTTTTTCTTATAAATATTTTTGTAGTTAACATTATACTTTTACAAATTTAAAACGTGTGGTAATGTTTTATTTTGAAGGTTAGAATTCCAGTGATCTGTGGTAACAACGGCTTTTAACACAGGATGTTTCAAAATAACTGGCATTATTCTTATGATCTATGCGTAATACCATTTGGAATGGTACTTTATTCATTAATGCATAAAATTGACACAGAACAGCAAAACTTTTGATCGAACATACTTTGCTGTCTGTGCCAACAATCTTTGAGATGCCTGCACATTAAAATGGTAAAGAAAAAAGACTTGTTTTAATGCATAAATTCCTCATCGCTGCGTTATCTTTTTTTTGCCAATTTTGTTTTGTTGTTGCGGCCAGGGGCGCTACGCGCTCATCGGTTGGCCCGTTTTGATCAATGAGAATGCAGCCGGATATGCATGCGCCACATTGTGATCACTCCAAAAATTTAATTGGAATAAATTACATACTTACTTAACAAGAATAAACTTTGAAAATGGTAGTTCACCAAGTAAACATAGAAATAGACTGGGAAAGTAAGTTTTCTTCTTGCTAGGAGATACGAAAGGGTTTCCTCATCATCTGACGAATAATTCTCGTAGGTACATATTTTATTTTTTGGTCTTGATTTTTATGTAAGGGGGGTTTCAGCCAAGGGATGCTCTACCAACCTAACCCACTATACATTTAGAAATTACCGAATCTGGATTCGAACCAGGACCCTTAGTGCCACAGTAGAACTTCCACGCCACTACATACACGTTTCCAAATTTTGTGACCCTAGTCCTTCGGACCAACAACTCACAAATAAATACGTTTGGTTTAATATGTATATGTCTATAATCAATATCGTATAGGTAGTCTTGGTATTATCTGGTGTATCCGATAGAAGATTAACAACCTATAATTAGTTTTTTAATATAAGCGTGCCATAATAATCAATTTAATTTAAACTGAATTTTTTCCTTTAACCAAAAAGTAAAGGTTTATAAGTAATATCTACGTATACAAAACCCGCAGATTCGAAAAATTGTAGTAAACAAATCTGATCCTGCTTTCAGCGTTAAGTACGTGATTGTTTTAAGTAATCTAAATATAAATGTATGAAACAATTTATAAATTCCAGTAACCACAGTCATTATTGTAGTCGAAATCTAAAATCGTGTTAACAAAAATGCGTTATGTGCACGTTATTTGGTTCTTTACCTTTTTCGCCAAGGTGTCACCTTTTGACACTTGTTCGAAGGTGTTAACGGTTAACATTAGTAACGGCAACCATCTAGATAATGACATTATCGAAATGAATGGTATTCTTTACACAAAAGAAAATCAAGTGGACATTTCGGGACATACGCACGGATGCGTCTGTAATATTTGGAATTGCATCCGGAAGTGTTGTCCGATGGGGTACGCTATAGTTGACTATTTGTGCCAACCCTTTTCGGAAAGGTTCGATTTTCCCGTATTTAACTATACGGAAATAATTAACGCGACAGTTGACAACTTCTATATTGTCTACGGAAATCACTGCAGCACAACTGGGTACAGATTATATCCACTTGAGGAAATGGAAGACGCATTTTATATCCAACAAAATGGCATTCTCTATCTTCCGTTCTTCGAACCTAGATATAAAGAACAGAATCCTGACAAGTTCTGCGTGGAGAATTTCATCGATAATAACGTTCGCACCTTATCTGCGATTATATGTAGCGAAGAAAAAGATTATCACACATTCGGTAGGTAGGTATAGTGTTAAGTCTAAACAATCGAATTCTGGATATTTATCGATAACGAGTTGATTTACATTAGGCGCCTCCATCCATACGTTAATCAATCGGTATCGGATTGATTCATCTCTATTAATAGGTAACTTTTTAAAGAGTTGTCTCAGTTTTCAAATATATATAGGAGGGCTATACCTACTGGGCAACTTGCCAATTTTGATTTTGTGGATAGAATAGATTTTAATACGGGAACACACTTATAATTGTAGCGGCTCTGTTATTATGCAAGTATGCCCAATACCTAGCAAAGGTGACAAATAGGGATATAGATTCGGCACAACCAAATAAAGTATGTAATTTGCTCTAATAATCACTCACCTAGGTACCTAACAAACTATTGTAGGAAAATCTCTGATGACACAATTTTCTTTATCGTTTGATGGGCTTTACCAAAGGAAACAATTAATGCAGCACCAAATAATCCTGTGAGAATAAACTCAGCTTGTAGATTTTAGATCTATATCAATTGCGACATCCGTTCGTTATTAACCACATCAGAGTGTGTTTATATAATTATGATGCAGGACCATAGTGAGTGTAATTAGTGAAACCGTTAGCAAGCAAGATGATTCCAGCACTCCTATGGGTGGCGGTTTTTTTCATTTCTGCAAACGGGGAAAAGTGTTTTTTATCATTAAGTATCGACATATCGAATGGTACTCACAATAAGGACGGCTCAATCGTCTACGACGGCATCACGTTTCCGCCTGAAGTGCAATTTCGATATCTTGGGGCGCAAAGAGGGTGCGTTTGCCAAGTCCGCTCGTGTATTCGCAAATGCTGCGGTCTCGGATATGCGATGATCAATGAGACGTGCCAACCATTAAATAATACCAGCGAATACTTTTACTTCAATGTCTATAATGGGGATCGGCGGACGACAGTCGGAGTCGATAATTATTACCTTATAATGGGAGAAATTTGTGGAGAGAGAGGATATTACAGGCTCGTACAGCAAACCTATACCGAAGACACATATTACATACAAGAAAACGGCAATATGTATTTACCTTACCTAAACGACAGCAACGGCGAAACTCTAACTCCCGACCGATATTGCTTGGAAGTGTTTATTGATGATGTGATGGATAGAAATTTAACGGGGCTTGTTTGTTTCCACGAGGAGAGGAAATTAGCAGATCCAGTGTATTCATTTGGTAAGCTATGCTATTACCATTGAATTGATAGTTATAAATTCAATGCTTGCTATTACGATTGAATATGAGATTCAACAGTGATGTTGAACATTGTCTTTTAAATACCTACGACCTATGTATGTTTTTAAATAGTTTGATATATAAATACCAAAACTCCAACGATAATAAATTGCAATATTACGAGCATCATTCATAAAAAATTTGCAACACCTCAAATATAGGTTTATTATAACTGACCACAATAATTTTATTACTATGCTATCTATCTTGACCGAATTTAAATTGATTAACAATGACCAACCGCGACCGAGTTAATAACTTTTAACAAGTCTGACTTGATTGACACAACTTCGGTAATTGGCAGGATTCGCGCGCAAAATTTTGCATTTATCGAAAATACACCAAGATGCAACCGTCTCCAATTTTTTTATAAATCGGAGTTGCAAGAAATTATTTTCGCATTTTTTAATTGGGTATAGGTATGTGTTAGGGACAAATTTGGTCAAATAATATTATGTAGATTATAAAATGCCTTTCTCGTTTCCTCTGCATACATTTAGTTACATAATAATCGGTTATACATTGCATATAGCTGTGTCTGAAACAACCGTTCTACAATAAAAAAAATTGTTGTTTTCCCCTTTTTCTAAAAGTATCCTCATCCATTCCTCTACTCTCTCCCTCGTTCACATCTGCTTTCCCTTGATCTGTCCACCTCTTTACTTTCCAATCAATAATGTAGAGCATTAAATTCTAAAAGAAAAGAGATATTAGAGACCGCATGAACGTTAAAGAAACGATTTTGAACCGAATTTGTTATAAGTTTATTAAGTATTAACATGCAAAAAAATTGGTATTTTGACTTATGTTTAAAGTACGTGCCATTTCATGTCATCGATAATTAACACAAAGAATGTAATGTGTGCTGCACGAAAGCATACCTACCCTCCGCCAGTAGGTGTGGTAGGTTCATGTTTACCTGCATGTGCACTCATCGTTAGTGGTGAAAAATAAACTTTAATTCGGTCGCTATTAACAAGAGATCATCCTCTCCCAAAAATAATTCAGACACCTACTCACGTATGAATATGTATCGTTGAGTGAAATTCGTTATTCAATTATATGTATGTAATAGGTGATTTATCACAGAACATCCGCTTCCCAATTACCACAATTTATTCACCATTTGTCTTTAAAATCCCACAGTTGGCGTGCAAGTGGTTTTTTATAAACATGCGTCCATTTCATTTTCTATGGATATTTACAATTGTATGGTGCGCTTCAGGCGTCCCTTGCCCTTTGTCATCTAGTGTCGACGTTACAGAAGGTTTAATGATGGACAACGGTAGTCTGTCTCATGGGGGTATCTTATATCCACAAGAGCTATACTATAATTATAACGATTCCCTGAGAGGGTGCGTTTGTGACATTAGGCGGTGTTTGCGAAAATGTTGCGGTAGCGGTTTTGCCATGATAAATGCGTCGTGTAAATCCTTTGATGGGTATTTTTCTGTAGAGATTTATCAAAATCGGGAAAAGCTGAGTGTTGCTGATGAACACTTTTACTATTTAAATGGCGAGGTTTGTGACGAAAACGGATATTATAGACTAAACCCTGTCGAGTACTCGGAAGATACCTTTTATGTTCAGGACGATGGGGATCTTTACTTACCATATGCGAGAGAAGTAAAATATTTATCGCGCGACGGATTTTGCATGGAGCTATTTTTGGATGAAGAAATGGAGTACAATGTTTCGGCGCTAGTGTGTGTTAAACAAAGGGTTGTACCTGACTTTTACATATACGGTAAGCATTTTATTTACCTAATCCAAATACCTAGTAAAAATTACGCTATAACGTCATCATCATTATATGGAGAAAAATGACACACTTGTTAGTCTTAAAGTGTAACCGACAAAACCTTCCTTCCGTTTCTGTTTGACCACAACACAACTGGTAACATTTTAGATACACAGTTTAAACAGTTCAAGTACAATGTATTTTTTACTCATCAGTTTTTTTTTCGCGATAATCGACGCTCAGTGCCCTCGGGACTTAAGTGTCGACATAACAAATGGTTCGCTTCAAAGTGATGGTGGTATTATTCATGACGAAATAACGTATCCGAAAAATGTGCAGTTCCGTTATGGAAGTACCATTCTGGGCTGTGTATGCGAGGTAAAAAATTGTTTAAGAAGATGCTGTGGCGAAGGTTTGGTGATGATAAACCAATCGTGTCAACCCCATGACGAATTTCCATTACACATTTACAATCGCGATACTGCAATGGAATTAGAAAACGATCATTTCTACTATCTCAAAGGCGAAATGTGCGGTGACGAAGGGTATTACCGCCTCGTTCCCAAATATTACAGCGAAGACATATTTTACGTGCAGAAAAACGGAAGTATTTACATGCCCAATTCTAACGGAGGACACGGTTCTGTGTTGTCGCTCGGCGATTACTGTCTGGATTTATTTATCGATGAGGAAATGTATAATTTGTCGGCGCTTGTATGCGTCCAAAATACCAAAAAAGTTATGGCATCATTCTATTCAGTCGGTAAGAACTATACATTTGATTATGTTGTTTCCTAACTCAGTGAATATGATTTTTTTACATCACCACTAATAGCCGAGGTCAAAACTTGATAACTTCAAATGCGTACCTACACAGTGTGCTTCTCAGGGTGGTTGGAAGTCCGAGAGTAATCATAATTTGTAAAAACCAAACCAAAACCAATTATACCGTGGTACCTTCCATATTTCTGGGTAATTTATCAGAATATCCGCTGTGCAATAACCGCAATCGATAGGTATATTTATTAAATTATAACTTGTTTAATAAATTTAATTAATATCTACAGTTGGTGTAAAAGTGCTTCGCAACCAACATGTTTTCTTTCCGTTCGTTTTGGATGTACTTAATACCATTCAAAATGGTTATATTACGCTCGTTGTCAAACAAGCATCCTTGCCCTTTGTCGTCTACTGTCGACATTACCGATGGCTTCGTTATGGATGACGGAAGCCTTCACTATGATGGTATCACATATCCACCAGAACACTTCTATAATTATAACGATTCCTTACGAGGATGCGTTTGTGACATTATGCCCTGTTTACGAAAATGCTGTGGTCCCGATTTTGTTATGATGGATGGATCATGTGAACCGTATGAAGATTTTCCTATAGAAATTTATCACAATCTGTACGAAAAGCTTAACGCGACATCTGAATACTTTTATTATTTAACCGCCGCTGACATTTGTGCAGAGGACGAGCCGTTTTACAGATTAAATCCTGATAATCATTCAGAAGATGTATTTTACCTGCAGGACGACGGTAGTCTTTATTTACCGTATTCACGTAAACACACACATGTACCACGCGATGGTTTCTGTCTCGAGTTATTCATGGATGACGAGCTGGACTCCAAGATATCGGCTCTAGTATGTACTAGTAAAAAAATGTATAAGACTCATATTGCTTTCTTATACGGTAAGTGTTGTACTTTCATCTTCGTTTTCTATGGCATGTTGAAACTTACTTATACTTACTGAGAGCAACCAATTTGCTGCCCGACAACATCACGCAAAAAAAATTGCTGTGGGCTACCACAGATATCATACATGTCTAAGAATATGTGCACAAAATTTAATTCCAATCGGTTCAGCCGTTTAGCCGGAAATATGAGTTTGACACACATGCGCGATTCTCCCCAAAAGCTTTTCCGCTCTTCCTTTTATGTCTAAAAATATGTATACGAAATTTGGTTTAAATCGCTTCAGCCGTTCAGCTGAAAATATGAAAGTACCTAAGTACAGACAGACAGATCGAAAAACCGTGTATTTCCGTCAAGAGCACGGAGAGTCATTTTTTACCCCCAAGTTAAATACGATTTCCCATGTAAACAAAAGTTCCAAAGGTGACTCGACAGCACCTCATTTTTGATCGCACAATACCTAAATTAATATGCATCTGTCGTACAGCAAATTGGTTCCTCTTTTTAAAGATCTTAAAGGCAGTCCATTTGAAAAACAAAAAGTTACGTTGATTTCCGGTTTAACCGGAAGTTTCAATATACAATGGGATAGATCGTAATGTCGCATATGTACCTACAATTATATGACAAATTTTTCGCAAAATCAAAGTGAAATAGCCTTGGGCCCTTTTTGTAGAACCGCCTGTTTACAGAGTGTCTCGCGAGGAAAGAGACAAAATTTACTACGTGTTCCTTAGGTGAATTCGAGTCGAAAATATTCGTTGAACATGGATCCGCAAATGCTTCGTTATAGAGATATGTTTTTTTCATTTAAAAAGTATTTCGGCTGGAGGAGTTAAAACTGGCTAATAGAATAGGTACTCATCTTTTACACAAAAATCCGCTGAATTCTTTTCGTTATCACACGAGGACTTTGATACATTTTTTTATAATAAAACCTAGCACACTTTTTGTAGGTTGTACACAGAAAAATAGGGTCTTTCGAATAACGGAATTGCTATTTGAAAAAAAAAGTTGCGCCTCTGAAATTTTTTTTCAAAAATCCAAAATTCGCCTCGCCGATATCTCAGAAAATTGCCAACGTACGGACATATACATTATACATACAATATAAACGGAAAATTTATTTTTAAAATAGAAAAGAAGAGCAATAAACTTTGCCGTAGTAATCACTTTTTGCTATCATATAAGCTCGGATTAGATTATAGGTATGTAGGTACCTTGAGTAACTTCATACCTAGGGATACCTAATCTTTTCCAATGCGATATGCGGAGTGAACGCTGATTCATAAGTTTATTGCATAGTCTGGCCAAATTAAAAATTGTCACAATAGCAAATACGTCCTGTAGATATATTGTGCGTCAATGCGATAATGTAGTGGTAAGCTTTAAAAAAAATGGTGATGTGTCCAAGGAAAAGGATGAAAATTATCTCGGTGTCTCGATAACACAATAGTGAGTGTATTTCCATATTTTTATTCAATGTTTTGCTTGGAGTTAACGTGAATAGATAGTTGCAATGAATCGTGTTCTGCTACTCTTAATTTCTATTTTTGCAAGTAGCGTTTCCCCTTGCCCGTTGCCTTTAACTGTGGACATATCCAACGGTGAACATTTCGACAATGGAACCATCGTAAGCGGTGGTATCAGTTACGGCCCTAATTTTCAAATGTTAGTAGACGGGAAGGTGAGAGGGTGTGTTTGTGATATTCGGAGGTGTGTGCGGAAGTGCTGTCCCGTCGGTCGCTTGATGTTTGGGACTCGGTGTCAAGAAAGTGACATTTCGTTTGCTCCTCTAGTATACGGAGACCATCTTTTGAACGTAACGAATGATCATTTTTACTACATTGAAAGTAACGAGTGTCCGATGGGGTTGTACAAATTGGAGCCAAACGAACCCGAGGATGAATTCTTTATACAAGAGGATGGAAGGTTGTACGTACCAAGTCAAAAAGCGTTTTTTAATCCCGAAGATTATTGCACCGATTTTTTCATCGATGGCGAAGGACCTCACTATCTTTCCGTGTTAGTTTGCTTTAAAGAAGATGTCGATCCTGATACAACCACTTATGCATATGGTAACTAATTTTTTTAATACTAAACCGCACCTGAACCAAAACTGCCTCCGAACGCAATCACATACGTATTGGACTAACAAATATGCAATACAATTTTCTGAATTGGAATATTATTAGATATAAATTTACCGACTACCATTGATCTGCTACTATATGTGATTTTGCCAAATAATGAACAATGTACTTTTATCAAATAAACATAAAATATAAACAAAAAGGAATTTGTTTTGGTCTAATTCATTTGCGTCTGGGCTCGTAGGATTTTATTCTATACATTCTTGTACGTATTCAGAGCGGCCTTGGTTAAAAAATCCCGATCTACTTTAGACGTTTACATCTATTTCGTTTAAATTTTCTACCTTACCTTCTAATTGGACATTAGTAACTATTTGAATACTGTCTTGATAAAAAAAAGCTCACTGAGAATAAAGAAAAAGAATCGTGAATCTATCCAGAGTTAATATAGGTACCTAATTAAAAAGCATAGGTCCTACTGGTAGAGACCCTCTAAACCACTCCAACGCGTCTCCAGCTGCAACAAAACATACTGATGCGTTGTTTATTGACTTATTTATTTCACTATCTTTTTAGTGTGCGATTATTATACAAATTAGAACCATCTGAATACATCCGTACAATCATCGTCCTATCTAGCTTTTGTTTAAGATAAATGTGACACAGTCTACAATTGGCAATGGACTTTTCGAGTGCTGATAACTTTCGCGTTGTACAATTAATTGCTTATCGAACCATATACTATTATTGAAGTCGAACCTATTAACTTCTCTGTTTGAGCAGATATTGTCCTTCAAAAATAAATTGTACCTATTACATAGACCAATTACAATGCAGGGAAAACAAAAAGTCCGTTTTAGTAATATCAAATATTTGAGTTCATAATTGTTTACTCTCCGCCTGCTTGAGGATACGACCTCCATTAGTGACACATACCCGTTTGAAAAATCAAAATAAACAAATACAAATGTCTAGTGTCGGCGTCGCATCCCCTACCCTTTTTCCCATGCCTATAAGTTCGATTATTTTCATTAGTTTCGCAGTTATTAAGCTCACTACCACCCGCGCTTTTCCAAATAGTTCCATTTGCGAAGATGTGCCACGTGAAATATGCGAGCGCTTTTTCGTTATTGCTATTGCAAATTAAGGTGTGTGCTGCAAGCTTGCCCTGCGACTTAGAGTTTGGGACATCCATTGAAAATGGCGTTCTTCAGGAAGACAATAGCATAATTAATGATGGTATCAAATACACGTTAAATAATTATCAACGAAGTGGCAATATTACTATCGGATGTATTTGCAACATAAAGTCCTGTGCGCGGAAGTGTTGCGATGTGGGTAAATTTTTGCAAAACAAAACGTGCGTCCCCACAACACGAGCTTTTTTCATACCTAACTCGAGAAGCAATTACGACGTTGATCATTATCACTTTGTGTATGGATCGAAGTGCAAGCCTGCTCAATTGAAATTATTGTTAGATCCTAGAAATAATTCTGATTTTAACGAACAATTTCTCTTGACTAAAAGCGGGGAGCTATTTGTGCCATCCAGCAATGTTCATTACAGCCCTTCCGAATACTGCATTGATTATATCGAGGAAGAAGACGAAATACAAGCTCTGATTTGTGAAAATGATACAAGCAAAGGATATAAACATTCCGCTAAAGGTACTTTTAGGCTTTATTAACATTACGAGTAAGTTGCTATATATAATAGTAATAAGTTAACATTGCGTCCCAAAAGTAACGCAAAAAATTCGTACTCTTTTGCTGTTGTGTTTTCATAAAAATGCAAAAACACGTCGATTACAGATACAGTATGTTTCAAATTAAGTCGGCACTATTACAACTTTCTTAGTTGTAGAATTAGAAGGACGATTAAATTATCAAAATTGTGTATTTTTTCTACTGATTTCGATTTTCCAATTCTGTCTTTAGCAATAGGTACACAATGATCAAGGGACTAATTGATTAAATTTTAGTCAATATTCGTCAACCGGAAGTGACTTTGTCGCTCGTTGTCCATTGGTGCAGTTTATTTTCGTTTCGGTCTAGTTACTTTCCCATGAAAATGATGAAAATACGTATTTAAAACAATAACTGGAAGTATAATACTGGGCAATCAAAAATGAGGTGCTGTCGAGTCACCTTTGGAACTTTTGTTTACATGTGAAATCGTATTTAACTTGAACTTCCAAAGGCGACTCGACAGCAACTCATTTTTGATCGCCCGTTAGTAGTTTGTTAACAAAACAAGCATAACAGGTGAAATAAGATACCTATAAACATAACTTACGGTTACAAGTAGTTACAATAGATACCAATAGATACCTATGTTTAAGAAGGTGTTCAAACACGTTTCCATTTTCTTCAGTACAAGGGTGGAAATAAACTTAAACAGTACTATATAATAAACTTCAAAGTTCGCTGTCAGAGACGTTACAACAAAAAACGTCATTTTATTATTTTCATGGATAACTAGATCTAAATGAAAATACATAATTGAAAAATCTTGGTTGGCATTAAGAACTACATATAGTGTGTTCCATATAAAAAAGTCGCATTTTTATTATTGTCTGAAAAATACAGATTTAGATTCAGTAGAAAAAAATACAGAATTTTGATTCTTTCTAACTCAACAGTGCCGATTTAATTTGAGACAGACTGTATAATTATCGTTTATGGATGAGTGATTTCTACTTTTATAAATTCGATTGCTGAAATATTAGTGCCAAATAAACGCACTGTAAGAAGACATTGGATGTCTAGAAGTTTCTCCTATGCATTGAAAGTATAAAAATAAAATGCATTCCCAACATGATAGGCCCATTTCTCTGTTTTTATTATAATAATGAGTGAGATAATGAGAATAGTAAAATAAGTACGGAGATTTGATCGCGTTGCTTTCGTTTATGATCGTTATGATGCTAATTGAACTCATTTTAGGATATCTAGTTTCATTTTGATATAAACGTTCATGTTCGCCTTATAATTGAGTAATCGCTTGGCATTTGCAAAAACATGAATACGCTCGTCACAGTGTTCCCTGTTTTTTTATTCGTCAACGTGTTTGCCGAGATCACGGTGCCCTTTTCCTTATTTTTATACAACGACACTATTCGCAACGCATCTAAAAATTGCAACGAAATTTCAAATTGTTTAAGAAAGTGTTGCGATTTCGGCTATACGCCCGTTCGTAAAAATTGCGTATTGAGTAACTCGACGATATTCGAAAATATTTGGAAGACCAACTTCTCAAGCGCCGCACTTTTTCCCGGTGTAATCAGGTGTGCCAATAACAAAATTTACCTATTTAATAAGTCGAAATATCCAGACGACGATTTCGCACTCGAAAAAGATGGCAGCTTGCATTTGCACCACTGGAATCAGAGGTTTTCGCACGACGAATTTTGCGTCGATTATTTCGATGGAATTGGTTTCTCCGGATTGATATGTTCTCCCGAAAAACCCACTACGCATTTTATTAACAAAAGGATTACTCAAGCAGGTAACGCTAACGATTGATTTAACTTTACTGTGGCTACGTGCTACATCTCCATACCATGTTAGGAAAAGTCTCTACGACAAATGGTGTCGGTCAGTCGTATACCTAGATAATACAACAGATTATATTTAAATCTGTGCTAGTGCCAACATACACGCATAGTTGAATCGTTATGTATGCACCGATTTTGTTGAGAAAAAACCGAACACGCTGTGAAGAGTGCAAAATATATCACATTATAGGTACCTACACTTCTTTTGATAGGTATTTTGCCCGCTGCTTACTGTATTATGCCGCTAGATCGATCATAAATTACCACGGCAATTTATAAATTGCAACTTGATATACTAAATACGTAGTAGGTATACAGTACAGAAAAAATTCCAGATAATTACATTTTCCATTATTTAATCGATATGTTATGTAATGAATCGAGTGATAAAAGGAGTGCTTGTTTACTGACAAAGCATCCCAAAGGACAAACAATTTATCTACTTGCATTCGGTAGAAATTACCAAAAATTACTATAATCGTGAAAGAGATAATTAACCAAATATTTAATATCAAAGGACAAGTTTTTGTAATATTCGTTACAGCTCGTTTAAATTCGATTAGTTAATGTACTACTTTTCCAAATTTGAATACCCCTGTTGATGTTAATTAGAATTATTGTTCAGTGCGATTGGAAAATTATGCAACTTTAAGTCACCATGAAGATCTTAAACTGTGGAATACTCTTTTTTTTGTTAAAAACTGCGGTTTTGTGCGAGAAGTCTTTCAATTCGTCAGTAGTGTCTTACTCTTTAGGGTATAAAATATACAATTCGAGTACACAGTGTACGCGAGATGTGGCGTGTATCAGAAAATGTTGCGAGGTTAATTACGTTATGCGCGGAAAAAGGTGCATCTTAAGGAACGACAGTGATTGGCATATACCCGTTCATCGGGGAACAGATGTAACTACTCAAGCAAACACCGAGTACATCGTCGGAATGATCAATTGCGACAGTGGTTTTTATAAATTGGAACCGGATGTTTATGATGATGACGTACATTATCTACAAACTAATGGTAGCCTGTGGAAACCAATTACAGGCGAAATGTTGGCGTTTGAAAAGTTTTGCATGGAAGATTTGGGCGATAATGCAACATCGGCATTTGTCTGTTTTGAAGAAGATGATCTAGCGCTGACGATTTCTCGCAAAATGAATGCAGTTGGTACGAATTCCTTTTAGCAATAGACACTCATTTAGAAGATAATTACAGTTAAATTTGAGTAATACTTACATTAAATGAGATGGCGATGGGAAATCCTGGCTATGAGCATTAGCGCTGCGACTCTCCTTCCCATCAGACATGTGGTACAGCTCCTCTGCCTTTTGAGGCCCGGTTGCAAAGTTCCTTTTCCACATGAAGTGCAGGCTGCTGTTGACTGCTTATATGCTTTAGTGAGATCTGTGTTTTTAAACAGACCAAAGAAAAGCATCAGACAGTTTTTAATTCTTATTTCTTTCTTGAAAATGCGTTAGAAGTTGCGCCACTTACAAAAGCACCTTTAAGTATTCATTCTCCATTCCCTAGTAGACTTTAAACTATCATCCGAAGATGGCACAAAAATAATGTACCTACTTACCAATATTTCATTTAAAAAAATATAGTAAAACAAGATACCTACAAGGAATAGCATGCGATTATCAGTAGGGATGTGTTTTGAACTTACGGATTTGCCAACTTTTTTCGTGTGTCCTTTGTGATTTTGCAAGCATTTTCCCAAAATTTCCACTCTCTGCGTACTACTGTGTGAAAAAAATTCAGAGAAGCTAGCGAGGTACATTCAAAAAACGACGCTGAAGTTTTAATTGTAAATCGTAGTTGAGTTTTTTACAAAGTAAAAATTAGCCACTCGCAACGTTCTTTACCAACATATAACTATATAATCCCAATTTGTTTTAGGTATGATAATATCAATGCCGTTCCTCCTCCTCACGTTCCTGGTTTATGCTGTTTTACCTGATCGAAATCTACATGGAAAGTGTCTTATGTGTTACGTGATCACACTCTTTGGTGCGTATGCGTTCTTAGTATTCATACAACTGTATCCAAACGATCTGGCTGGAGCTAACTGCAAAACGCTCGGTAAGGAACACGACAACATAATTTAAGCTCATTTCATTCATTTTAAATGTATTTTTTAGGTATATTGTGTTTCTTTTTCTTCACTGTGTCTTTCTTTTGGATGAACGTTATGTCAATTGACATATGGTGGGCATTCAGGTAAGCAACAAATACTATTAGCATAATAGATGCAACAAGGGGCAATATTTTCTGTGTACGCATCTATTTTAAACCGTTTTTTTTGTATGGCGTTTGGTAAGACACGAATCATAACTTCTTAAAATGCCTACAAGTATTAGTGTATGTATTTGAATTTTAATTTTCTTTAACTGCATAATATAAAAAGTCTACAAAAATTAGAAATTGGTCTATGATCTTTTTCTAGAAAACGTTGTTTTCAAAAAGGCGACACTTTTGATTATTTGTATGCAGGACCTTTGTCGGCACTATAGTTGAGAATTAATTGCAGCACAGCTTAAACATGGTACGATTGTAGTATACCACCCCCTGATAAACTCCTCCCTTCATTTCCCCTCTCCCCTCGGTGTGAGCACCACCACCCCATTATAGCTCAAAAAGTACCCCCAAAAACAGTTCTTCGCGTGTATCTCGATTAAAACTGAATATTATTTAAAAACGCCTCTTACCAAAGTTGAAGAACATGAAAATCACTTTTAGGAGAGATGGACGTCTGCATAACAAAAGAAGGCGTGTAACTTTGTTTTGGGAAATTATATGCAAACAATTTTGTTTACTGATTTTTTAATTTCATGCTGAAAAACCCTTAAGATATAAAATTTCGCAAAGATCAATATTTTTTTCGCGTCTCCAATCACCTTAGTCCCAGAAATCCTGTAGGAACTGAAGTCAGATTGTGCAAAATCCACCTAAAGTGAAATTACACCGAATTATCCTTCGAGGTACATTTTATAAAAATTGCCCTTTGTTCAAAAAATCAGAACTGTCCACAGAATAATGTGATTTATTCGCAGTGGTTTACGAGGATTCTCCGGAAGTCGCAAAGAAGCAGAAAGGAAACGTTTCATTCTATACTGCGGATACGCGTGGGGCGTTTCACTTTTACTGACTACGATAGTAATTGGTTTCACCGTGAGCGAAAACGTAGAAAAAAACGTTTGGTACAATCCGGGAATGGGCGATGGACAATGTTGGTTCAGAGACGGTGTGCCGACATTATTATACTTTTACGTACCAATGGCAACGATAATTGTGGTTAATATAACACTCTTCGCAGTGACTGCGTGCAAAATTAAACGGGTCCAACAGGATACCGCCATGTTAAGGAAAGACGAGAGCAAGAAACATAGCTATGAAAATGATAAACAACGGTTTGTTTTTACTTCCACCAGATCGTAGATTGTAATTAGCACTTACAGATTCAACTTATACCTTAAACTGATGCTGGCGATGGGAGTGAATTGGGCCATGGAAATTGTATCGTGGATAGTAGATTGGCAAATAGGGCGTGTGCCGCCACCCGTTTGGTATTTGACAGATTTCTGCAATGCCTTATACGGAGTGTTTGTCTTTTTTATCTTTGTATTTAAACGCAACATATGGAAGCTACTGAAAAGAAGGTACAGTAAATTCATATTTACAAAGTTTATACTTACTTCCGGTTTCAGATACTACATGATAATGGGAAAACCACATCTTGCAAGATCTATGACTCAAACTGCTTATTCACCTCGCACTACAGGATCTTCTCTAAACCACACAGTTTCAACTGATAAGAATTTTGTTACCGATTCCAGTGTTCTGACGAGCGAAGTTTCATAAATTTCATCATATTAATCAGCCTCCTCTTTTGTACAGTTTCTATACACAGTATTTAATACTCATAGTCCGCTTCTCATGACATAAATGCATAAAGCTGTGATTATCTGTCTTGAATTTTAAACGTACATATCTGTAGCTATTTATGCTTCATTATTATTTATGTTAAGTGGCTGTATTTTATTTACAGTATTTATTGCTAGCGCTATCCGAGTTAAGCAAAAGGATGGTGCAGATGCACATCCGCAATCCTATTTTAAATTATTGTTAAGCGTTACGTATGAAATAATGTACAAATCTCAAAACAATTTCATTTTATTCTATGTAATGTAAAATAAACTCATATGAGATCCTTACTCAAATAATTAACAATTTTCGATTAAACCCCAGTTCGCCATCAGTCAATTTGAGGATATCGGAAGGATCAGTTGAACCCAATAAGTTTTCGAATGGCTGATATTGTCGTATTGTACTTAAGTCGCCTATCATTATAAATTTATATTTGGCACGAGTAATTGCTACAGTTAATCTTCGCTTGTCGTCCAAAATTTCGGGCTAAAATCGCAAAGAGTCTTCATTGAGTTTATAATGGTGCAGTGAACCTCGGATTACCAATGGTGGTTTATCGATTCCTCTTCTTTTTGCTGATAAGTTCAGAAAAACGTGTCGCAAACTTACTTCTGACAATACACTGAAAACACCAGTTTATGTATGGATTAGAACGTTACTCTTTTCAAAAGCGGATTGTGATTTGAAAACACAACTTTTAACATCATTGTCTGAAGCAACTTCGGTATGAGCACTGAACAAACGGCCAAATTTAATTTACCTTTTATAAGTGAGAACCTTTTATTATCCCACTTCTGAAGCAATCGTATTTTGTGATCTTGTCAAATTTAAGAGAAAAGATAGAAAATTAAGTGATTCCACTGTTAAATTTTTTACCTTTTAATGGTTGTAAGAATGTAACCATTTAACATGTAAATCTAGTCAAAACACAACTGCAAGTGAGATAATAGTCACCAGTAGTAATAGAAAGTTTACTGCACTTGTTTAGTGGTACCTGTGAACCAATACTACGTTCGCTACCGGAACGTGTACACGAATAAAATATTATTTCTTTATCACGACCTTGAAATTGATCAACAGTGCTAATTTCCACATTGGAATCCTGAAGCGATGTCGAGAGCTTCGCCACTTGTGCACGGTAGGGTGCAATTATTCCAATCATGTCACTTGAAATGCCGCCCTAAAATTGAATTTTAGATCGCCTTTCCATTAATTAGTAATACCACCTCAAACAAAGCATACACTAATGTTTTCAAAATGGCAATTTCCAACAAATTAGTACACCTGCTTTCTTCTGTAATTAATGTTTCACTATCACTATGTTTACGTCCTGTATCTAAGATTCGAACAGAAGCTGAAAGTGATCGATCGAGGGTATATAGTATCCATTCTTGATCTTTGTAAATTTGGAGAAAGTACTGCAAGTGCATAGATCATTACGACGTGCTTATAAAACACTGTGGATACCTCAAAATTTGGAAACTGTAATGTTGCATTAGCAACCTCTTCATTTGCTGTTAATAGCTGTCCATTATACGTGAGGTTGTTGGCCATATCTGTTATTGGCTTGTTCATTCGATAATTTTGCTGAAGTGTCACAGTTGCACTCTGAGTATTTAATCTTTCAAACAGACTTTCTGCCAACCCGCCATCTCTAAAAATGCAACAGTACCTAACCGGTAAGTTTGACAAAACATCGAGGCATACGCACATGGCTTCCTTATTATGAACAATGGGGGGTAGCTGATCGGGATCACCTATTAAGATAAACTTACGAGCACTATATAGAGCTCGAAATACGGAACACTGAAGGACTTGAGTACTTTCGTCGACGATACAGACGTCCATCACTCTCTTATTTAGCACAGCGTGACCAGAGCCGAGGCATGTCACTGCTAACACTTTCTGTAATTGACGGCCATTTGTAAGTCGAAAAATAAAAGAACTCTGAGGTCTTTAAAACTCCAATATTCATTCTAAAACTCGGTGTATATGAGGCGTTGAAAGCCAGAGAGTTTCAAACTCTGTAACTTAAATTAAAAGTGGCCTGATTTTTCAACTTTCGTTATCTATTGTTGTGTGTTGTGTTGTGTGGTCATACGGTGATCAAGTTGGGTGTTGGTTGCGCCATGTTTCGTCCAGATTTGAATGTAATCAATGGGAGTTAAGTCTATACTTAAAATTTAAAGTTGTCAACCGATGACGTTATGCTAGTTTGTTTGTTCTAGGCGTTATGCGCAAACAAGTTTGACAATTGAAAATATCCTACTAGATTTGTGTTATTACATTAAACTCTGGAGGAAACACGGCGGCCGTCGCGCTCTGTACTGCACTGTATTATGTAGCGATCTATCAACCTAATATTCATGTGACACTTTTGCAATTTAATCACCTTAGGGACCAATGTGAATACATTTGTCTCTATTTCATTATTGTCCCTCTTGTTCTGGGCCCTCAACAGATTTGCGTTCAATTAACTGTCAGATTCATTTGTTTATCTCAAAATTGTAACTGTTAACAGTGTAGGTAGATAGCGCCTGTAAAAATTGCTATTTTGCTGCATACTACTCTGGCTTTCAATGCCCCACAAGAGTAGGTAATTGACATGTGCACATCCTTATTTAATCTCGGAGTAAAATGTATACTTTCTGAAATGTCAATACTACACAATACTGGAACTATCATCAAATGTACAGGGTGCCCCATTTTTGACACTTTAATACCGTATCTCCGTAATTGTTTGTGCTATCAAAAAAGAAATACGTATGGGCGTGATGTTCTCTTTTTGGGTAAAAACAAAACTTTGAACATATTCGCTCGCTTAAGAGCTACGGGGGAAAATCTAAAACCTTGTACTCACAGCACTGTTGTAAACTTCTGCAAGTTGTTCGGGCGTTTGACACATTTTCGTCCGCATTTCCTCAGAGTGCTCTTTCAATTTAGGATGTATTTTACTGCTCGATCCCAAACGTAGTACGTCTACTCCGCAAGCTAACAAACGCACGCAGACGTTATCGACAGCCGAATGTGTATGACTTGTAACAAGAACGCTTTTATTTAGTTCTGTTAATAATTTAATCAAGGCAACAATAGTATCAGTTTTACCTAAAAATAATTTTTCGGTACAAACGAAACGAACGACAGACTACATACCGGTCCCAGGCATTCCATTAATTAATAAATACTCATTGCAGCTTAACGATTTTAATATCGCCTTCTGTTGCATCTTATTAAGACGGCGTAATATTGTGGTACCCTTAATGGCGAGTAGCTTTGGTAATTTATTACTAAATGTTGGCGAGTGTTTATCAATTACGATCCTTCTTAACCGTTCCGCTTGGTCAGTCGGTTCTAAGAGTAAGGCAAGGTTACTCATATTAAAACCCTGTGATATACTGGAAGTGTAGGTGTCCAAGTGAAAGTGACAATTTGGATATTTTTTTTTGAGATCCCTAAAAATAATTGATGCTGAGGGATTAGTTCGGTTTTAGAACAACATTGTGCAAAAAAATATTACAATTTAAAAACCTTACACACCTATCGAGTGAAAGAGATATGGTGAGTGAATCCATATGAGTAGCAAATCCAGCTGCTACAGCAGGACGGTTATCAGTACTAACAACTACGTAGTCACCCATACCAATTCCTGATAAGAGCATATTGTAATTCTCCAATTGGCTAGCTTTACAAAAAATGTGCTCGTACAAGCCCGCATGAGGATTAACCCCTTTCACTATTACATTAATTATACATTGTCCGTTTTTCTCCCTACAGAGACAGAGACAACAACTTATATTTACATCTTGCCAAATAGATCAATAGTACTTTGCAGTTGGGTTCCACTTTTACATACCTCACTGCTGTGCGGAGTGTGTAAATTTCGTGCAATTGTTTACTTTTATGCGAAGATGAACTTTCCAAAGTTAACAAGGCACTCCATTTCATAAAATATTCCACATGCGCTGGTTCTAAATGCGTTAAAAGATTTTCTTCTAGATCCTTTAGGGCATTATTACAAAGGTTTGCTTTTTCATACCTACAGGGAAGAGACAATCAGAAAGTTACAACGAAAAAAAGAAAACCTACTTCAAGGCTGTACAACAAATTACATTGTAAGGGCACTTTGCGCAGGCACTATGGTGATTGATTGGTTCCGGTAACTCCCACTGTACAGAAAAATCTTTCGAATTGTCAAATGTAAGTTTAGGTTTCCGCGTTAAGTAATAAGCCAATTCATTTCGAAGCAGCACCAAATCACGCCGCTCTTTCTCGCTTACAAGAATTTCTCGCAATACCCCCTCCCTGTAATGTAATGGTTTACACAAATCAAAGGTGTTATTTTCAGACCTCAAATAAAGTAGTAACCCAGATGACAGTTTACAACCCAGCTTTTGCAACATCATGATATAAAACATCACTTGACCTCTATGCTCAAGCGAAACAGTAGCACGTCCTGTTTTTATCTCTAAGGGCATGACGGACGTCTCTGTTCCTACAGTGACATCCACTTTACCTTTCAGACCCAACTCATGACACCATACATTTTCTTCAATATCCAGTATATTGCTAATTGTGCCCTTCCAGTCACCATTCTACATTACACTTACATAATAAATGCGTAACCGTTAACACTTACGAACTTTGTATATGGGATTTTCTAAGCAACCCTTAAGATAATGAGAAACAAACGTTTTTATCTTGGGAACAAACAGCGACAATTCTTTGAAGATATTCTCAATTGGCAAATCGCTCTCGTAGCACATTCTTATCTAAAAAATTAAGAAAGCTTGGAACAGTTGTAAAAATTCGGGGAGTCATAGTCTTAGTACATAAAAAAAGAGATCCTTAAATTGTTAAAATTACAGAGGGATTACTTTATGGAGTATAAAAGTATACGAAACAAGTCCATACACTGCACATGTGCACATCTAATGTTTACAATACGCAATACGTTTACTTTTATTAAAAGCATCTTTGGTTAAAATTTTAAAAAAATATACCATAAATACGAAAATTGGCATTGCACAGTAGTACGTTTTGTTTTTCCAAAGCACTCTTCTCAAAAAATTAAAAATTGTATTTTTAGGAAAAATGTGATACTGAACCACCATATGTGATATATCGTTGTAAAGAGAAAAAAAGACGTAATCTCAAAATGTGAAAATTCAAAATGTCGCCCATAAGAAAAACTAAAGTTGCCACGTGTTTCTCCGTCATCTGGAGAGTTATTAAAAACAGGATGCCATATTTGAAATCTCCATTAAAAAGTGTCCGAATAATGTGTTAATTAGAAATGTCTACTACGATTAGTTTATCATAAAAAAAATAACAACGAAAATCAGAAATTTTTGTTTTTTTGAGATATCTTCAAGACTATTGAAGATATTTGAAATGTCTTTTCAGATTCTTATTCAGCACGAAAATTAGCAACTTTGCCCCCATTTAACCAACTTTCTATCTCTTAAGATAAGTGAGATCCCCATAGTGGCACTCGAAAAATGGACACCGTGTATAGAAGTGTACTCTTACACCTCATAGCCATAGGGTAGAAAGATTGTAGTTAATACACATTACTAAATGACAAATTACCGTCTCACGATCTAGCAGTAGCTTCTTTGCAAGGACCTCCATCTCACTAGTAGCGTAAATACCATTCTTGAGCACTTCCTGTAATAGCTTATGAACCAACACTCCCACTACCATAACTTGATTACTAGGCTCAAATCCATAGAACTTCTCCCTAAGAACACTCCGCCTACTACAAAATTGTGATCCTAAAAAAAATTGGTGTGAAGCGTGTTTTTCATCAGATAATACTCTCCCACCAACGACAGAAGTTGTCGAAATTAAAAAATCAGGATGGTAAACTATGGATCCATCGGAATTATTGACACACCACTTAGAATTGCTAGTACTCAAAACGGCAGTGATGTAAACAATGTCATTAACTTGCAATTTCAATCCTGTCCTAAGAATACACTGGAATAGAAACAAAGATTCTTAAAGATTACTTACCAAAAACCTTCAATATCACAGATGGCAGTTTTATTATCTTTGGTCCCCTTTACAACCACAGTATTAATGTTTACATTATGCTGAATATCTACAATTGCACAGTGCTGTGCCTTACTTAAATCTAGTGTATGATCATACGTATCCTGCAATTTTATAATGTAAAATTGTGCACGGTCCCCGAAACACTCTTACCAGAGTAGTAAAATCTTCCTCCCAGCCATCATTAAGCAAAGAATCTACGGCATCTTTACAATCATCAAACGTCAATTTTTGTTTCACCTTATTTGTGACCTGCGATGAGAGAGCAATCGGGGATTTAGTGGGGGTAGTTTCGTTACACTTTTGCCTTTCCTTCGTATGACTGGAGGGCGAGAGTTCTCGACATTCCGCTTTGCTTGGGACAACTCTTACAAAATTTTCCATCATTTCCACATTAAATTTGTCTAAAGACCTAGGCGACTTGTGAAACAATTTAGTTGGAGATTTTTTTTCGGAACTGCCTCGTTTCTCTTTCAGACATGATCTTTTTTCGGGTGTAACCTCTACCTTGAAATTTCTGTTAATTATGGTTTTATTGTAACGCTCCAGCTCCTTCGTGCTAATGGAGCAGGGAATAATATCCGGACTACGACTTTCTGGAGTAATATAAACATGATGCTCCGTCTTACTGGAATGTGGTATGTTGGTAATCGATTCTAAAATACTGCATGTTTTCGCATGAGGTGTACACTCAATCAGATCATCATCTAAGTAAACGCTCGAGCGTTTTCTTTTTTTGTTGAACGTGTCCTTCGTGATAACAAGATCGTGATCTCCGTTTACGCATTTTCTCTCAGGTTTTCCATTGGGTAATTCTTCGTTTCCAGTAGGACTTACTTTCTTAAAAAAGGTTGAAATTTTTTGACTACCTTTACTTGGCTACAAAATAAAAAACTTATCACATAATATACATTACAGAAAGACATACGTACCTTTTTGTTTTTGCCCAATTTCTTCATGTTTCAAAAAAACAATTCATTTGTGTTTGAAAGCAAATATTATTATAGGTTATGGTAATTCCCGCCGGTTAATCAAAATCATGGTTGCCGGATCTCGCATATGTCAGAGACATTTGTCTCTGGCATATGTACAACAATTGTTATTAAGGGTGGCCTAACCATATAACAATAAAAATGAAGGAAGGGTTTACTTGCAATTAAATTTGCTTATCTTTTTGTAAATCACTTAATTTTTTTGAGAGATTTTGTATAATAGTATGTAAATAGAAATAACAACTAAAATTTTCACGTCACGTTTCCATTTTGATACCTTATCGTTTTTCCATTCCAAGACTGATTTTATAAAATTCGAATTCATAACATTGTATATGCACATGCTTAGATCATACAATTATCTAAGTGCACATGGATATAATTAATGGCAGATCAGTATTCTCCACTCCACTATCAATATGATCTAGTCCAAAAGGCTCTACCAACAATTACCTTTGAATATAGTTTATGGTTTACTTTATAATCAAAGGTGAAATAACAGAAAAACAATTGACAGTCGAATTCTCAAAATATCAACAAAAACGCATAGGTACATATGACCCGATACATCAGAGAAAGAATTCTTGATCGAAAAATGTACTGATCCGTTATGATGTAGGGGTACTTTTGGCCATGCGTCACCGTTTATAAATGTACGGAACTTTCTGGCCATGCGAAAATAAGAATTGTGTGTCACGCTAACACAATCTACAGTACCTAGTTAATGCCCGCGGCCCGATGGCATTTGGAGTGTTAATAAGCGGCAGAGCATAGTCAATCGTGTCCGTCTGTCCGTGAACACGGTACGTGATGTCCAACGCTTGGAACGATTTAGGGTTCCCACCTCTCCAATTTTCATCTTGTGCAATTTGGAACCTTCAGACACTTAATGAAATATTTTGCTCAATGGCTTATAGGTATTAATTTGAGATGGAGGTTTTCTTACCGTCTGCTTGAGCAATTTTGTGCACTAAAAACTTGGAAAATTAAGGAGTATGCTAACTCATAGGGTGCGCGGGTGAATTCCATACGCCCTCTCCGTATATGTTACAAAGACATGGAAATTTTGCCCTAAACAATATTTTTTGTAGGTGCCCGCAGTAATAAAACTACACATCTTTGGTGCCCAGATGGGTCATCCCACAATAGCTTACTCGGCAAAATATTCGAGGTGAAAGAATCTTGCATTTGTCGCTTCCCCCACTCCCCTGACACAAACACCTTTTAAGACATTTGGCGCGAAAACTGTTCAAATTAGATCTGCCATCAACTTCGATGAGGACGAACTTTTTCACTTCAGAGGAAAGCTATTTCGGCATATAGTTTAGATTACCTACAATTTTTTTCCCAGACAGCTTTATATCAAAGTGTTTTGCTCATAAATAAACTGCTTTTGATCAAGGAACCAATAAACTCCACAGCTTTTTGTACGTTAGTACCACAGTACTAGTACTTCCACGTTTTAAAACTTTTAAATATCTTTCCATCTTTTAAATAATGGAGGTACACAAAACTAGTGACTTGCGTTTTAATGCTGAAACACAAATCAATAAAATTTCTTAGGGGGCGTGGATGATGTTTATGAAAAAATACGTTTAACTTGTTGCAAGTATACATATAAGATGGGTGATAAGTGTGAAGTATTTTTAGAAAAAGAAGAGTACGCACCGGGTGAAATAATAAATGGTAGAGTAGAATGCAACTTTGCGTCCCAGAATAAAGTTAAAGGGATACGATTAAAAATAAGTGGAGATGCAAAGGTCTTCTGGAAAATAAGCGCTTTCACCTATCGAAGGGCCCAAGAGGTATTTTTTGAAACTGACCTAGACTTATTAGAAAGTGAGCATCATACTTCGCTATCATTTATTATAACTATATCGTTTCTAACTCAGCAGACGAGATGACTTTTCCTCCGGGAACATATACATACCCCTTTACGTACACTCTGCCTTCCACAGTTCCGTCAAGTATGATGGAAGGAGACCCCACATATAAGAAGACCGTTGCATCATATGTAGTACCGTTTAACTTGGTGGACGTATATTATGGATGTGTACAGTACATAATTAAGGTGACAATCGAAAGGTCCTGGAGTACTAATATCAGTATTGAAAAATTGTTCAAAGTGATGTCGAGCCTTGATCTAACCACGATCAGTGGACTAGAGGTAGTATCACGATGCTATCGCAATATTCTAACTAGAATTTTTAGAAAAGTTACGAACTTAGTATCGGAAAGAGGCCGTCCTCGCTGTTTAAAGACACGGGGCCGATCACGGCCACAATTCAAATGCCCCGAAGTGGATATGTCCCGGGTGAAAAACTACCCTTTAGCGTTTACGTGAAAAATGCATCATCAATAGATATACAGTATATTCAATTTAAATTTGTTCAAGTAAGTCATAATGGATTGGTTTTACATAACATCATTAATAGGGTTTTGTGTTTCATGCCGAACAAAGTACAAAAAGCATCGACACTATGATGGGAGAAGAATTTATGCTTAAAGAAAGCGATGTGGCTGTGGGAAATGAACGATCTTGGAAGTTAGAATTGGTGGTACCTTCAATGTTTTTAGGAAATTACTCTCATTGCAGCGTTATTAAAAACTTTTGGGAGTTAAGGGTGCGTAAAAATGTCTCCAATGTAAATGCAAAATAATTTTTAGGGCGAAATATGTTTGCCATTTCCAAATCCGGCATTTAACGTCTCTGTGCCAATAACGGTAGGAAGCGTTGCATTAACAAAGCGACCTTAGATGAAGACGGATTTCAATCATATGTAATTGGTGTAACTCAATGTTATGTACAATAGTTTGCATAAGAACCTAATCAATTTATTTTATCAGTATAAAATTAAACCGTGCGATTTATTTTACGTGTCCAAGTGTACCTATATTTCGTTTATTATTGGAGATAGGAAAAAAGTGTAAGAAGCAAAAATAATGTATGTACTTCCAATTTCTGATAAAGTTACATATTCGAAAAAACTAGTGATGTAAAAACAATAAAGCATCTGAAAAAAAATTAATTTTTGTAAATAGATCGTTACCTTTTTCTATAATTGTTGGATAGCACCAGAATAATAAAAAATAATGTCAGATACAAAACTTGTCATTTTTATATAATTAACCATTTCCATTATAGTAAATATTAATATTGTATATCAAAGCCTATAATTATTGTTCACCCGTACTTCAGGCAAGTATACAACAAATTGGCGACGAGGATTATTGGTGTAGCACTCCGCATTACAGTTGCACGTGGTTGGGCGAAAAACTGTCTTATTTTTGTTTAAAATTGCACAATTACAGCGATTGGTTTTAAAAACATTACTATAGCCACAGATCTTAATTGATAACCTATTTCATTTATCATTGTAAAGAGAAATTCAAAGTTTTAAGCATATTACAGAAAAAAGTAACAGTTCCATTAAAAAAATTAATTTGTTCCCTGATGCTCTATTGTTTTTATATCACTTGTTTTTTTGAATAAGTAGCTTTTTCAGAAATTGCAAGTAGAGTATTTTTGTAGTATTTAGCTCCAATAATAATAAAGAATACGCTGGCACACGCCAAATCAATCACACTGTATAGGTGGGAGTTCGCGCCTAATAAAAAAACAACGATCCTATGGATTTAAGTTGATTTAGGTTTAACGAACATTTTTTAATATATAAAATTCAAAATACTTTCAATTGAAAACATTCTAAAAATGATGCCCAAAAGTATGTTGTATTATTATAGTGTGGTCAACTCCAAAACACTTGCACTTGTTACCACTTGACAGTTGATATTCAGATTTAAAAAAAAAATGATCGTTACACCAGAACAACATTCAAATCAGAACTGTTATTTTGTTTTTGTTAAGAGGCGTTGAACTCAAGTTTCCATGCTTTTGCATCGACAATATGCACAGATGCTTGTTTGTCATCATTCTGTATGTAAAAATGCAAACAAATAAAGTGTAAATCTTTTAATTTTTATGTCATTGATAGTTAAAACCAACATTTCTAAAAAATAGAAAATACATAAACATTTATAACGGATAAAAAGATCTCTTAAAAGTCGCTGTGCCTCTCTTGAGGCATATATTGCTTCATTTTGCCACCCCAACAAACATAAATTTCTAATTTGATTAAAGAATACCTTAACATATTAACAACCTTATGGACTATTAAATCGTCATTGGGATCCAAAAATGCTTGGATAGCGACATAATAATAATCGCTCTTATTCTGTTTCTTAATTTGCTTAATACATTTATGGAAGCTCATAAAATCAAACGGAGCATCTTTGGTTTTTCTCACAATACATCCATACAATGAGTATGCATCATTATTTTTATATGCTTGTATAATGTCTCCCAACTGTTTCTTAGTATTTTTATAGTCCATTATAAAGTGAAACTTCTTGTCAAGATCCCCAATGTCTTCGGAAATAAAACCATCTTCGGTACCAAAATATAAAATTGCAGTTCCACTCTCGATTTCTACCAAGGGATATACAGCATTTATAACTTTACATTTATTCTGCTTATGAGGTGGACTGGGACCGTAGTCTTCGGACTAAAACAAATTTATTGCCATCATTTCTTTCGTTTTGACGATTTTCTTATAATAACAAAATTTTCCAAATTTAATTGCGTTGCTTTTCCAGTTTTCGATTTCTGTTGGAGCTCTTTTTTTGCTTTGCCCCAATTCTGCAACAATGAGAGGGGCTCAAACAGAGAGCGTCGTTTTCTTAATACAAATTGCACAAACCTGCTGATAATTGCACACTGTAATTGCAACGTCAGTTTCTTGAAATATACATTCCAGCAGATACTTGACTTCTGACCATTCCAAGCGATCAAGACCGCAACCGATTCTAGGGATTGCCAATTGCTTGACATTGTTATCTTCAATATGTTGACGTAATTTCCGCAACGAGTTCCACATCGTTAGCATTGTAGGTTTTCCATTCGACTCTTTTTTTGTGACTAGGTAATAGATGTACCTTCCTTTATCTTCCAATATTGCCAAACCACCTGGTCTTTGCCTTTGAGAATATAACTCTTCACGCCTCTTAAATTCTTGACTAAAATTCAATTTACACAATTACACAATTGTAACAACGTTCTAGAGGAATCGTTAACATATAAAATTGTTCTGGTGTCTTATCAACCCATAGCAATTTTTACACAGAGACCTCGTCTTGTTCGCTAATTCCATTTGTTGACGACTTATTTCAGAAAATCAATTTCTATAAGTAGATGCATACAAAAATTAGGGAAATTTATAGAAATCAGTACAAAAATAAGCCAAAAAAAAAGGTATAGGAAATAAGTAAAATTCTAGTAGCAAGAGAAAACTGTGAAATAATTAATGAACAAACCTGAAGCGAACTGCAATACCACTGCCCATATTCATATCTTCTGCCACACAGTGTGCCAACGAATATTCGGTAGACATATTAAATAAATCTTCCTGAATTTCGACAACCTTTGTGTAAGTAACATTCGAATGCTTTAATCGGCGTAAACTCTCACAAAATTGATCGTAACCCTTATCATCCGACTTATAATTACTCCTACTACCACTCTCGTGGCTTCTGCTCCCTGTTAAGTTTTTTTAGTTGTTTTGCAACAAATAAATCTACGTTTACCTTCAGTTTGTCGTTTAATACCTTCACGGTTCGGCTTGGCCTGTTTACCCTCATTCCCCTTATTGACCAATTGTTTTGAGTACGGATCTAAAAATGTTCACTCCACTACACCACACCCCGGCGGCAAATTAAAAACTTACTTGTATGACTAATATCTGCTTTATTCCAGTCGTTATCGCTGCTTTGGGTCTTTAGCTCTAGAAGAAGATAACTAAAAATCTCTATCAGAAGTGACATTAACTACCTGAATCCCATCCAGTATTTCCTGCAAGTGGAAAAAGCGATGACGATGGCATATCTAAGCGATCTTCAAAATTATCGGGAACATTTGATTGTGTACTTTCCTCAATGGTGCTCTTTGCTAGTTGTGTCGGTGCAGCTACTTCCTTCTTGTAACTTGTGAAACTCTTGGATTGTTGCTGCTCTTTTCTTACAGGTTGTGGATGACTCACGGGCGCTTTGCCTGTTTCCTTTTCCTTGGGTTTCTGCTGATTTCTTCCAAGGTTTTTGTTTTTTTTATTTTTTGTCATTGTAAACGATGTTGCTTTACAATTTAATGAAAACGTTAACTTACGACTCCCGAAATAAATGTGCAAATTTGCAAAATGAGGCAAAATTGCAAAACACTTAAAGGAAGGGCGGGGAATGCTTTCCACTAATTGCAAAATGCAATTTGTCAAACGCACATTTTATTTATCGTCCCACGTGACTCAGTAAAAATGCGCATGTGCTACGTTACCCCACTGCAATTTGAAAAATACAATTTTTTAATTATCGACTTTCCCGATACCTTTATTTATTCAATTACTCATTCACTTATGAAATGAATAAACAAAGATGGTACGTAGTAAACAAATCAGTACACTGAGGACATCTACCCACAAAGGAATTGTGAATATTTTTCATACCGCACTCTTTAATTTTTAGCGCATTTTCCAAAAGGAAAATGAAGAAGGATATTGTCCGCACTTTGTCCGTTTGTCCGTCTGTACCACTACTATAGTCCTTCAATTTAAGCTTTTTCATTGTGGTTTCATTCATATATCATTGAATTTACAACTACATTTATATAAATTCAAAGCTTTACCTACATGGTGTGGTGTAGTACAGCCCAGAGATCAGAACGACAAAAGTTTATTTGGATTGGTCACTTCCTTCCCGAGCTATTACTGATTATGTGCGAGGAAAATGCGTTTTCAATCGGTCGCGAGTGACCACGTTTTTAATTTGTTCTTTTTCTATCTTCCATTGTAGGCAATCTCGGTTAAAGGAAGTTTTGATACAGCCGCGGTACTTATAACACTTGTACTTTATGCGGAAACTTGTCAGTAAGGACTTAAAAGAGGGAAAGAACACATAACAGCGCAAAACACTTAGGGGTTGTTCAACAATTAAACATTCCAGAGCACATATACATGATTTCAGACTACATGACTCCAGAATACCGCCACGACAAACCCTTGTGATGATCGGGGCGGGGACAACGAAGTATAGAATTTGAGAAAAGAGCCCTCTGATGCTCCAGCAGTATTACAGCCCGAGGTTTTAGCTATAAAACCAGGTGCGCAAAGGTCATTCCGGCCAAAGGGCTGCATGTGGGTGTCACGTCTGTTCAAAATTGGAAAAGGGCATCGCCGGCGTCAAAAAGAATCTCATGTCTCCCTCCACTGTTCCGAGCTGGTTTCGAAAAGGTAAATAGGTACATAGGTACAAATTTTATAAAAAATCTTTGTCGTACCTCTTGTCCTTGTCGAGTAGCCTAAATTGTAATTTGTTATGTCCGTAATAAGGTACCTATTAAAAATCACATTGAAGTCCAGCATTTTACAAAACGCATTGATAAATTACTAAAACACATTCAGGTTCATATTTCCACAAAAAAAAGCAAACATTTATTTATTATCCATCTGATCATCTTTTTTTTTCGTTCTCGTTCTCAAGTACCAAAATAAAATCATAAGCAGGATACGAGGGCACAATAATTCGAAGTCCTGGATTGTAAAATGACAGTGTTAGGCTTAGGTATCACCTTCACCTTGCATTTATATTGTTAGGTCAATTTTTCTTGAAAGCTTTACCAAAAGATCGTACATTGTCAGTAGGACATATGAAGTAGGTACGGATTGCCACCCCTTAATTATATGACGAGTTATGATATAGTCTGCAGCCTTATGTGTTTATTTTCAATTTAAATACATAGGTAGCTTTTTTTAGTTGACTCAAATTTCCCGAAGAACCTAGGTTGTATTTTGCATAATAACAGTTTTTCTCAAAGAAGGGAAGGAGCAATTCCAAGAAAACTTTAACAACACTAAAAGTAGGTCAAGTAACGCGCGAATCGCAGAGTTCCTGACGTCAGGTTGCCGCGCGGTTAGAAACCAACAGCCAATAAAATTAAAGCGTGAAAGATAACGGCTAGAAACTACGCGCTTCACTCTAGTCTCGTGCTGTCGGTCGTTCGGTTAGGTTCATTTAGCGAAGGATGCGCGTTAGGTAGAAGTTTTTACTAGGTTTTCTAAAAGGGAAAAGGGCTAATAAGTATCTCTTAAAATCGTTTTTATAAATTATTTGTGTATAGTGACTAAACAATAAAGATTTGGGCACTATTTTGGAATAAAAAAATGCCGGTAAGTGATTTAAAAATTATTAGGTTTAGGTTGTTATAATTAGCGAATTGATTGCGATTTTGTCAAAATATTAGAGGTGAAAATAAGAAACGTTGCGGCGTTTAGTGCCATTTAGACCGTGCGTAGATTTGGGGTAGGCGAATAAACAAATCAATGCCTGGGGATAGGTATACGTAAGCCAGTGATGATTTTCTTGGAACACTTCTGTGGTTTAACCAAAAATCAAGCAAGTAGGTATCTTTCATTATTTTAATCAAAAATGCCGTGCGTTGAGGTTCGCGATCACCTTTCTCCTTTCTTCTTTTAAGCTTATCTCACTCGTTATCTCAGGCGAAGCATTGGTTGGGTGCTACAGAAAAGTAAGAAGATAAAAAGCAAATTAAAAAAATGGTCAATAATTTGAATTCATCTTTCTTGGGCCAATAGTATTTCCTCAAACTGAAAATGTTTACGAACGGTCATCATCAGTATCTATATATATAGGTATGGAGTTACCAATCCTTAATTTTATAATTAGTTTTATGATACACTTTGCAGTCTCATGTGTTTATTTTCAAAGAAAGGTAGTGGTGATTGAGCGTTAATAAGCCCTAAACCAAACTGAACAAAAGACTAACTTTTTAATTAGACTACGTAACGTAATAAGTACGGAAATCATACCTACGTATCGCACAGTTACTGAAATCTCTTGAACCGAAAGTGGCGATAAAACATTTTTTAAATTTGACTGCAAGCCCCTTAGTCGATATAACGGGCTATCAAAAAAGGATGAACGTCAAGTCGCCTTTGGACGTTCAAGTTAAATATGATTTCCCATGTAAACAAAACTTCCAAAGGTGACTTGACAGCAACCCTTTTTTGATCGCATATACCTAGTACACAGATTTCGTCGTTTTTTAATTGGCTATTTTAGTTCACGCATGACTTTGCATCCCTAATCCCCGGTTTCACAAACGATGATTAAGGTTAATCAGTGATTAAAAATATTAGAATGGGAAACATTCTGAGCGTAGATATAATCAAATGTGGTTAACATTCAAACATTTTTAATCATTGATTTTGATCATCGACCATCGTTTGTCGTTTATCTCAAGAACACTGTTTGGGTACTACAGAAAAGTACCAAAATAAAATAATAAACGGGGTACGAGAGCACAATAATTCGAATTCCGGGATTGTAAAATGACCTTGCATTTATATGTTTGTCAATTTTTCTTGAACGCTTTACCGACAGTTCGTACATTATCAGTAACTATGAAAGTACCTACAGATTGCCAACCCTTAAATATATGACGAGTTATGATATAGTCTGCAGCCTTATGTGTTCATTTTCAAAGAATTTCTCTTCAATCGAAAAGGGTCCCGCCTCCACGCTTCCAAAACTTCATCAGATTCGCACCCTGATACTCTCTGGTTTTTCGCGATCCCTGAAATACGGACCTTGTAGAATCCTACTGGGCCGCCGGGTCCGAACGACACAGCAAATCTACAGGTGTACACTTCATAAAAAAACGGGAAAAGCGGAGTTCCCTTGATATACGAACGCGTCGTTTCCTATCTCGATCGCCTCGCATTCGCCGTCCCAGCCTAAATCCAGAATCCCAATTTACACTGTGAGTCGATTCAATTTAAATGGTTACCTTTTTTTTATTGCTTGAGTCAAATTTCCCGAAAAACCTTAGGTTGTATTTAGTTATCGCGGTAAAACATAATAAACAAGCTGCTCGAAGAAGAAGCAATTCCAAGAAAAGTATAACAACACCAAAAGTAGGTCAAGTAACGCGCGAATCGCAGAGTTCCTGACGTCAGGTTGCCGCGCGGTTAGAAACTAACAGCCAATAAAATTCAAGCGTGAAAGATAACGGCTAGAAACTACGCGCTTCACTCTAGTCTCGTGCTGTCGGTCGTTCGGTTAGGTTCTTTTAACGAAGGATGCGCGTTAGGTAGAAGTTTTTACTAGGTTTTCTAAAAGGGAAAAGGGCTAATAAGTATCTCTTAAAATCGTTTTTATAAATTATTTGTGTATAGTGACTAAACAATAAAGATTTGGGCACTATTTTGGAATAAAAAAATGCCGGTAAGTGATTTAAAAATTATTAGGTTTAGGTTGTTATAGGTAATTAGCGAAATTATTGATAGGTATGAATTTCTTTGATAACGAATTGATTGTGTTTTTGTCAATAAAATGTTAGAAGTGAAAATAAGAAACGTTGCGGCGTTTACGGCCTTTTAGACAATGCGTAGGTTTGAGGGAAATAAACAAAACAATGCGTGAAATACGTATAGGTAAATGTAGGTAAGCCGGTGATGATTTTCTTGGAACATTTCTGTTGAACAAAAAATCAAGCAAATATCTTTCATTATTTTAACAAAAATCAAAGATGCCGTGCGTTGAGATTCGCAGTCGCCTTTCTCCTTTCGTCTTTTAAAGCTTATCTCAAAATTTTATCGAACGGTCATTATCAGTATCTATACGTATGGACGAGGGTATGGAGTTACCACCAATTCTTAATGTTATGATTAGTTTTATGATACACTTTGCAGTCTCATGTGTTTATTTTCAAAGAAAGGTAGTGGTGATGAGCGTTAATAGGCCCTAAACCAAACTGAACGAAAGAGTAACTTTAATTAGACTACGTAACGTATAATAAGTACGGAAATCATAACTACGTATCGCACAGTTACTGAAATCTCTTCAACCGAAAGTGTCGATAAAACATTTTTAAAATTTTACTGCAAGCCCCTTAGTCGATATAACGGGCTATCAAAAAAGGATGAACGTCAAGTCGCCTTTGGACGTTCAAGTTAAATATGATTTCCCATGTAAACAAAACTTCCAAAGGTGACTTGACAGCAACCCTTTTTTGATCGCATATACCTAGTACACAGATTTCGTCGTTTTTTAATTTACTTTACTAATTGAAAATATTTTACTTTGCAGTTACTGGCACTGAAGATATACGTCGCCCATTTCTGTTTCATCTCTTCCGCGGTGAATGGTCCTTCCTAGGCAAGACCGACATATTAAGGCTATGGGTAAATTTCTTTACTTTTTACTAAACGCAATAATGTAATACCATTGAATTTATAATAGTTATAAATTCAATGGTGATACTTATAACTTAACAAATGCTGCAAATTAGTCAAACTGTTATCTTAATTAAATTTCTTCTTGGTTTCAGATTCCAGAAAGGCGGCCTTATAAAGGTAGGATTTTTCATTTTATATGCATGGCATGGTTTGTTTCATTTTATATTATGTAACAGTGAAAGGGGGGGAGTGAATAGTGCACAGTGACTATGAAGACCAACGAATATTTTTGGCTGACTTTCGTAGTAGTGTATATTACTAAGTGAGTTGTGACCACCCTCTTAATCTCCCCATCTTGGTAACGTTAAGAGTCTTCTTTACCTAAGCGCAACTTTTTTGCATTTTAGTGTATAGATGATTATAGCTGCAAGAGATAAGATGAATTTCTTGCTTTGTCAACTCCTGTCTTGGTGCTTAGTTAGTTCCCACCGACACTGTGCAGCGGCGCCACTTGTTACACTCAAATTGTTGATTTACCGCCCGCCAAGATACAGACTTTATTTACAAAAATTATGATTTCATTTTTTGGGGTTATGTTTAAAAGTAACTTATGTAAAAAACTGTCGGTTTACTTTTTCCATAAATCGTCTTGATCGAGAGTAAAAAAATAAAACAGATCAGCGCAATAATCGGTGCGAAACATCTAATCTTTAAACAATCGGTATTCAGTTGCTATAAACTTAAAAAAAAAATAGTCCGAACATTTTGTAGATAAAGGTCTAAATTTATAAAATAGTTCTTAAAAAAAATTGTTTTTTGAAAAACAACTATAGAGTTTTTATGGCGGGCGCTCTTATGGAAATTTACATTGGGTGCAGTGGGTACAGAAGACTCTTAAGGTTGATTGCAATCATTATTCGAATGGACTCCTTCGCAGCATCATTTTACTTCGTAATAAGTATGGCTGTGAATTCACAGTCATACCAATTTTATTAAGTAAAGTAAATTTTCTTGCAAAGTTACCAAGCTGAACTGATGCATCTCATTTATTATTATACACGAAGGTCAGTCTGATGGTGTAAGTATAAAAGAAAGGTTCGTAACTGAATCACCGAATGGATGTGTTCGTTGGGTATTAATTTGATCATCTAAACTAAGTTTTGAGAGTTCAAACCGTTCAGAAAAAAAGATCTGTAGTCTCAACGTTTACAAATTATTATGAAACGAATACACCTTAGCGACATGTTTTGAGGTCCACTAATTTTATCTATCTCTCTCATCTATCGCAGTACCAGCAAGAAGTAGTGCATCGTTCCAGACTAGAATCCCTCCACAACTCAAGTGATGGATCGCAGATCGAATCCAACCAAGGGGTAAACCGCTGGTTTAAAACGTATACATATTACTATATACAGGGTGGTGCCTAGCGCGACGCAGCATAGGGATTTCAATGGTAATTTCTTTATAGTCAATTACTAGCTCCCCTAATTATTTTAGAGCAAAAGTCTAAATACGTTTTTTTAGAGAAAAATATATTGCATCTGTTCATACTATTAGTTATAATTTCATTTTTCAAAACCGTAGAAATCGACATAATAAAAAATTACATTTTTATAAATCAGTGGTGCTTTGGAATCTTTTAACAAACTACAAGCGCATCGCATCTAAGTTATCGTTGTTTGACGTCGAACGATTTTCATATTTAATTCTGTTTCAACTAACCGACCCAATAAAAGGCATCTAGGGGGTAATGTTTTTTTCGAGGTTTTTTTAGAGAATGTAATGCTGCATCTGCATCGGATACTAACGGGCGATCAAAAATGAGTTGCTGTCCAGTCGCCTTTGGAAATTCAAGTTAAATACGAATTCCCATGTAAACAAAGATTCCAAAGGTGACTTGACAGCAACTCATATTTGATCGCATTGTAAGTTTATCATTCTCCGGAATCAGAGTACATAATCGAAGAAAAAGAAATTGATTTGAGGAAGAATTGTTCTTAAACTTATATTCAGAGTTTCCGCTACTGCAGCCAAAACGTTGAATGTATTCTCGTTTTCCTGATGGTTCTGACAGACATTTTAAACGTTACTGCACTTGCAGTTATTTAACTAATTTGAAAACAAGTATAAATTATTAATTTAATAAACGTCAAAGGCAAATAAAAATAATGAAACGTGATCGCTCTTTTTTTAGGTAATTCCAAGGCATATCTGATTTATTGTAAAATGAACCTTTCTGTTTTGTCGATTTCTACGGTTTTGAAAAACGGAAAATTATGAGTAATAGTATGAACAGATGCAGTATTTTTTTCTCTGAAATTAGACTTTTGCTCTAAAATAATTAGGGAAGCTAGTAATTAACTATAAAGAAATTACCATTGAAATCTCTATGCTGCGTCGCGCTAGGCACCACCCGGTATAATGTTGTATTACCACAAAGTATTACCCTCTATTACTCAGTATTACTCAACTATTATTACTCGGTATAATAAGATTACTTATTCAACGGCATTACTCGTATTACTCAAGCTGTGTACACCAAATTACTCCAGCGGCTTACTCCGCGGAACCAACTCAATCATCATGAAAAATCAAATCGTACATGGTTCAAACGAACAAGGTGGGTACCTATGACATCGTATTTAGCAAAAAATCGATTAGGATCGCTCCTCGTCTTTTTTCTAATTTTTTAATGGTCGCATTTTATCATTTAAAATTTAAATCATGTCAGACACTTTCTTATTTTACAAGGGTATATTCAAACAGGACGTGGCAAAAGAAATTTCATGTTAAATACAATTATTATTGTGTTTGGCTTAAACATTTTTCTTTATATGCACTTTTTTTAAAGAACGTAAGGATTTTTCCAATGGAATAATAACAAATATAACTTCATAAATATATTTTTAATATCATTTTACAAAAAAAAACACCATTGTTTCATTAGAAACTCTTTATGATGTATGATTATCTTTTTTCAGTTACTACCAGCCAATGATCGTGAACAGTATGCGGTCCCTGCCAGACGAGACGGAATGAATAAGGTTGAACGGTAAATTTTGATTTTTTAATTACTACGTGTTGTATAATCATCTACAAAAGTAATGATAATCGGAAGCTTACTGCCAGAGTGCCACTTAGGCAACCAACCATACTATATCTAAATTATCAACGTTGATGTGTTTAAGTTTAGTTGACTTAAACTCTTAAAAAAGTAGCAAGCCATAAACTATAAAAAAACTTAGATATAAATAGTATGTATAGTCGCCTGTTGGTTGCGTAAGTGGCAGATTATAATTACTTTTGTCGATAATCAACAAAAATTTGGATTATTGTTGATTTTTTCACTCTTTTATCGTAAGTTTATTATTTGTTTCAGATTCCAGAAGAGCAGCCTTATAAAGGTAGGATTTTTTGCATGTTGTATCTATATTAAGCAGTGGGGGAAAGTGAACAGTGCATATAAATTGAACAGAAAGACCATCAGGTAGGTATAATTCAGTTATTTGTACCCACCTACGAGTAAATTTTTACTCGTAGGTACCTACTGTAGTAACTACTAAGTGGGCTGGTACAATCTTCTTAAACTGTCATCTTGGTGACAAATTTGACCAGGAACTATCTAACCCGCCGCAACATTTTTATGAAGTAAAATAAATTACCTACTATAAGTACTACCATCAAAAAATAAGTAGTGAACTTAGAAATCATTCTAAAAATAAGATATAAAACTATGTGAACCAAATTGAAAATAAAAACTGAAATAATTCCGAAATTCGATCGTTAAAATTCCAAAATTGTGTAAATCGTTAAATTTTCTGTTTAGCTTCAACTTGAAACCAATCGGCTTAAATTTGCACATTAATACACTAAGAGGGAACTACTTCCCAGAGCTTCTGTATGGTGTAACCTTCCTTTAGACTTTCAATAGCAAGACCCAATTCGTTGGAATAAACAATGGGTCTATCTTTACCAGTGTCCCCGTTGGCCGAATAAGTTATTAAAACGTTAGAGATTTCATTTCGAGGGTCGTCGACTTCCTCAACGTCTTCTGTGAGAATTGCATTTTCTTTCTCGTCCTCTTTCGAACTCCATTCGTACTCAATTCCGTATATCGGATTCGAGGCGTAAACGGTAAAGAGCGAGGACAATTCCTTGAATATTAGATTTAGCTGGTCTTCGGGATCAATACGAAATCCCAAAATGTAGCCGCCACTGGTTTGGTTGCACGTAATGACGAGGGCCCTCCCAAATTTCGAGTCTCTGATTCTTATCTAAAATTGTTTCACTTTACCTTAGCGTGGAACTTTGCAAACTTACACTGTTGATCTGTAGATATGGCAAAGAGATATTAAATGCTTCATTCATATCCGCAAACCATACAAGTCTCACATTTGTGATGTAAAATGTGCCAAGGCTGCCTTGGTCGCTTGATAAATTCCATACACCGTGTAAAACGTTACACACCTGTTCTAAAGGTAGAATTCGTAGTCTTTTATTGTGAACTACGGCTCCCCTCAGTTTTAACTCTCGATATGCCTTTGACGTAGTATACGCTCTATAAAACACCTGTTTTCAATATATAATACTACATATGTTAATACTTATGAACTCCTGTAACTGAAGTAAAGTGACGCATACTTCCGGGAACTAAATTAGTGAAAATAAACTCATATCTTGAGCCATGGCAGACCGTCATTAAATAAAGAGCTTGAGTCGTACCACGTAATTTCTAAAATACTTCCTTTGTGATCTATAGCAAGCAAATGTAACTTACAGAATTAACAATTTTGGTATTTAGAGTCGTGATTGAATTATAGCCGATTGCTGAAAAACGGTGGTATAAATTATTTGTAGGTAGGTGCCTACATGCAACGGCTTACACAAATTAATTCGAGGGTTTGACACAGAGTGCCATAAAATCCGCAAATTTGTAATAATCAGCTTTCCTCTGTCACCGCCATTGCCTTTTGTATCTTCTATGTTATCCAATCTGTCTATCACTTTTTCACCGATTGTGAGGCGCATATCCCTAAAACATCAGTATGTATAGTAAGATGCACTTTGAGAATGTGAGTAAGTACTTACGAAAAGGATAAATCGAAATGCACTTCTTTGTCTTCCCATCCTAATCCCATTTCAAAAACTCTGGTTTTCTGTTTGTGGCTAATTGAATGTATTGATTGTTCCAGAAAAGTGGGAGAATTATTGATTATTTCTTGTAACGTTTAGCCTGATGTGGTTGTAGTTATGACAACTTTTAGGTTGGTGTATACAGTGAGGGGACAAAATTGGGGAGACTTTTAGACAATCTTGCCTTTTACTTTTTTTTAGGTGTTTGCCTATACCACTGCTAAAGTCTTGCGTCATTTTTTATGAAAGATTTACGTTTTTAAAGTTTTCTAAAAATGTCAATTAGATACTTTTAGAAACTCGCTCAATACTTATATGATCATTACTTAAAATGCTAACCATGTCTTTATCTAGATTCAAATTCTTGCTTTCATTGTTATCTGCAGGACAATCTATTAAAAAATGTTGCAGTGTATACAGGGTGGTGACTTGCGTAACGCATCATAGGGATTTCAATGTAAAATTCATAACATGCGATTATTGGCTCGCCCCAAATTATTTTAGAGCAAAAATGTATTAAGGTTTTTTGTAGAAAAAAATTGTTTACGTCAATCAACCGTATTAGTTTTCAATTTTTTGCATAATAAAGACGGAAAATTGGAAAAATAAAACCCGCATCTTTTTCAATAATCTGCGATGCCATGGAATTTTCTAAAACAAAAAGATATCCAGTTGTTATCACTTAGCAGCAGTTCGAAATGGATTTTGTGATCGACTTGGTTACTGTCTTGCAGTTAATGGTGACTTATTCGAGCATTTATTGTAAATTGTTATATTAGGAAACCGTTTTTAGTAATTTGGTCTTTCTTTATGTTGAATTCGCTGTTCTAATTATAATACTTTTTGATAGAATTTGATTTGTTTTATAGCAGACATTCCATGGCATGACGGATATTGGCGTAGTTTTTGTATTATAAAATTCCATGGCATCACAGATTATTGAAAAAGATGCGGGTTTTATTTTTCCAATTTTCCGTCTTTATTATGCAAAAAAGGGAAAACTAATACGGTTGCTTGACGTAAACAAATTTTTTCTACAAAAAACCTTAATAAATCTTTGCTCTAAAATAATTTGGGGAGCCAATAATCGCATGCTATGAATTTTACATTGAATTCCCTATGATGCGTTACGCAAGTCACCACCCTGTATAAGCTACTCCACATACACTACAATTAATATTACGCGCACATGTAGCTAGCGTCAAACGAGTGCGCCCTATTCTTATTCTTGTGTATACTTCTTCCCTTTTTCTTAGAGCGTATGTATTTTTCCATGAGATTACATTCCTTTTGATAATACAGAGGATTCTTCGATATTCCGTTGTATCGGTTTATTCTTCCTGAAGATCAGTTGGTGAATAAGTCGAGTAGGTAAACTGAATTTCTTCCGGCCATTCTATGCACAGACCATGATTCTATGTGCGCGTACTCCAATTTCAGTCACAGTATCTTTAAAATGTCCTCCCTAAATTTTCATATAGTTCCTTAGAATTTCCTCTAGTTTTGCATATTACTTCATACTTGGTCGCAACTCTATTTACTTACTGGAGAGGCAAGAATTTTTCCCTTCCATAATTGACATAGTTGAAGTGAGTCACTTAATCATTCAGGGAATGGAATCTATAACTTTTTTCATGTCAAATTGATTGACCATCATAATTAGGCTGCACACTGAAAGGAAATGAAAAATAACGTAAAGGTTTAACAAATACAATTATATTTTTCAAATGCAGTACAAAGAGAATCAGTTCATATAATCCTATTAGAATATATTTAAAATATAAACAATTCCGGTATCTATTATTTACAGTATTTGTACTTTTGAGCAAATACTTGTGTTTGCGATTATGATAAAAAAACTGTAACTATTGTATTATATTGAGCATTAGTAACTGTTTTATTGTAATGGCATATCTTGAGGTGAATTTGTTATTGAATTGATTCTCTCGATTTAAGTATGTGGACGCAAAATACTTCGATTTTCTTTGAGAACATGTAACCATTAAGTTCGTATTAATTTCAGATTGTCTCACAAACATAAATAAGGGATTTGTTTTAAATGTCACTTAAAAAAATATGTAAAAACAAACAGTTACAGCATATTAGAAAAGAAACATTTACAAGTCAAATGGTACACCCTGTTTGGTAATATCCCAGTCTTCTCATTCTTATTTATAAACTCTTATCCTAATTCGTCTATAACCAGTCAATTTTTTAAAAAATTTAAAAATTCAAATTCCGCATGTCAATAGCGTAACAAACTTTTCTAACTAACTAGTATTTATGGCACTTATACTGCTGTTTTAGTACACATACACTTTCAAAAGTAAGGGTCAAATGCTCTTTGTAAAATCGTTAAGAACAACTGACCCTTAACGACCAGGTGCACATGGTTAGACCACATAAATTAAGCAATCCAACAGTATACAGCTACTTATTCTATAAGTAAGAAAGCTTCACATATAAAAGTACAAAAAAAATATAAACAGTACGAAATAGAATTAATATCGAAATTAATCTAACACAATTTTTAAAATATGCTAATAATATCATTAATGAGTAACAAAACTTTTACCCATCAACTGGGATATCACATCTAACATTTTGAAACCACTTATCTCCTAATTTTTAAATACGTAGGTATCATTTCCGTTTCAAAGTTAAACCATTTACACTTATTTAATAAGAATTTAAAAATCGTAATTATGCCTAAAATTGACTTAAAAACTAATTAAATGCTATCACGCTTTTCAAGTCTTATAGATCAACAAAATTTGGACTGTTATAACAGTCGTTTAATCGTAAAATTAATAAATAGACTGAAACCTGCACGTCTCTCTCTCTCTCTTTGAACTCTATTAAATTAATCGTATACAATTTTAATGGGTATCCTGCACACATCATTGTCATATCTCTTATCGGCATAGTTAATCAATTTCGTCAAATATGATCTAATGGTGCATCGAAAACAGTTTTGAACGGTAGATGCATACTTGTAACATTTTAAAAAAATATCGGATTGGTCCCCCCCACCTTGGTTGCTCGCGTGTTTTACTTGAGTTTTTGACCCAACAAGTATGCATCAAAGTTTATGTGGTTTATGTACATATGAAAATTTCCTTAAATATTTCACTAACTATTAAAATACATGGGGAGGTTCGGAAGGGGCATTGAAAAATTCCTTTGTCAAACTTCTTTGCGCGATACTAAATGCAACTAGAACCCGTCAGTTTCTCTCCTTCACTTTTCCGTAAGATTACATTAAAGAGATCA